TTTTACGACACCAATCCACACGATGGAGTTTTTGAGCCTCAGTCAAATTATGAGGTATCCACCGGGCGCAAAGCTTCCTGACCGCTAAATGTTCGTGGAGGATTTTGTGCACTTGACTCATACCGATGCCTAAGCTTGTCCGAATCTGTTGATAGGTCACTCTTTTGTCAGTCTCTATCATACGCCGCACAACACAGATGTTATCTTCAGTCGTCGCCGTAGAAGGCCGTCCCTCACGTAAATCATCAGTGAGATTAGTGCGACCACGTTTAAACTCATTAAACCAGTTGTAAACAGTCGCACGAGATGGGGCTTCATCGTGAAAGGCCAATCGTAGTCTATCATAACTTTCTTGTTGACTTAAATGACATCGAAAGTCATAAAAAATCATTGCACGAAAATTTTCTCGTGTTAAATTCATGATGACGTGACACAGACAATTTTCAATTTGCCGCCAAATCGTAAAACAAATGACAAATGAATGAAATATATACTCAGTAATATTGGCAAAGAGTTATATTTTCAAATTTTAGAATTATTTTTTTATTATATTGTTTATAAGTGGCCAGTTCTAAGAACTTTCAGTTTGACCCTCGTATAAATTGATCTATTCATTTTCATACCTTCGCGGTATTCATTAAGATATATGCAATGCAACCTACTACCTCGGTGATGATGCGTCAGATACAGCGAACAAGTCACACGCAACTACAAACGACACCATATGATAATATTTTGTGCATATGTATGATGGGAAAGTGGTTCTTAAGACGTGGGTTTGTTATGTGCCCATAAACAAAACTTCACTTTCACTGCGCGCCCACATATGACGACCTTTTTTTTAACGTAGGGAAACCTTATGCCTCAAATCAAGGATTTTCAACCACTAGGACCTGCCCGAAGGGGTAAGGTCAAAGTTTGGTACGTGATAAAACCCGATGTGGAGTACTTTCGCGTTAGAGAAGAACCCAGATTCGATTCGGACTACGTATTATACAACTTATATTATGCAATGAAACGTTTGTGAGTGTTATTTTTCTGAGAAATGATGATTTTGTTATTAAACCACTTACCTAGAGTTTCAAAATTGTGAACTTTGAATTTTTACTATGCTACGAATGTATACCAAACTGGTTTCTGCGAAAAATATTATACTATTACATAATATTTTTTTAGCCAAATTTCACATTATGACATAAAAGGTCTACCAACTATATGTTACTTTGCTTCATAAATAAAAAATTATCTATACTAATATTATAAAGAAGAAAGATTTGATTGTTTGTTTGTTTGCATAAAATAGGATTTTAAAAATTATTTCACCTACGCGGAGCTACATCATATAAAGAGGGACCACGCGAGCGCAGCTGCTGAAAGCAAGTATTATGTATATACTTTTCTCATTCAATATCAATAGACCATTACCGAGAATTTTTATTACCTGTACGATTAGCGTCAGTACTCCCAAGTGATGGCACCAACCCAAATAAGGCGCAGTAATTATTGGTGACAAGGACAATGTTTTTATTATTCATGTTGTGTTTGTTCCAATGTAACTAAGCAAGGCCAATGTGGATACCTATTATAATCGCGTTTAATTATCACAGTATGATCTTTTTGCAATATGTATTTACATTCTTTTGTTTAGAATTACGTGATTGGTTTGTATTAACGTATGAAAAAATATGAACTGGTATTTACATCTTCTATTTCTACTGGCTCGCTAAATATGTCCGATAAATAAAAATGAACCTCAGAATCCGAAATCGGCCGTACTCCGCATCAACCAATGCAAATAAGCCAATAATAAAGAGTCGCCAACCGTCCAGTAGGATTTCTAAAAAAAACATGTGATTATTTTTCAATAATCTAGCTGACAATCTACCAAACAAATTTTATTATCTTCCTTATTCCAAGCATAAATTAAAAGACATAACTTTGATTTCTTGCGAAGCAATGACTTACAGTATGAAAACCAAGTTATTGAAATAAATACTTTGCACTATTGGACTGATTCTGTTGCATACTGTAAATATGTATAATTGGATTAAGACTTATCGTTGTAGAGTTACAAAGGCATGCTCATTTGCAGGCTCACTCTTGAACGCAACCTCAATGTTAATTTCAAACCGATCCAATGACGATCGGGCTTCTCACTTGTTTATATAGGAGGTATATTTTCGTATTTTTTTTGTCAAAATGAATATATTTTGATGATATGGAAAGATTGCTCAACTGAATCACCCCTTTATATTACTGAACAGAAAATAAAAAGCAGATCGAACATTAGAATGCTCAATCTGCTTTTCATTTTCGCGAAGCGATATCGCAGGCCATGAGTACGTGCATGCAATTCGATATGGAGGAGATTTATAATGTTATATATTATGTCTTATATTAATATACAATCTCATGAATAAACACGCAAGTAAGCGATCCAAGTGAAAAATGTATGGAGAATTGCAAAATTCTATTGGTTGTATAATGCGTAGTCCCACAGAACACAGAACGAACTTAATTTTATAAGGGCGAGCGATTCGTGCGATATCGCTCATCGATATCGAATTGCATTGCATCGGGCCATAGTAAAGAACCTTTGGCTAATTTCCATGCGGATAGTCGTGGGCACAGCTAATTTAATATAATTCTAGTTTACTACTTTTCAGCACTAATAATATGGTGATAATGAGACTGTTTCAGAATGGATCATACCAAGAAAAAGAACATATTTCCGATGGATGAAGAAAATATTCCAAAATCATCGACGAAATTATTGTATATTTATATTATCATAGATAGACACCGGCTTTCTGAATTGAATATTTAAAGGTAAGCACGTCACAAATTATACTTAAACGTCACTTAAAGAGTTTTTCGTTTGATTTTAGTTTTATTTATAATCAGTTTATACCAGTTTGATAAAAACAAGACTTTTTGTCTTATGAAAAGTAATAAAACTTAAAATAATGGTGATTATCAGTTGAAATTTATTTTATATTTTTAATGTACTTATCAAGACCTTTAATTTGATTGGCATATAATTAAAAAAGCTAAAATTAAAAAGCACGTTTTTTTTAATTGCCTCATACATCATCATCATCAGCCCTATTACATCCCCACTGCAGGGGCTCAGGTCTTCTTTATTTTGTGTTGTGATAGGTTAATTGTGTGTTGTGATAGGTTGTGGTCACTGGTGATGTTGTAACCTTTCTATTACTCTATACATCCATATTCGTTATGTTTTTCAAAAGTTTTCTTGGAAAAAAAAACTCACATACATACATGAACTCTAAATACAATAGACTCCTGTTCTTGGACAGTCGTGTTAAAATGTTCGGGAATCGATAACGTATCACTAAAATGTACAAAAATTGGGAAAAAGTATCAAAATAGCTTGGTCGTAGTTGTCGAGAACTCGGGGCGCATCAAAATACCCAATCTTACAGAGTGCAAATTTGTAATAGGGTTCTTAATGCTTGTTACCTTGGCTATTTCTTGTTAAATTAATTTTTTGCTAGTGGAGAATCTTTTTTTTTTAATTTCTCCAGTTTAGAGTTAGTATCTTAGAGTGGAATAGACATTAATTGGAAATAAACTTAAAAGTCTGAAGAATTGCATCAAACCAGAGCTAGTTCAGCCTCCTATTCCATAATACCTATATAACCAATACACTACACGAAAGTGTAAGGATAAGATGCTGGAGGATACCAAAATACACCTTTCACCTAAAAATTGATAGTGTGTTGTCAGAAATCGCACAAAACAGAATATATAGTATAGTATATGTCGCATCATCTTTACGAAGATCGTTTGATTTAGTTTCTTTTATTTTTATTTCTAGTTACTCGATTACTTAATTACTCGATTGTAGAGAGAGCGTGATCATCAATACTTTTAATTTTATTAGAATGGTGACACTGACATTGTCAGTTCGTTAACAAAACACAAGTTGCCGCCATTGTGGCACACATTCTGTTTCCGATCGCCGCGGAGTAAAGACATCCAACGACATCACGCTCATCTCATTATATTTTCGTATGAAAAGTGATAAAATGGAACAAATCCACGTTGGTATACACGCCTGCAGTGTTATTTTAAAGATAGTACTCCGATATGGACCATCTATTTGGGCTTCGTAAAAGCCCCTACCTGACTACCCGTCGACATATATTATATACAACTAAAACGACCCATTGTATACGAGGTAGTTTACTCTCGATGTTTCAAGAGGGATTCAAAATGGAAACCGTGTAATATTAACAGGTAACCGAAAAAATAATAATAAATTATGATCACCAATTCAATTTTAAAGAGATTGAAATCCAGAAATTTTGCGGAAATCGTCTATTTTCTATGGTTGGTAGACACACATTAAGAAGAAATGTCCCAATTAACAACATTTCCATTTAGTGTGGCCCCACCATGACCGACGAGGTAATGCACGCATTCTGCTGAAACGTCGACATCGATCGACATCGCCGCTTTTAGTTTCATTTTTAAAAATAAACTGTTTTATGTTCGGAGCTCGCTTTACTTTATTATCAACTAGCTTTCGCCGGCGGCTTCACCCACGTGGAACCCAGGGAAATGTTAAATGGGATATAAAGTATTATCTAAGTCAGCTAATACCCTATCTGTATACCAAACTTCATCAAAATCCGTTCAGTAATTTCGGCGTGATTGACGGACAAACATCCAAACAAAGAAACTTTCACATTTATAATATTAATAGGATAATTATATAAATGGGCTTCATTTGAATTACGAAGATATCAAGGCTGTTCCAAAATGAAACATTGTGAACGCTACTCAAGTAGTTGGTAATTACGGTTTTCATAGCAAAATGTGTTTTTTCACTTATCTTTTCAATTTAAAGTATTCTAGAGAGGGAATTTGAATAATGGAATGGGATAATTATAGATTTTTATAATGATAGCATGATGTCACCCGGAATTTCTGCTCGTCATTTTATTAGGCTTCTATGGAATTAGTTACGTCACCTGTAGTATAGATGCTATGAGGGCCGCCATCGCTACTAATAACAACTGTTGTCGAGTATAGTGGTGCAGGGGTTTCGCGCAGCCCCTCTGGTAAAGAGTTGAGCAATCTGCTGTATAAGGCTTAAATTTCGCGTCCAAGGGACCCTGGCCGCAGCACGAGAATGGCACAGAACCCTTCTGGCCGTAATCCCCAGGTCCGCTGACTCCGCAACACTCGAACTAAAACAGGACAACATTCAAATAAATAAATATTACTTAGATAACATCAAATGCATTGTTCAATTCCAAATTTAAGTAGCTATTAGTACTTGTTTTATGAAGGTACCACAAGACCAGAGACAATATAGAAAAGTTCATTTGTTCCATTGTCCCGACCGAAACTCGAACCCGGGACCTCGGAGATGGCGACCGGTGTATGGAGGTCGTCTTCACGTATTTAGCCAGCTCATATTTGTAAGGTGTTAACATATCAAGAGAATTCCTTTACAACAGTGATTCCTAACCTGGGGGTAATTACCGTTCAAATCAGCTAATGTGTAGGGTTAGCAAAGCACCTATTAATTAAAACTCAATTTAATAAAAGAGTAGTGAAATCGTCTCAATTTGGTACATGATTTAAGACGTGAGGTTAAGATAAAATTATAATGTAGGTCCTACTCACGAGCTCCCAAGACGCAATAATTTTTCCAGTATTTAATAAAAGTAAAGTTAATTTCTTAAACATTATGACACCATCTCTAGCGCCTGGCATTGTACTGCGTCGTATGTATGATACTATAAGCAGTTAGTTGATACTGCTTAAAAGCAATGAAGATAAAATAAATAATTGAGACATTTTTTTACACAAAACTCCACCCCTTGACCCCGATTACTTAAAATCCTCCTGGGTTGGTTCTTCCCAGTACTGAGAAACTTAATCTTAGGGGTAATGAAAAGGTTATAAACCACTGCTTTGGAATATAAAAAAGTTTGAAGTTCATTACAATGAGACCACGGGGCACGCACGTTACCGGTCAAGGGTAAATAAGGTATTAAAATGATTAGAAATCAGTTTCAAGAACAAACTAACTTACGTCTTTATTGTGTTCTTATACTTATTCTTATATTATTTCTACATCTTTTTGTTACAGGTATTTAGTTTTTTATGTTTCAACATCCGAGAGAGCCTTTTTTTTTAAAGAAGGGGAAATGCTACTATAAGTCTTAAACCTGGGCTCTCCGAACCTGTCCGAAAAGGACGGACTTAGAGAGCCTCCGTGAGAGAGTACGTAGGTAAGGTAATCTCTATTTGGTATCAAAAATATATAAGATCAGAAAGGTTGTTTGAAATTTTCGAATGTTACTAATAAAAAGTGTCTCTGGTAATAAAAGTCTATACTTATCTAACGCATTTCAAAGGGAGATAAGGTCCAGAACTTACCTGAACATGCAACCTGTCCCACCGTATCGAATCTGGTGAGTTAGGATTGTTCAATTCGTTGGCTAGATCGAAGTAGCTACTCATGGAGTTTTTTATGTCTATGTCCACGCTGTCCCACACCACCATAGCCCACACGAAACATGAGAACTGAATCACAACCACCACGAAAATAAGTACACCAGTCTGAAAAACAGTTTATTTTTAAATTAGTTTACCTGCTTTCAAATTATGTAACAATATAAGAAGGTAAGTTAGTAATTCATGCATTTTTTTAATAAAGTATAATTTCCGATAGCCTAATTTAGGATAGTCTGTTCCACAGGTTTACGCCGTTAGTTCACCGAGGCAATCGCATGAATGCTTAGAATATGGTAATGTTTCACATGTGCTTTGTCTCGTTTTATTATTAGCTCGACGAAATAGACACAGAGCTAAGTCCTTGTCAGAACGCTTTCGCAGGCACCAGCGAAAAACGTCGTTACACAGACGTTTCGCTTTTGCAAGCGAATGCGTCGGAGCGTAACGACGTTAAAATCTCACATATGATTTAAGTGTTGTTCTGTTTCCATTAGGTAATATGATATAGATTTTGCATTCATACGAATACTAGTGGTTCGAGCTTTAATATCCGGTAGATGGAGTTTTTTCAATCCACGCTACAATCACCCAAGGGCTGAGTTATATTTTCTACATTGACTCCACCAGGAATCGAACCCAGGATCTCGGTAATTATATGTATATATACAGATAATTCATTTATTCAAAATACAACACAAAAGTACATGATACAGAGAATAAAAATAAAACACAATTAATAAAAGAGAATAAAACACAAGAGAAAAAAATTAACTAGATACAAGCATATGTGTACTTGTGTGTTGCATTGATTATAGCAGAGAGAAAGGGTCTAAGCTCAGTGCATTGAAATCAATGGCTGAATAACATTAGTTGTTAATTACAGATTAATTTAAAATGCTAGAGGTAAATGGGTAAACAGTATAATTTTTGATTAAGGAATAATATTAGTAGATTAAGAAATAATGTATGGTAGAGATCGCTGTTAGCGATAAGATCGCCAATTATTACTCCGTCGCCGAGTGGTTCGCACGCCGGTTTCAAGGTGTCGCCATCTCTGAGGTCCCGGGTTCGATTCCCGGTCGGGTTAATGTAGAAAATGAACTTTTCTATATTGTCTCGGGTCTGGGTGTTGTGTGATCTTCGTTGTCTCAGATACTCCATAATACGGGGGCTTTAGCTACTCATCTTGGAATCTGAGCAATGTATGTGATGTTGTTAAATATTTATTTTATTTATTTATATATTTAAATATCCATATAGGTATTATTATGTTTGTGTGTTGCATACAACAGACAGTTATTATTATTATTACTAAGATTTGATAACCTACCAAAACTATGTGAAAGTGATGCATCGATTTCGCCGTTCGCCATCCTATCCATGCTACTGAGCACGTGATTATAGCCATCATGAGCAGCAGTATCGCTGGGTACTCCGCATTGACGCCAATGAAGTGGCGGTAAACAAAAAGCTTGTACAGAAGAAACCCGCTCACGCCAAATAATACCACTGCTGACATCTGTCGACACACAAAACAACTTTATGGGAAACGGGAAAACCCAACCGAATTGCATTGGCGCTAATCCAATAGGAAAAGCTTTGAAACCGCAATACCTATTTCTTTTCCTCCTTCTTGCCGCTCTATAACAACTAGCGCCTCTAGTTATGGTTTAACTGTACAGTTATAAATACGTAACTTTTAGTCAATTTATCTTAATTGAACGAACAATGATCTCTACTTTATAGCAAGTTTACATTAAAGAGAAACTATGTCACCGATTTAATTCAATTTGAAATGTACAATAGTAATATAGTCAAACAGTTTATATGAGCCGAGTTTACGTACTGTTGTTATGACAACAAAGCAAAATAAAGCGATGCAACGGGACTTGCTTGAATCAACAAAAACTTCTTAAAACTTTAAAATTTGTTACTCACAGCGAACAGGACGTTGAAAGTTAACACAAGATATTTCCAACAATTCGTCGAGAGAGCCATCGTGGTGTTACGGCTTCACATTATCTCCGTGATCTTGTATAAAACTCGATTCAAAACAAAGAGCCCGGTCGTTCCACCTCAGAGGTTGTTTGTGTATGTCACTCTGACTGCGTACGTTCCCGCAATGATGCAACCACGGCGTACGAAATTAAAACATTCGGTATTTAACTACACGATATTAAACTTAACTAAAAGGCGTGTCTAAGAGTGAATCGGATTATCATTTTTCCTGTAAAACTAGTTAATTCATGTCATATACTGAAGTCGTTATCAGCATATCAGTCCGTTATCAGCAGATACATAGAGTAAGCAGTATGGTGTTACGATCTAACCCACTTTCGAGCTACGACGCTGTCACTTCTACTGCGTGCATTGCTTCACGAAATAGTACTCATGAAGCTATTTTTATCTCGTCGAAAGCCCATCTTATTTTGGCGACACTGCGTCTTGTAATGGCTACTAAATGTAACTAAATAGGCGTGGAAACAATAAATCTTGTTTTCATTTAATCATGCGCCTGGATACTCTCTTTAATCTTATTTTATAATCGTCTAAAAAGGATTTTCAATTTAAAAATATGTAATATTTAGAATTACGGAGATCATATATTATTACGACTACAATAAATAATCTGTTAATTATAAAATAAATTTTATTGTTTCTAATTAAGGAGCTTTAATAATAATCACAAAAACACACATTCTTAACCAAAGCATCTGGCAATGTTTCTATTTGAATTATGTCCATGACTTTTTTAACTTCTTTGGCTATGTCCGAGCTTAGAGGTCCAACTTGTTTGGCAGTACGAAGCATAGTTCTCGCTCTGTGTACATCTCTTTGATACATAGCGAGTAAGGCCAAAAAGGCCCAACCATCGGCTAGTTTAGGCTCCATTTTAACAGCGGCAGCAGCCCATCGTTCAGCGAGGATTTCTTCACCTATCTTATTATATATACGACCAATAATAAGTGCTGAGTAAGCCGATGGGGCTATCTTGTGAACACGCGCCGCTCTTTGAAGAGATGTGTACGGATCAAATTTAAATCCAGACATGGCAGCCTTCAAAAGTAACAAAGGACATGTTTCGGCACCAGCTTTCTCTGCTTCGACAAGAGCGGATTCACACTCACCATCCCAACCCCGCACGACAGCTAGACAAGTAGCTCGCATTTGAGACATCATCGCAGAAGGTCCGAATCTTTTTAAACCTTTAATTGTAACATCCAAAGCTTTATCCAATTCCCGCCTTATGAGAAATGATGCTGCTCTTATATAATACAAGTCAGGCCCAATTACTGGTTTTAAACCCAAACGAGAACCTCGAATGGCACAATTTTCTTCGTAACATTTCAATAACCTTTCATTAAATGCATAACATCGCAAGCACAGAAAGAATGCAGCTGCTATCAAAATTGGATTTTCCGATGATATTGTAGTTGGCAGCCAAAAAGCTTCTTCTTCTCCACTAATTGCAGTCCATCTGCTATGAAACAATTGCCATTCTTTTGGTAGTTCAAAAGACTTTCGCATTTTTTTGGCTGCAATGAACGCTGCGTGATAATTTTCATTTGCATGATATAGTGCATGTAAAGCAGCCCAACCGATAGCATTAGCTGTTCCATTAGAACTATCACCTTTTACAGCTATGCGAAAGGCAGCGGATGCCATTTCAAGACTTTCAGGGCCTTTATTAAATTCTTGAGCTCCAAACGTCCAAAGTAAAAATTTATTACGAGTATGAATACTTAAAACCTCTAATAAACAATTTCTAGCATCGGCTGGTTTGTTTTCTTCCAGCAGCCGTAGAATTTTATTAAGCAGTGGTCTAGGATGATTATTCAATATCTTCAAGTTATTTTCCACGTGTATATTTGCCAATCTAGTATCTCCCGCCAAGCGACATCTGGCAGCTGCAACTACTGACGTTATCTGTTGTACCGGAGGTTGAGGTGCGAAAGAAGCTGTTACAGCATGTCTACTAGCAGCGTGCTGTGCAGTTACTGTATCTTGCCAATCTATGAGTGAACAATCACCAGGAGGAAATTGTTTAAGCATTGTCCTAACTCTCATAAGTAACCGATTGGCAGCAGTTCTTTTGATGCCTTGATTCATCGGAACTGCACCTCGACAGGCTAAACTGCTCAGTTCCTTATGAACAGCCAAAGCTCCACCTTCTTTTCGTATGCGTCTCACATCGATCGAGGGGTCTTCTTGTGGTGGATCTATATCTAAAACATCCACTGGAAATGCAGGACCTTCTGGAAGTGGAAATCCCAAAGTCTCGTATAACCAAGAAAATTTCAGTTTTGGTATTAATGGTTCCATTAAATCGAACCTGATTACGATATACGCATCATGACCGAATTCATCTAATATTAAATCTGTTTCGCGTGCGCTTACTTTAGCGCTACTGGGTGGCAATTCTAATAGTGGGCTGACGTTCTCGGGCAAGTTAGCTTCATTATAAAAAAGTAATCTCGCACAAACCGTAACTCCATATTCTCCAGGCTCTAATAATGCCGCTCCATCCAAAAATCCCATATAGCGGCCACGAATATCTACTTTTCCGAATCTAGGAACTCCAGCTACTTCAATCATAATAGGTGTAAAAAAACGTTCTTTAAGTGCCATCGGATCTACTAAAATTCTTTTCATAGCATTCCAATATACTGAGTTACACCTATCTGTATTATTCACTGAGAGATCTTGAGGAATAAACTTATCTTCATTAGGTACATTAATTGCCGTATTAGCTGCTTGTCCTCCGTTACTAGCTGTCGCCCAAACAATTTTTGAAGCATCCGCTGTACTAAGAGACATACCAAAGTTTACAGCTGGATCTTCGAGAACCTCATTCATTCCTATAGCAGCGATATAAACTGTCCCTTCTTTAGTATACGGTAAGCAATGAGCAGATAGCATAGTTATGACTAGTGGGACTCTAATATTTTCAGAGAGTCCTGCTGATTTTGCGTAAACTTCTACAATGCAAGATGTAATCTCTCCTGTAGCGATCATGACTAACGGAATATGAACATTTATTTCTTCCTCGCCCATTATTAAAGGAAATAAATCAACAGTCGCACCTGCTCGATTATCCGCACTAAGTAACGGATCGGGATCTTTCGCTCCTTTTGCTCCAACTGTGCGTAACAATAACACGAGTGGATAATCTGCTATCAGTTGCTGACTGTACATGCCTTTGAGATCTAAAGATAAAGCCTCGCTTTCAAGTATAAGCTTATCTGTCCACTTTCCATCCAGGACTATTTGACCATTGAAAAATGCTATAAATGGCCAATCCCCCAGCCCAGGGGGAGAACCTTTAAGAATTAATCTTAAGCTCACATAACGTGGAGATATGTAGGTGTCTGAATCATCGTACATGCTCGATTTCGCTTCAATAGTCATAAGAGACTTAGTATTTTTACCTTTAGGAGGCATTTTAATTAATAAACTGTTTTTACTACCTACCTAAGTATATTACAGGTAATGTTACCGTTTTAAAAAATACTCAGCAAAGCTCGTTACTCGTGCGACTGTGGCAAATTTTTAAATTAATTTATATTATTTGCCCAAATTGTCTCTTCTTCTTAACTTCTTCTTCTTCTTCTTTTATTAATGGCTTATCTGCGCATTTCGCACAATTCTGCCAATGTCAAGTGAATAAATAAATTTCTTCATGTAAAATGAAAATGAAATGAATGAAAGATGGCGATGAAAACTAGAAAACATCTAGATTTTAAAAAGATATATGTCATGTTGACGTTGACGTCAAATATTATTTCTCACGTCTAAGACACGATGAAAACACAGTGAAACATAAAAGAATATAGTTCAGGATCCATCACTTTGAACTGCAGTTAAAACTAATGCCAAAACTGAGCGTAAGTTAAAAATTTTACTTGTCGACAACAAGTTTTGAACTTTATAATTAGCTACTTGACTGTTTTGGAAAAAAGTGCTTTAAAATGTTGAGTATCTCTTTATCCTATATAAAAAAAACACAGTTACATTTAAATTTCACGAAAAAATGCGGCAATTTGATTCAAACTGATAGCAAACTAGGCATGTCGGTTCTCTTTAAAAATAATTGATCATTCAATTTAATAAATTTGATATATCCAGTAGTATTTTTATGTTAATATTTATTATTTTATGATCTTTATATATTTGAAAATGTCGCGATTAATCGAAAAAAAATTAACGCTGCTTTTATCTAAATTCAATCATGACATGGCCAATTTAAATAGAAATTTTGCAAAATTAATGAATTTTCAAAATGACAAATGTCATTCTGTGCTGTCTCTGCACAATGACATCTTTATTTTTATTAAGTGGTTTACATGTCATTTGACTCGCAGTTTCTAAATATTTTTTTTTAATTGGGTAAATTATAAAAAAATTGTAATGCATTAATGACATTTAATGTTTTTTTTAAATTCTGTATCAATAAATTTTATATAAACGTAGCATATCAGATATATTATTTTCTACATACATCATACTACTGTCAACTCGCGGATTTAAATCAGTTTAAACTGAACGTGAAAATAGAATTACCTATCAAATACTTGTCTCCAACACTAAAATATTAGCTTTACAACAACACTAGCCCTTTTTGTGACACTATTTGCAGTGTTACCATACATACAGATTTTCACTTACTATTACTGGATACAGATTTCTGTGCAGAGTTTTCTTAGTCTATAATAATATTCAACTCAAAACAAAACAAAGCAAAATAAATAATTAGTTAACGTGTTACACACATCGTTATATTATTTGTAAGTAATTAATTTTTTCACTTTTCGAAACTTTTTCGTATGGCATTAAAACTGTCTCACGATGTACCTACTCGAGAAAACCCCCAAAAAACAGCGTACTGTCCAAAGTACTCTCACATTCGCCGAACAAATACGAAGTACTTCGTATATTTTTATTATATTACTTTGTAGATAAATAAAACAAAAAAATCTTATTTTTATTTAATATTATTATAGTGAAAATCATAATAATAACGGTGATTACTTTGTTTTTTTTTTACATTTTATAACACAGATCTTTCAATTAGTACTACTAGGAAGAATGGTCTTTAATAATAAGAACTTCTATTTTATGGTAAGATTCTATGTATTTTGTTTTATTTATTTAGGGACTAATATAATAAAAAATATACGCAATGTGAGAGCGAAGTACTTTGGACACAACGAAAAAATTAAGGGCATTTCCCGAGTAGTTATTGCGACACAAAAATTGACTGTAAACGTTTTTTACAAATTTTAAAGTTAAAATAGTATACAGTTTTAGCAATTTCTACTACAGATAATAGGCTTAAGGCATCTGGCGACACTGACTACCTGTCACTGTCAAAGTGATAGTGAAGTTGACATTTTAATGTTTTGTTGTGAAATTTCCTTTGAAGTTTTTCACTACTTTTATTCAAGTTCTTATTATTTCTCATTATGTTTGTATAATGTATACTTTACTTCACGGCTTTTACAAGTATATTATTCAAAAAGATGAATATTGCGTTCTTATTTTGGGTTTGGATAATGCTGGCAAAACGGTATAATGAACGGTGACCACGTATTTAAATTACACTTATATGTATTACATTTATTACTAACAATATTTAATTCACTATTTTTCAGACCTATTTAGAAGCTGCTAAAACGAAATTTACAAAAAAATACATAGCTATGAATCCAAATAGAATAACTACCACGGTGGGCCTGAACATAGGGAAAATACATGTTGATGGAGTAATGCTCAACTTTTGGGATTTAGGTGGGCAGCAGGAACTTCAATCGCTATGGGACAAGGTAAAAATCACTGAGTAATTTATGGACTTGTGTGATATGTGATAACAACAAATTTCAGTTAGTTACTACTAAATAAAAAATATGACAATAAATATTTTGACTATGACTATTCATATATTGATAGTATCCAAATATTCTTGAAATAATATATTTATTATGATCAATAAAAGATAAATTGTATTTTGAAGGAGTGAAACATCCGTATACAATTTGTTAGAAATCTCAGAATACAATGGTATTATCATAATTATTATAAATGGGAGGTAATTAAAATATTGGTTTTATGACACTAGCTGCTCTACTACATAATTGAAGCTTTGATTAAGCTGTCAAAAAGAAGCCCTGTGTCAGATCATTAATGCTTTCATTTTGAGAGCTTATCAGGACTTTGGTGATGCAGTGGAACTGCAGGGCTATATCTAAAAAGAGGCAAACTAGGGCACTTGGCCTAGGCAGTGGTTCCAAAGTGGATGCTTAAATTATTTGAAAAAAACTCACTACCAAAAAAATATTAAATACCCATGTTAGATATTTATTAAAAGAAAAAAAAAATATGAATATTTGTGAGTTTTTCAAACAGTTTATCTGAAATAATCATATATCTGAGGCTGGCTTTCATTTATATCTTATTATACACTTTGTAGATTATTTATTTATAACACATATGTTTTTAATTTCCAATGAAGTATGTTTTAGTTTAGACATAAAAATCCAAAGAATTAAGAGGTATGTAGGAAGCTTCTCCTAAAAATCTTTCTTACATATCATTTTTCTGTTAGATGTTAGGGGATAAAGAGGCAAATGAATTATGATAGATAATGTTAATATTTCATTGACTCTGGTATCTTTAAATTTAAACTTGTATTAAGATAGACCACTTATAGAGTTTTTCATGTATTCAAAATATTTTATATTGTCTCTTTACATGTAAAGGTCATCAATGTAATATTTACATTATCGTTTAAGCACAAACATGCCATAAATGAAAAGAGAAAGATATATAAATGGAGACATGTTAAAAATTTCTATTTTTTCTTACACTAAAAATAAAAGACACATTATTATCTGTAATCACATAATTGTTTCAGTACTATGCAGAGTGTCATGCTGTCATCTATATAGTAGACTCTTCTGATAGAGAAAGGATATCTGAATCAAAAGAGACATTTGGTAATGATAAATTAATTTTTATAACACTCATATTATGATAGGTTACAGATAATATTCATGCTAATATAATTTTCTACTTTAAACTAAATTAGGTTTGATTTAAATAGTAGATTGTACTCACAGCAGCACATCAGGATTCTTAGTAAAGTTTCGACAACAGATTATGGTTTGAAATCAATCAAAATCTGATGCACTGTTGTCCATGGAGCATTTCTGGCAATTGCAATTAAATAAAAAACTTTCATAGATACAATTTATAATAAATTATTTCTTTCAAGCATTAACACTCATACTCACAATCATAGGTTTAAAACAAATAAAACTAGATTGTACAAATAAATAAAATTAAAATAGGAAATAAATAATTTAGTTATGATAAAATAAATTATGTTTTCAGATAGGATGATAGCATCAGAGCACTTATCTGGAGTACCTCTACTAGTGCTGGCTAATAAACAAGACATTCCAGACTGCATGGGTGTTCACACTGTCAAACCAATATTCAATCAAAATGCACATTTGATTGGTGCAAGGGACATTATGCTTATGGCCACTTCAGCCTTGAATGGGTGATTATTTAATGAAATTTCTAGACCTGATCTTATGCAGTAATTTTGGAAATATCTTCAAATGAGGAATCTGTAAGGATGCTTTTTCATTGAAAGTTCTATACAGGGTTATGAGTAAAACACCAGCACAAAGGGTTTGGTTTGGTGGGAGCCACTTAAATATTTAATATACTCTGTTATTGTGGTATTTGTAAAAAGATCATCTGTGAAAATTTCAACTGTCTCATTATCATTGTTCATGGCATACAGCCTTGTGACAGGCACATGGATGGATGGACGGACAACAGTCTTAGTAGTAAGGTCCCGTTTTTACCCTTTGGATGCAAAATCCTAACAATATCCCAACACAGTAAACAAAATATTTTTCTTTTTATTGTCTACTAGTGGACGCCCGCGACTTCGTCCGCGTGGAAGTCGGTATCCCGTGGGAGTGAGAAGTTTTCCCAGTAAAAAGTACCCTATGTGTTATTCTGATGTATAACCTATATTGCTGTAAAGTTTTATCCAAATCCGTCCAGTAGTTTTTTCGTGAAAGAGTAACAAACATCCATACATCCATACTTACAAACTTTCGCCTTTATAATATTAATAGGATGTTACATTCATAAGCGAAAGGACGAAGTGTGACGTGACGACGTGACGTTAAATGTTATACGTACACAGGTTTATTGATGCTTAATTAAATATTGTCTATGTTACATTCATAAGCGAAAGGACGAAGTGTGACGTGACGACGTGACGTTAAATGTTATACGTACACAGGTTTATTGATGCTTAATTAAATATTGGAAATAAATAATTCATTTTGAGTCACTTGACTGCAAATGATACTAGAAAAATAATGATAACATTGAAAATATATTTTGAAAAAAAAAAGGATTAAAATCGACCATGCCAGAATTCAATCTTCATAAAATGAGCATTAAGAAATCTATTTTCCATCGATGGAATCGTTGACGTTTTCAAACGTGTCCAAGACAAATTTAAAGTTAATTCAAATTAAAAAAAAAATGCCAAATCGCATTGATTTGAATAAATTTAAAGATTTGTCAAAGTGATTCGACATATTATTCATCAATCACACATTATTTGGATTTAAAGTTGGTTAAAAAAGAATCGCGATTTTATTGGTATATTTAAACTCAATAATTAAATTAAAATAAGTTTTGATATATTGTCAACTCAATTGTCGTCAAATAAATTAAATATTATATTTGTTTGAAAAGAAAGTCATAGAACAAGCGTTGCTTATAATGTTAGCTAGCTACTGCAAGGTTGTGTTGGTGTTTAAGAACTAAACCTGTATAAGACAAGAGGGGATTTTCTGACGGGTTGTGTAATACAGCAACTTGTGAACGTTTTGAAATAAAAGACCTATTGTATAAGATACAAAGATCTCGCAGCCAAAGAAAATGCGCCTTAAGAACAATAAAAGTAACTCATAAATATTAATACAGGGTATGACTTTTACGACTGCTAAGTTTAATTGTAATCCATAGAAGTATTTTTTGCTTAAATGAAAGGGTAGCAGTTTTCCCAATTAGTATCTATGCAACAATGTTATAAAAGTATAATATGAAACGCGAAGTTTTTATCTAAAGTTTTGTTCTAAAGTAAATACGGTTTTTTTTTAGATTTTAGATAGGTAGTAAAGGTCTTAGACGTGCATCGCTACCACTGCTATGAAAGTAGGTCTACAAGACAGATACACGGGCGGTTGCACAAACGTCCTTTAAGGTTTAATGACACCGTTAAAGTCTAATAAACGTCAACTTTGTATGGGTAAAGAGGTATTAAACAAATGACAGTTTTTATGGACGTTTGTGCAACTGGCTAACAAACTCGCCAACGAAAGTACGCATATCCCTTCGGCAACAAAATATTCTAATGAGCTTGATTGATGATTCGTCCCGCCAAAGTCATATTACGTTATAAATGAATGGCGCCTTATCACAATATCAAATGTTAAATGAACCTGTTGAAATTTCCTATTAAAAAAAATACCTTTTTATCAAATAGTAAATGAGACTGCATCTAACGTGTCATTATACATTACCGTCTCCCTGTGCGCTCTTATCAGATAACGTTACACAAACAGCTATGGTTATAGGCACACCAGCTGAATGATTTATCAGTTAGTCCACAACTTCAATAATGTTTTGCCATCATTATTACATCATAGTTTATTGATTTTTTAAATATGTGCTATCATAATATTTTATTTCGCAGGGACGGTGTCGACGAAGGCATCAGATGGCTAGTTGATTGTATTAAAAGGAATAGTGTAGACCGACCACCACGGAACCACGAAGACAACTTATAGTACGAGCGATACGCTCTTACCTGCATAATATCATTCAACCGCGCTATAATATACAATGAATGATAATGAGTTATCCTATTTAGATAACGCTGTGACTCTACCCATTGTTTTGTACATACATTATATGTATTAAGAATAAAACATTAGTAAAAGCGTGAGTGTGTATTGCTATCCTTTTTCAGTGATAAATTGAACCTTTGATAAGAGATACGTAATTGCTGGATAGGTGTATGGAGTACCTGCACTTCTGATAACAGTTTAGTGTCAACCATTGTGGAATACTGTGTTCAATTTGTGAAATGATATTGTTATAATACCTGTCTTAATTTAATAAATAAAAATTACGTGAATTAACGATGGCATACCCTATGTATGAAGTGGACTGGAGTGTATTACCACCAGAGCAAAATAGGAGGTTGGTGAACATTACTTTTCATATTCGATTACATTGATTTATTTATTTTGTGAGATTTTAAATAGATTCAAATATTAGAGAACTGTATTGAGTTGAGAAAGGAAGCGGAAGTGGTATTCATATTTTTTAAATTTTCCACGTAGGTACCCTTCGTTCAGGAATTATTTTTTAAGTCGCTGCACCAATGGATACTTGTTTACGAAAATCAAAACAAACATTAAAAATTTGGTGCTCTGTATTATAAAAGATACGAAAATTAATTACAATAATACTTAATATGATTTCTGAAATTAACTGAATCGAACTTGATCATAAACTTGTAAATTGTACAGTAAACGTCATGCGCGAGGATCGGCCATGTTGAATCTCTTGCAACGCACCACGGAAATGTCAGCTGGTGACTTTCGTATTATTTCTTTCTAAAATTACGTGCTTTATTTTATTAAATATCCGAAGATAAACTCTGTAATAAACTTAAATATTTGTCATAATGTTTATATAATAGATTTAACAGGATAATACGGTGAAAATATGACAAAACTAACTCAAAGGTGGTTTGCGATTTCTCTTGCATTTCTATGGTTTGTGACGAGATAAAATGTCTATTTTTTTGTTTAAATCCATGTGAAATATCCTTAGTTCCTTTCGTTATGTTATAAGAGTGTTCAAGTGATAATTTTTATAATCAAGTGAATTATTTTTCTCATCGAATTTATCCTTTGCACCTGTCCAAACCAATACCTTTACCTGTTCTACTAATATTTCAAGTGATATCTACGTTATTTTATTGCTAAGGAATCTCACGAGTGAACAAGATGAACGGCTCGGAATCTGGGTAATTTATAAATAATTATTTACATTTTTTTTTTATTATAAGGTATAATTTCTGTTTTTTGAGTTCAAGAAGATCCCTCAAATATGTTAGTTTAAGTTCTGTAGCTCCATTGATTGCAACAGATCCAATGTTTAAAATATCCAATATCCAATGTTTAAAATTCTATCAAATTTTTTACACAACTTAAAAATCAATAATATTACTGTAATTATAATTGTTCCTAAAAAAGTTTATTGAAGTGTTATTTAATTATGCAAGCAATTATTAATTTATTTTCATAAAAATTTACAAATTTCTATTATATTAGTAGAAATGATTTGCATCTTGTACAGATATTGTGATTTATTTTATAGTCTATAATGACATTAGAAGCAATGGATTTGCATACATATTGTTGTCTACAAATAACAAGTACTGCAATGTTTTTAATTCCTAATGACATCAACAAAAATAACTGTTGAAATGTTGTCTAATGTAATGTCTCAAAACTCTATTAATTAATAGATTAACTCTCTGACTTAGGCTTAGACTGCATATAAACACAATTCGAAAACTTTGCTATTTGTAGTCATAACTTTATAAACAAGCATACTTAATACCTGACTGGAAAAGTGAAACACAATATATGCAGTATAGTGTTTTCAGCTGTACGCAAATATTCATTACACCTACAACAGCGAGAGATCAATATATGATCCTAATTGACTTCAATTACATTAGTTCAGTTATATCAAATGAATTATTTGTAACCTTGTGTGACTTGAAAAATGCTATAATATTTTTACGTTATTGGTAGCAGTTCAGTTGCATGAAGTAGGCTTAATTTAAATTAAAATGTGCTTTTTTTTAATATTATAGTACACATGAGTATAAACATACCTCTTTGGTTACATGTGGCATAGAATATTGTTGGATGGCACCCAATTTAAATTCTTTGTCTCATAAAATATGGATTAACAGTACTGGATTTAAACCATTATCTAACAAAATAAGTCAAATCATCTTGATTAGATTTTTTCCATTGTAATTTGTCTCCATAGTTCATAATAAAAATTTATTTACAACACACTAGGATCCCAAAAAAATTTATAAATGTCATTGTTTACTCTCATTTTTATTACAATTATTTAACTATCCTCATTGTTTACAGGTTCAACCCAGCTTTTAACATTGCTACCATAAAGCAAGTGGTAAATGAGGCAATTGAGAGAGGTGAGTTGCACTAACATTTTCTCATTGATAGTTAATGTTGGATACATGCAAGTTTTGTTTCTATGTAATAATAAACAATGATGTAAGTGGACAGTAACACTGGTTACTAGATAAATTTATAGCTAAAACCATCTTTAACTTAAATTTGAAACTATCTATATCTTCATTTCGAATTGAGGACTTATGGCGATGCACAAATTTTGTATAGTTATACAGTGTTTTGTCTTTTTCACTTGAATTCACATTGCAATGACGTAAATAGAACTATGTGTAACATACACATGGTTATATGTTTCTTATTAGTAAAGGTATTAATGTATAATTTACAGTCAGTTGCAAAAAACTGCCATTAAGGATTAATGATGCCTTTAAGCTCTAAAGAATGTCGAATTTGTATGGGTAATGTTGCTTTAAACTAAAGACAATTTTAACGGACATTTGTGCAACTGGCTCTTAATGTAATATATTGTATAAAGGTAACAAATTAGTATAAAGAAATGAAAACTATTACCATCTTTTCTTTTCACTATTTACTTTAGTATTATTATTAAACTGGTGTTGGTATATTTACTAGCATGTATAATACTTTCATCAAAGTTTTCAGTATATTTTCGAATATTATCTCATCAACTAATCAAATGTAGAATTCAGCATGTGTAAATAATGACTTCAAGCTTGCATAAACTTTTTTTATTAATCCATAGATTCTTTATTGTAGAGCTAAAGAGGCTAGACAAGACATTTTATATTGATCTCTCGAAAGGCCTCAAAAAGCTTCACAACAGTGAAACAGTTATCTTATGTATATATGATTTATTCTTAACAATATATTTTCTGTTAAATTGGATTACATAATCATGAAAGCTGAAAATCATATACTACATTATAACATTTCAGCTAAAAAAAACACAATCCATCCGCCTCACTTAGCTTTAAGTAAAAGCACTTAATACAAATGCACTGATGAACTCTCTCTATGTGTGTGTGTCGTCCGTAACAGTCGCACCGGTTTCAGTGCGAATGCCAACGCCTACCCGGCTCCGGGACCTCATCCGGCAGATCAGGGCCGTTAGGACAGCGGCTGAAGAACGCAGTGTAGTAAACAAGGAATGCGCCTACATAAGATCTACATTTAGAGAAGAAGATAGTGTTTGGAGGTAATTACATAGATGACCTATAGGCCTTTTTATTAAAGCCGTCATTAGGGGAGAGGGAGAAGAATCCGGCATCCTGCAAGGAGAGCTCCGGAGCATGACCCATAGCCCTATTCTGTTTCTTCGAAAACAATTTCGTAAATATTCGAAACACCAATGTGACACCAAATAAAACTATTTTTCAATAATTCATAAGTATTGAAATTTACCTATTTCGTTCGAGAATAAATGGAGTAGGTTCTCTGGGCTTTTTCTACTAGGTATTTAAACAAATACTGCTTTTTATTTGATTCACATAATCGCTATAAACTGCATAAGTGTTTTTTAGTGAATATAAAATCATTGACGAGTCGATATATATAGAATCCGAGCGTCGGGTACCACAGAGGTAAGAATCACTATAACAAGTATTGTTTGTTAATTCTTAGACAGGAAACCGGGCTACAGTAGTGGCAGCGGAATGGACGGAATAGGATGATGAGGCAAGCGTGCGATATATTGAATTCATTGAAAGCGTTCTCAAAACAATGTTATTAATCGTTTTTCCTTGGATTTCCATTTACAATAGGATTTTAATCATAAAACAGGACATTTCTTTATATTCTTCAACTTAAGTAACTCAATAACATAACGGTGAATTAATCCTTTCCAAAGAATTCTTATGTCGACAATTTATTATTTAAATTTTACGTTTAAAGTAGTCCGTGGATGTCCAATCTTCACTTTTAAAGTCTATTTGCAGCGTGAATTTGGACAAATTATTATTATACTGTTGTGCCATGTAAATAATTAGTCTGCCAATCAAATTAATTTCATATTAACATTAAATTTTTGTAGAATACATTGGCAGTAGTCCTGTTTTCAGTTGGCCGGAACCGTGCCTTCTATTGTTACTTTTACTAAGCGTTACGAGGTCGTTGTGCTTCAGAATTGATGTACAAATTGTAATTATAATTATATTAGTCAGTGTTATATAACTCCTTATGACAACAATAGTTTTCACAACTTCTAAGGGTAGATTTAAAAAAAAATGCTCCAGTATCACTCTTAACATTTTTTCATGGATTATGTTTCATTTATTCATTTAAAAACTTCTTGCCGTCTATACCATAAGTCATAGTCGAGTTGTAGTGGTTCATCTGTATTTATGAATTATGTATTCATCTTAGAAATGTTGATTTTTGATTCGTTACACGCACAAAAAATAAAAACCGATCAATCCCATCTCATAGGCAATCCCAACGAAATTCCTATCATTTTTAAATGTATCACTCGGAATGGACATATTAGCATTAGTTCTTTTCATTGATCTATCGAGATTTATGTGTCTTATCTCCGATCGGTTCTTCATTACTGAAGATCATGGTCTTTGGATTCGTAGGGCATGCACAGTTTTCCCTCCATTTATCTTATACATCGAATATTGGCAATATAAGGCTATGCTATATTCAAAAAGTTTGAGTCTTATTGTTGACATCTATCGCTCGCTTTGTCATCATTCGTCTAGCGCCGAGTAACTGATACCACTCGTTACAGTTGAGGATAAAAAAAATATGATTGTCTTATGTCGAATATAAATTAGTAGTAAGCGAGCAGTGGACACGTATCTAACGATTCAAAATTGAGCTCGAGATAAATGGCAACCCAATCTCTTTGTGTAGGAATTCATTGGACAGTGTCAAATTTTCTTTACAATACTGTTACAGTCGACAGCCGTTTTTTGAATCTTTAAGCTGTTACTATTAAGTTTGAAATTGATTGTGGAAAGTTTGCCTTTTGTTTTAACATGCATTATCAGATTACATTCCAGTAGTTTGTCACCATGATGTAAAGATCGCAGTTGAATTGTATTGGTAGCGTTATTAAAACTTTTGAACTGCCCAGTCCATTTTTGTTTCTATTCTAAATTTAGGTAATTAATGTTGATTATTAAAATGATTTTGTTACATCCAACAAAAATATAGACTAGCTGCGTCCTTCTCAATTATGTTTAACGCAATTTATTGCTTTCCACTCCATTGGTTGTCGTCTGCATTTTAATGGAATTATTTTCGTCCATAATGATGTGTTTCCTCCAAAAATACTGGTGCAAAACACGCACATAACGTACAAATATCCATCAATTGGATAATACAACTTATTACCCATATCCACATCGTAGACTTAATAAAAATGGCGTATATAATATTAAATTTTAGGTTAACAATATTCGTTGGCCTTAGAAAAAATTAACTTATTAATTTAATATCTCAGATAATCCCAGATAATAAGATATTTTTTTTAAATTGCCTCCGTATATAATTATACATGCAAAAGTCAATTTTAATGTGACAAACATTGGTTATCATGATTCTAATTCGTCTGTAAGTCATTTCATAGAATATAACAGTGCAGAAGAGCCACATATGCCATTATATTGTATTAACATAACGCCTTATTTTAATCCTTATAAATATATGATCACAAAATATATATTTGATGTTAGGTTTCGGGAAACAATTGAAATAACAAGGAAAACTGTCAAATCAAATCTTTCCTTGAGCAAATAATGTTGCGTCACATTAATGGTCTTCGCACATCTAACAAAGCCGAAGGAGACGGGCAAACCGAATTTTCTTCATACCTTGCAAATGAATGGAGGCAAAAGAATTTTGACAAATCGGCGCGTACATTTCTGCGGTGGGTCATGTATTCATACAAAGAATTGTTACCTTACTTTGGCCTCCTTCGGCGCTTGGCGTGCTAAATAATAATTAATTAAATCGTACCTATTTATGTTCAGATTTATACCTCAAATGTAAGCTAAAAAAATCTGCTGGATTCAAATAACTTTTTAAATATTTAAGTTATTATGTTTTTTGGCAGATGTCGCAATATTGCGAAACTTCTGTACATCCATATGCTGGGTTATCCAGCACACTTCGGACAGCTGGAATGCCTCAAGCTGATAGCCAGCCCTCGGTTTACGGACAAACGGGTGGGCTACTTAGGTGCCATGCTCCTGCTGGACGAACGCCAGGATGTTCATTTGCTCATCACAAATTGCCTTAAAAAGTGAGTAGCTTAAAAAGTTTTTATCAAAAATTTGCCTCGGGTTTGACAATTCATCGGCTTACGACTAAGTCAGGATACTTAGGCGCCATTCTAACTTCTGGTATGTCTAAGCATTCACGTGTTCACCTCACATTTAGAGGTCAGTTGCTTATCACAAACTGCCTCAAACAGTGAGAGGATTGGAAATTTTCTTATCGACCTTTAGCTGATAAGACTGTTGAGGTGCTTTGCTATTGGACATGCGTTAGGGCACTTTCACACATCCATAAATTACTAAAGAAATTAATAATTGTAAATCTCTATATGTATTGTCCATTTGATATTTCTTCAACAGCTAACGCGTGGCTTACAAACAAGCGAATGCTGTTGAACGAGCGGCAGGATATTGTTTTAAGCTTTCGTGATCGTTTACATTAGAGTTATAGTTTTTCCCGAGATTTCTAGCATGTACCTTGTTTTTGTTGACTTCCCGAGCAAGCGCTTCAACAAAAACAAGATAAATGGCAGCAATCCCGGAAAAAACTATCACTCTAGAGCAACAGGATGTTCAATTCTTTTATTCTATAGTGGATAAGCGCCGCGGCCTGCGATCGTTGTTGTTGAGCTTTTGCAAGAGTCGGGCATGGCATGGGTGACCAAAAATTTGGTCTCTGCTGCATTTGCAGTCAGTCTTTAATACTCTCCAATCTGCATTAGGCTAGCGTGGATGGCCATGACCCATCCTTCTCAATCATCAATACGAAAGGCGCGAGTCCCTGCAGTGAGGACGTGAAAGGGCGATAATGATGATAATGATTTGTTTGAAGCTGTAGTGTACCAAAATTGATGACATACAAATCCAAAACTATAAAAAATTACAATCGAATTGAACTATTAATACAATGACGATAAAGTTCAAATACGTTGTGCAATTATTAACATTATGCTCGTCGCTAATTTTCCTAATCTGGCAAGTCACACTTATGTCACAACTTAAAATTCCAAGAACATAATATAATTTAACAAATATAAGAGCCATTTATAAAGTTTAAACACGCTTCGTAGTTTAGACAGTTTATTAAACTTGAAGGAACCCTCGAGACGAGTTTCACGTATCTTAAGTATCTAAGTAAATAGAGAAAATTAGTATGTATGTTTGTACGTATATACACTAATGCTGTAAATTTTGAGGCTATTCACCCTAGCCTTCGAATATGGTGATTCGGGTGGATTAAAATCGGCACATAACCTTATAAATAACAAATATTTGCTTAACGTTTAGCCGTTGGTCCTGGCTGCATCTGCAGTTTTAAATACGCACCAATCCGCACTGGTCTCGCGTGTTAGGTTTCGCCCCTTTTTCCTTCCATCTTTTCACTTTGTTTCTATCTTAAGGAAAGATATATGATTTCATTCAAGAAATGGATGCACCATTCCTTTCTGTAACTAAGAGAAGTATTCTAATAATAAACAAAGTTATGTAAATTATAAATACGTTATCAGCGTCGGCAAGTATTCACGAACTATTACGTAAATTGTTTTTGCTGTGCGAAACAAAAGGAACTACTTACTTATGTTAGTAAGTAGCAGCGGGAAAGTTTACATTAATTCGCTGATAAGTATGCGAACACCTGAGGTAAGAATATCTTTCCATGAACACTTAATGTAACAACGATGTCCTAAACAAAAAGGTATTAAAATGTATATTCACCATTACCAGCTTATTTAATGCCCCCACTGCTAGGGTTCAGGCATTCCTTATATACGGAATTGAATAGGAAGAATGGTTCACATGACACACCACGCGGGAACAACAGCTTAACGTGAAAGGAGAGATCAATAGTACCCTTCGAAAATTTGTGGTGTTCATACATTTTCACAAAACCGATTACTTACAAAATTTTTTCGATTCTGTCGGCGCTTTCGATGGGCATTTAATATTAAATACCATTCGTAAAATATCACTCTTGCCTAACTACAAGCATATTTTTACACAGTAGGAATGTTTGGGTAAAAAAAAAATCAATTTAGTGCGTCAGTAAATATTAGATACATATTTTTTTCGCCTCAATTTAACAAGAAATGGAATAGATAATAAGCATTAATGTGGAGTGGGGCTTGTTACGTCAGAACTATGTACAAAATGTACAAAGGTCTGACATCACGCGACATTTGAACTCAATTTATCGACGTAATTTATTCATTAAGCCAAGAATAAAAAAGTACGTGTTTATTATTCTTCAATACCCGACGGACAAAAAAAAATATTTATCATCCCTATTGACATTGTCCGCCTCAAGAAAATTAGGTTGACAAACAAGCTAATGAGCGAGCCTGTGCCAGCTTGTTTCTTAGACTTTCCCCACGTGAGTTGCTCTTGGTCTTACCTTTAATGAAAGCGTTACGACTTCAATATCAGTATCGATCGTTGTTGATGCGGGTGCTAATGTTGATATTAAAAACAATACTGATCCCAATAAAGTAGGCTTAATTTAACTATTTAACTAACCAAAACAATTTCTTGACAGTGACCTGAACAGCAATACACAGTTCGTAGTGGGTCTAGCGCTGTGCACTCTCGGTGCAATAGCGTCACCTGAGATGGCGCGAGATCTTGCGTCCGAAGTAGAGCGTCTAATCAAATCGCCCAACGCGTACATCAAGAAAAAGGCAGCCCTGTGCGCCTTCCGTATCATAAGAAGGGTGCCAGACTTGATGGAGATGTTCTTGCCGGCAACGAGGAGTCTTCTCACTGAAAAAAACCATGGTAAGTCGATCAATGGTGAAGATAATGTTAATGTCGTTGCCAGATCGTAGAATTGACCAATTCATGATGCGGCCGGCCATTTCATGAAATGAAAATAATTGTTGCCCACATCATGATGTGGCCCGGCCGGATCAATGAATAATTTGCTTTTACAATATGAGCGGCTGGTCGAATGACTGCGTCATGATGTGGCCAAGCATTAGTGATCATATAGTATAATAATTATAATAGTCTCAGTAAGAGGCGCTGATGTTGCGTTGTTTTTGTGATATATTACTTACTTTCATTTTTAAGTTTATATAATAAATTAAATAACACAGGGTGGTAAACAATTACTTGTGGAAATCAATTACTTGATTAAGTTTATTGAGATAATTGTTGGAATTTAATTCGAAGGTGCGGCGGCAAAGGCTATTCCATAGTTTTATGGATGTGTGGCAAGATTATGATAAAGATAGGATATTGATCTAGCTCCAGAAGATGATAAAAATAAATCTCCTATATGATTCACTATGGTCACGTAAAAGGTTAGAAATTTAAGACAATCGCGGAGCGTATCGTAGCAGTCGTATTAAATTTTGTGGTTAATTTTATTTGCAGACCACAAGCTATTTCAGCAAATAATTAAATTTCTTTTTTGGACATATTACATTAATGATATGGTCAATTTTTGGTGACTGTTTCATGAAATACAAATATTTCATGAAATGTCGGCCGGATCGTGAAATGATCGATTCTACGATATGGCTACGACATTGATATCAAAACATGTTGACAATCTTGGATTAAAGGAAAAATTAACTTTTGAATGATTCAATTCACTACCTTTCATTGAAGACTTCTTTCATTTGTGAAAACAATAGATTTTTTAAAGTTAAATTCAAGTAAATCAAAAAATTTGTTCTGAAATAGTAGTTTATTTCAGAACGACTTTTATATACCTACAGACTGATAACGTCAAAAGATTCCCCAACCTGCAACTTAATTTTGCCGTAAGTTTATTGTTGTAGTTAAGCGACAGTTTACGAGCCGTCGCTGACTTTAGCGTGTTCATTAAGTACCGACAAAGCTCATAAAATGTACCGTCTTGCACCAATGTTGGGCAGAAATTCGGATACTTAATGTACATTTGGAACAACTTACAAAATACAAAAATAAGCTATGTTTATCTCTTTCGCACAAACCATACACGCCAATATTAGTGATGCTACAGGTATCCGTATACGTTACTTTACTCGTAGATCTTTTACCTTATACAATTTCAATTAATATGATGAAATACTATACTATAAGTAGAATTAAAAAGTATTAAATTACATTCAGAGTACTGTTTATTTCTTAATTTCAAATATTGAGCACCTTTATAGTGTAAATCAGTACATGTCCTGCCTTCTTTGTTTTTTTTATGTTTTAATATCTTTTTTTAAAAGTCCATACTCTATATTTATCTTCTTTTTTAATCAGATAGGACACTCCATTTCTTCTAATAAAAATTGTCAACCCTAGCACAGAACTTTAATTTCACATTAACTCTATTTAGAGATGCAGTTTAGGGGGGCGTTGTAATCATAATTCGTTTTGTAAATAAGATTAAAGTGACATCATTAAATTAATTTGCTCAACTGTTTCACGCAGGTGTCCTTATCACCGGTGTAACGCTTATCACGGAGATGTGTGAAAACAGTCCGGACACGCTCAATCATTTCAAAAAGGTGAGTTGTATAGCTGTTAAACTGTAATATATACTTAAATTGCAATGTCGTAAACTTAATCTACGTGTGCTTCAAAAACATTGACGTCAGGCTTTTTTTTTTGTGCATAAAAAGGCTCGAAGGGACTTTATTATGTAGTCGTCTTTTAATTATAGATACAATTCTGTTTATGTATTGAATGATAATGATTATAAATGAACCAACATTTATTCAAGATAAGTTAAAGCCAAAACATTTATTGTGTGTCGCATTACAAACAATAAGATACAATTTAATTTTAGGTATACATGTTATGCCCTGCAAGGTCATTGCAACATTTAGAGGATTGCATTAGTAAAATAAAATAATAATACTTTATACATAATAAAATAGTTACAGATGAAAACTTATTAAATAAAAAATATATATAAAATATTTTAATTTTGATAGCAAAGTTATAAAATATTTAAAAATCTGCTTAATCTTTTTATAGTGAGTACCTATAAAAGATTAAGATTAAATAAAAGGAAAATTACTTACAATGAGTTTGTTAATTCTATAGTTTTCCTCGTCATTGAACCATTGTTTATGCGAGGAGTTGCTTGCTCTATTCAAATTTAATAACAGTAGTTTACGTAAACAAACACAAAGGCATTCAAAGTTTATTTTTTTATATAATATATTTTATATTGAAATTGTATTATTATTATATTGTTTGTGCTACCTTATGCATTTAATTGTTCTTTTTTGTTCAGATTTGTAAGTGAATGTATGGAATTTGAAACTCAATCGTTTCACTGATATATGTTGCCATTTTTTCTTGATAAATCAACATATTAACATTCCATAAATTAAATAGTAATTTCCAAATATATATATTTGCACAACTATCTACTACGAGGGTCAAACTGAAAGTTCTTAGAAAATCAAAAACTGATTACATTAGCCAGTTATTAGTTTTATTATATCTTTTCAAAATATTGTCCATTCACGTCAATACACCGCTGCATGCGATGGAACCACTGGGAAAAGCACTTTGCCCACTCGTCCTTAGGGGTCTCTTCAATGGCATCGCGATACGCAGCCACCGCTTCTTCAGCATTCATAAACCGCTTTCCTTTAAGTTTTTCTTTAATTTTTGGAAATAAATAAAAATCACAAGGCGCGAGGTCGGGGCTATACGGCGGGTGACCCAGTAATTCAACGTTTGATGTCGCCAAATAGTCGATCGTTCGCTTGGCGGTGTGCGACGAGGCGTTGTCGTGGTGAAGGAGGATCCTACTGCGAGGTCGTTTCTCTCGAACTTTTTCCAAGACAAGTGGCAAACAATTGGTAGTGTACCATTCTGCAGAAACTGTTTTTTGATCCTCTAACACAATTGTTACAAAATGACCTATCCTTCCAAAGAACGAGGCCACCATTTTTTTTCCCGCACTTCGATCTCTCTTCACTTTAGTTGGCAACTCCTCGAAAGGAAACACCCACTGAGCAGATTGTCTTTTGGTTTTAGGATCATAACAGTAAATCCAGCTTTCGTCACCTGTTAGTATGTCGAACACAGCATTTGAGTCACCTCCGTTAAATCTTTCAATCATTTTACGACACCAATCCACACGATGGAGTTTTTGAGCCTCAGTCAAATTATGAGGTATCCACCGGGCGCAAAGCTTCCTGACCGCTAAATGTTCGTGGAGGATTTTGTGCACTTGACTCATACCGATGCCTAAGCTTGTCCGAATCTGTTGATAGGTCACTCTTTTGTCAGTCTCTATCATACGCCGCACAACACAGATGTTATCTTCAGTCGTCGCCGTAGAAGGCCGTCCCTCACGTAAATCATCAGTGAGATTAGTGCGACCACGTTTAAACTCATTAAACCAGTTGTAAACAGTCGCACGAGATGGGGCTTCATCGTGAAAGGCCAATCGTAGTCTATCATAACTTTCTTGTTGACTTAAATGACATCGAAAGTCATAAAAAATCATTGCACGAAAATTTTCTCGTGTTAAATTCATGATGACGTGACACAGACAATTTTCAATTTGCCGCCAAATCGTAAAACAAATGACAAATGAATGAAATATATACTCAGTAATATTGGCAAAGAGTTATATTTTCAAATTTTAGAATTATTTTTTTATTATATTGTTTATAAGTGGCCAGTTCTAAGAACTTTCAGTTTGACCCTCGTATAAAGGATTCATGTCACGAAATCATCAATTTACAAAATATCCATAATAAACATTTTTTTTTGTAGTTGGTATTTAATCGTTAATTATCACGTCTGTATAGTAATGCGACTCGTGTAGCATTTTGTGACTCAAGTCACTCGTGTACAAAATTGCAAACGTACAACTCGAGTGAGATTTTTCTTAATAACTCGAGATTATTAATAAAATACATATTGAAAAAAGTTTTGACATTATTCATAAGTTATCAAGGAAATAAAAAATAAGCCACTTAGACAAATAAATTAGAGTAGCGAAATGACATCTAGTGACAAGAGAATCAACTCGATGCGCCGAGTTGCCTCGATAACTCGAGTGATTTTTTTTACTCGAGTAAGAATTAGAAAAATTCACTCAAGTGCTCGAGTCCTATCACTACGTCTGTATAAGTCTGATAAGAAGAACGCCTGGTTAATACATTAGCTAGTTAGGGCGCTGGATTACGGGAGTCACTTTGGACTAGCAGAACGAGCGCCCGTCTCGACTTCCACACCTGCAAATGTCTCCTATAAAACATAATTTTAATATTCGAGATCTGTTAAGTACTATATTGTGTATTGTTGAGGGACATAAATACGCTGACTATTAAAGCACAAAAACATTTTTTATGAAAACGGAGTCTTTTAAATATACCTATTCACGTGCAGTTCCCTTTTTAATTCACAGATCAGTTTTTATCTTTATTTTACACTTTACACTTTATTCAAACATTATGTGTAAACAATAGGTATATTATATTTCAGAAGTTCCATATTTAACAAAACTATTAACTCTAAAAGTGGCAATGAACCTGTCATGATAGGCGTGTTTACACTGAAGGAGCAACGCCTCACTTTTGATATATTAACATGATAAAGTTTTTATAAAGTTATCGCTTGCCAAACCTGTGGATATCGGATTGGAATATGGCCAGAATATAATTAAACCTTTTTTTGTAAAAGTACCGTAACTTTATAGTGTTCTAAAGATCATACAGTTTAAAACAGTACGTGTTATATTTGTCCTGTGGCTGAGTGGCTCTCACACCGGTTTCAAGGCATTAAGCCATCTCTGTGGTACCGGATTCATTTCAGTATAGAAAAGGAAGATTTTGGTGCAATTTTGTTGGCTTAAAGTAGACTTAATATATATTTTTTATATTATTATGATGTTTTGTCAATTCTGTAAATAACTAAAATAACAGAAGTAAACTTATTACGTAAGTAGTTAAAATGGTAACCGGGTAACATACAAAATATTTACATGGCTCTGCATTCTAGTGAAGCGACAGCGACTGTGCGTAATCCCTTTCCCTAGGTCTAAGAGAAAGTGGTACTGATTCTTTTACCTCCCAAGGTTTTAAAAATGTGAAAATTAGGTATTTAAAAAGTTACAATCGTGTCCGTGCGAACCAGAAATTTCCCTTAGACTTATGTTACTTACTCTACCGCTTATCCTGAGTTTTTCATGAAAGCAAATGAAAATAGCAGTTTAATATGGACATGCTATTTATAACCACTGAGATCACCTTGTTTTTATCGTTATCTTTAAAAGTCTGACAGCGATGTCGTCGTAAAAAAAATATGACACTTAATACTCTGACTTATATCGTATACCAATAGAGATATTTGAGAAGTTCAAGGTATTAGATTTTAAATAGATCAAGTATATTTTTTTCTCAATTGTTACCTTTTGTAAAGCTTTGTTGTAGGCACCAACATTTTTTTCACGAAATCTCTCGTAATATATTCAAGTGGTATTGTCATCAACAGCAGATACAGTAGCCTAATCTTATTTTAACTGTCAATTTCTACTTGAGTCAACCTGCAAGAGCGAAGGTCCACTCTGCTTTTGCAAAAACGAAAATTCGAATAATTTCGAGTTGTTCTTATTATTTTGCTATAATCACATCCGTGATATATATATTCACAAGATTATATATGCATCAAAGGGATTGTCAAGTTCTGTCTAATTCATTATTTTTTGGTCTAGGTAATAGGTAGAATTGATTGAGCAAATGTTACGTTCGTATTGTAAAATTACGCTCTTGTACCATCATATTGTACATACATTATTTTTAATGTAAAATTAGTTGCTTTAGTATGCGCTTGTGACAAACTATTGCCGTTTCTCGTATGAAATAAATATGTGCTTGAGAATTTTCACATAAAGACTCGTTATTATCTTTGTAAACTTTCAAAATATAAATGTAAAGTCGGCCAAAAATTACCTTCTGTTTGATAACAGACGGTACTACATAATTGAGAATCTACACTCCGTTAGAAAAGTCAACCTCGGCCATAATTAGATCTCACAATATTATTTTTTTGTTATTGTAATTTGTCTTTTACTTGTATCCAACAAAACAATGACGTAGAATCAATACTCTATTAGATACTAATATTTAAATAAATAATTTTCATTACTTATTGTTTGGGTGCATGCTCTGTTCCTTTATTAAAATGTTTCATGGAAACCGCAAAAATGTTTATCTTTGCTAAAATAATAATCAAAAATATAGCTTTATTTGTTTGGGGTAAATGATAATATTTTTGATTATGGCATTTATAACTCATAATTTAACAAAAGTTATTGGAATTATTATTTTGTAATCATCACATTACATTTCACTTCAGCAGTTGCTGGTATTATCACGGTCACCGAACAGAAAAAGCACGTACATACCTACTGATAGATATCGTAAACATTTTAGGTTCATTTTACTGTGACAAAAATGGCTAGATGCATATGTGTGAGCGCAGCAGCAATGTTTGCGCGCGAGTGAATGAGAGAGATGTGCAACACCGGGGCATTGTACGAAATTCTCTCTGTCCCGCGACCGTGCCTATAATTACATAATTGTTCTATTATATACTTGGGAGATATGTGAAATTAGTAAAAAGAATATGTACTCGTATAAAGTATTAAGTTTATTAAAAAAAGACTGTCTGTGGAACCATAGCAACTAATCGTTTGTTTGTGTTGTCCCGTAGGAAAGCGGGCAGCGCGAGGTAATAAAAAACGCTCATGCACTTGACTATTTCAATTTGATGACTTTGTACATATAATATTTTCTTGACTATAATTATAATGTTAATCGCACGCAAGACCTTGGTAGAGTTAGAATGAGTCACCGCGAAAACAATAGATCCAATATCGATATGTATGTTATTGTGCGAAGTCATCTGAGTTGAAATGAGCATGTATGTTACTGTACTGTGTTGGTTTCTGATATCTGTATATTATTTTACAGATTTTATATCCAAAGCCTTATAGAAAAAAATGTAGGTGATATATCTAGTGCTCCCAATTAACAGTATCCGATATATTAATTTGTTGTGTCATCATAAATTCATAGTCTGTTACATGTTTTGTAACTGGCGAAAAACAAAAACATCAGTTCGTAAAACGGCGAGAGACTTTATTAAGAATTGGCATAAAAACTGAGGCAAAAAAAAACTGAACGATGCCTACATATTTTCCTTGTTAATCCACATAGGGAGTTCAAATATTAAATGACTTCATTCCAATATGAAGTCACTTTCCATTGACATTATATAATTCTAATGTCATACATATTCGTAAATACATAATTATTATACCCGAATTAAAAATGGACTTATCTAGATACTACAAATGGCTCCCATTTTCAGAGACCATGAATGATCCAGTACATACAAAGCGTAAATTTATTAATAACTTTTTCGTCTTTTGATTAAATAATCAATATTTCATATTAAATACGAAAGGTTACAGAACTCTCTAAGGGATTGACTCTATAATAAGCGAGCTCCGTCGACCGAGCAATTCATTTCAGGGTCGTTCATAAATCGCTCGTGGGCGATTTTTAACCTGAAGTCTGATTTAAAACTATCAGTATCAAATGTACTTACCTAAGCAAGCCAATGACATGTTTTAGCTATCATATTTAATGATATTATATGTAGAAATTCATAAACTTAAATGTATCGTCCATTTTACACACTGTTCTCTTGATTAATCTCTAGGATATATCTTTTTGTGTGTAGTCTTAAACTAAAATCTATTAGGCTTTGGATATTATTTTTGACATCCTTCGGTTCTAAAAAAACACATAAAGTCATATATGAGTAGACCTAGCATCCTATACTAGTGTGAATATTTGCACAGTAAATTATAAATTTCAGGTAGCTAGAACTTTTTTAAAGACATCTCTCAATTCTTCTACACTTACTAACGTTCTTAAAAATAAAATATCACACGACTGAGTTGGCACATATGTGACTAATATGCAAGACAGTGTTGCCATTTATTTTACCCATGTAAAATTTTCGAGTATTATTATTATTATGCTGTCGTTATTATCTTTGGTATCCGCCTTTTTAATTTTTTTATAAATACATCCGAATTACTGAATCATTTCGAAAGTATTTAGATAGTTTAGTATTGTTGGAAAAATGCATTATGCCTGAATTGTTTATTGATTGTAAAGTAAAATTTGAATATATTCTTTTTTATTTTTGCTTTGCAGATATAATTTCTGTGTGCAAATGTTTATGACGCTGTAACGTGCCATGCGGCATGGTAATGTGATAATATCTGTTTTTATTGTAGATTGTACCCAACTTGGTTAGAATACTGAAGAATTTAATACTGGCCGGTTATTCACCGGAGCATGACGTCAGCGGCGTCTCCGATCCATTTCTACAGGTAATAAATTTATTGCGTTCAAGTTTGTTGGCGTGCCGTGATTTATGTTCACGTCATACTGATATCGTTTTGAAAAGAAAAATAAATGTTTATTATAAAACCTCTTTATTATCATATTTAATTAATTTTGAATTCATAATGTTGTATTAATATTTACCTTATGTACTTTAAGAAAAATAGAGTGTCAGATGCTTTTAAATTTTTTAATCTTATTATTGACGCTCAGACCGTATTAGCCACTTAGTATCCCTCGGGAAGTACGTGATAAAAATGAATTGAAAGTAATGTCACTGATCTTGAAACTATTTCGTTTAGTTCATTGTATATGATAATGATCTAATCAATTCAATATTCTTTAAAAAAAATAATTTAAACTTGTATCCAACATAATATTCAGATTATTTATTGTCATAAGTTAAGTACAAAGAACATCAAAGAGCATGGAAGAAATTACTTTTTAGTAATAAGGCCGCCAATTGTGCATTTAATTTAATTGTATTCGATTGTTTTGTCTGGTGTATCGGTGTACAACAAAGTATATTTCATTCATTCATTCAATATTTTACCATTTTATTACAAGGATCTAAGGTTTAAATGATTTAAAAACAATCAAATTATTTCAGGTGAAAATCCTACGCCTTCTGCGAATACTCGGCAAAAATGACGCGGAGGCGTCAGAAGCTATGAACGACATACTGGCCCAAGTGGCGACCAACACGGAGACTAGTAAAAACGTTGGCAACACTATCCTGTATGAAACGGTCCTATCTATAATGGACATCAAGTCTGAGAGCAGTCTAAGGGTGTTGGCTGTCAATATACTCGGTCGGTTTCTACTCAATAACGATAAGAATATACGTTATGTTGCACTGAACACGTTGCTGCGAACAGTGCACGTGGACACGTCGGCTGTGCAGAGGCATCGGACGACCATATTGGAATGTTTGAAGGTAAATAAAATAATAGTAATTTATGCAACTGTCATATAAGAATGGGTATTAAAACACGAGAGTCTGTTTATCGATAATAGGTTGACTCGAGTGTTTAAATACCTAAGTTTTAAATTAAGTCCAAACTATGCATGCGTGCGCCATTTTTTCAATATTCGAACTGCGCATGCGTGCGCCTTTTTTTCATATTCAGCCTAAAACCATAATCTAGTTTAATGAATAAAAAAAGATGACGGTACTATAATGAGTTTTATGATACAGTTGGCGGTACTATAATGATTTTAATTTTGTGTATATGCGTTTATAAAGTGCGTATGTATAGAATCGTCTTTGAATTCGTAATTCGAATTTTTCGATTTGAATGTAGATAAAGATTTTTATTAATCTTGTACGGGTTTTCCAGAGTAGCCTATGTATTTTTGTTATTGTATCTGCACATATCGATGTACCTTTTCTTTGGTCTCTTGTGTAGTATGCATTACATGCTATGATAGCAGTAAAAGAAGTAGACAAGTTGATTATAATTTTAAGGAAATTGAAAATAATCATAATATTATAATCTAAATCTAGGGCAGGCGGAAATACGAACATTGACACATTATGTTAGTCTCGAAAGAAAACGATACATATTGCCATTCGTCGCTATCCATAGTACTATGTATCGTTTCCGTGTGTACCGTGTTTTGTTGTACGGGATTTTAGGTCGCCGACCCCACCCCTGGACAATAATAGCGATATGTATCGATTACTGTCAACTTTTGGTGATTATGCCTATTTTTACCTACCATACAAACAAAGATACATATAAAATTAAATCACAGCGTAAAAACATACACGTTTGCTTTTTGGGATTACTTTAAAAAATATAAGATCGCTATTCCATACTACATAAGATAATTATTTTAACAATGATAACATATTCTTAATGAAAAGTGCCTTAAAAATCCACTTTGTTCGTGCACCCTGAGATGGGACTCGAACCCTTGAAGAATATTTTTCGGTATAGCATTGTGAATGCAAAATTGATCTCAATATAATGTGTAACTCTTGTTCGAAGTGTCCCAAGTGAACAGGATCCCAAGTCCCACTTCGAACAAGAAATATATATATATATATAAGATTGCTCCCGTCAGCCAATTGTAAGAACTATTTCGACTAGTAAAATAATATAAAATGTTAATTATATCACAGGACCCAGACGTGTCAATAAGACGGCGTGCGATGGAGCTATCGTTCGCTCTGATCAATGGTCAGAACATCCGCAGCATGATGAAGGAATTGCTCACGTTCCTGGAGCGATCGGACGCCGAGTTCAAAGCTCACTGCTCCAGTGCGATGGTACTCGCTGCGGAGAGGCACGCCCCCTCCAACAAGTGGCATCTCGACACGTTGTTCCGGGTGTTCCTCAAGGTTAGCAGGCTTTTATTATATGTTCGGAAAATATCAACCATTTTTAATTATTATTAATTTTATTATATACATATATAGTATTTTCATACTGAAAAATCCACTTTGCGCTAGTAATTTTTAGATGGGATGGAAAGTGATTTTTTTAAGTATTTTCCATGAAAAATATTATCCAATATAGCATTGGAAGTGCACAATTGATCAAATATAATAATTATAAATATCTAACTAAATAAATTTTATGGCACTGATTTGGAAAATATTACGCCTTAAAATTTGAAAAGAGTAGGTAAAATGTATTACAAAAATTTTTGCTAAAATACATATGGCATTCGATTTATAAAATAACGCGTAACAACTTACATTATGATAGCTATAAATAATACTTAATTACTTGAAAATAACAAAGATTGCCCAGACGCCCATACTTTTTTCGGTACCGTGGCAATGTGTGACGTCACAGTGGCTTGAGTTTGTGGGTAGCGTTGGCAGCCGACTAGCAGCAGTTCCATAAACCATAACTCCGAAACTATTAATCGCAGTCATGCTGTTACTTCTACATTATTTCTCAGATATTAATACGCTATTTATTTACATAATAAAAAAAATACAATTGGCCTATTATTTGGACCGCAAATTTATATAACACTAGCTGGCTTATCTCTTCTACTTATATTATAAATTAGCAAAATTTCTAACTTTGTTTTGTTGTATACGGCAATCTTAGTAAATACTGATCCTATCATAACATTTCTTTCACTTACGGGAAGTTAGTTACGCGGTGGCTATAAATTATGATTTTCGCCGTAGTCGCCGAAAAATAGCTAGTAATTAATAAAATATTAAATAAATGTTTTTATATCGTTCCAGCATTACTTGAGTTGGTCCATTACAAACAAACAGAAAGAATAAAAAAAGGTGTAAAGTATTTTAAGCAATCATACAAAATTTAGAAATAGTTCTCCAATTAATATTATTACCTAAAAAATGATTAAATAATGCTCATACTGAAGTAATGATAAATTATTTGATCGAACATGAAATATGAAATGTGACGTCATCCTGGTATTATTTGCTGTCCTCATCGCAACTTAAAGATCACATAAAAAGAATCAATCTTTCTTGATTATAACATCAAAATATATTATACGTATATATGTTTTTCTTTTATTACTTTTACATGTTTTACACTATATAGAGTTTGTTTCGCAGATACTAAAATAGAATTTGATTTATAACAAAATGATATTGTTACAGGCTGGCAATTATCTACGTGACGACACGGTATCGAGCACAATACAAATAATATCGTCGTCGGCGGGCGAGAGGCAAGCGTACGCGGCGATGAGACTGTGGACCGCACTAGAACGTTCCGCCATATCCGGACTAGCTACGGAGAGGCAGCCTCTAGTACAGGTACACTTAAACCTTTTTTAACTTAATTTATGGCTTAAGTTAAGCCAGGGCTAAGTCAGGCCTTCCTTATGGATGGTTAAGTAGGATGGGCCATGATCCTCCACGCTTACCTAATGCGGATTGGAGGGTATTAAATGACTACAAATGCAGCCGGGATCAACGGGTTAACTTGCCTTCCGAATCACGGAGTGGTTCCAGATAATAATTTTTTGGTCTCCCATCTCGTAACCGACCTTTACAAAAGTTGCTTAAAAACAACGATTGTGTGCAATGGCGACACGGAATCCAGCAGCGTACACTTAAACCAAGACATAACTTAGAGCTGTTCAGTTTCTAGCCCGTTCTTTTTATCAGCCTAAAGACGTCCTGAAAGAGGGGTAGTGAAAAAAATTTAACGATTCAAAAATACTTTTAAAAGGATTTTTGACTTGGAAATGGACCTAGATTAAAAAAAAATAAGTATAACAACTAATAAACGCAGTACTTCATAGAAACAATACAGAAATATATGTATAGCGATATGTATCGTTTTCTTTCAACGCTCACATAATATCTGTGTTACTGTCTGATCTAGGTACTACAAGTGATTACTGAAATTGTGATGATCACTTTATATTTTTAATATATAAACTTTTCAGGTGGCTGCGTGGACGATCGGTGAATATGGTGATCTGTTAGTATCCGAAGACAGCAATGCTATTTCAATGGCGGATGAAGATGGATTTGGTAAGATATTAACCGTTACTTAAATCTTATCTTGTGAAGTTGGGATTATCTAAAGAAATGTATTTTACCTAATGCAGCGAATGACTTATGCAATTGATTGAAGTTATTTTTAATGTTATTTTTTCTGAATTATATTATTATCTATAATTATTTCTGAATATGAAAATTATAATAATAATTATAATTATGAAAATTCTTAACTCTACAAGTCTCAAAATCTCAACTGGATTATTCTCAATAACTTTACTTTTTTACTTTTCATATGGCAAAAAGTCCTAGTTTTATAAGATCGCTAGAAACTGTTAATTAAAAAAAAAATTAATCAAAAACCTTAACCTGTTTAAGATGACTTAAGCTCGGTTTGAGAGGTGTTCCTCTTCAAATTCTCAATTCAGAAACCGGGTGTTAGGCTATAATTTAAGCAGGCGAATTTGCGGTAAAACAGCTAGTGTTTAATTTAAGTTACACAACAATTTTAGTACATCCGATTATTACCAAGAAATATCTGTACCTCCTCTATCATATTGCCATAAACATGCATGTGAATGTTAGTTCTAAAAATAGTATATGTATTTACCGTTTATACAGATGAATTCACGCGGCCATCTGAGGAATATGTTATAGATATCTACCAGAAGTTACTGTGGTCCACTCAGCTGTCTATCACCACCAAGGAATACTTGTTGTTATCCCTGGCCAAGTTATCCACCAGGTTCACCACTCAACCCAGTCAGGAGTGAGTACCGTTACCGTTTAAACATTATGTATGATGATATCTCTAGTTAAATAAAAATCCATAGAACATATATATAATATTTATATATATGTTCTATGGCCTGCAAATAATTTAAACATATATGTCGCTCGCTCAGTGATATGTAATATTCAATTCTACTTAAGAAATATTAAATCAGTTCCGTAGTTTATGGATTACGTCCTTTTGAATTTGTCACGTAACATAAGTACTGTCGTGTCACGTATGTTTTAAACATATTTTTGCATTTGCATGCTTTTTGTTCCAAATTTTCCACATTGTAATGTTGCAAATTTGATGAAACATACGTCAATGGATCATATCATATATTTGTCAGTATCCGCACCAATCCCAAAACATGAAAAATACCAACTCTCAGTAAAATGAATCTCATAAACATATCAAAAAATGTTGTCAATTTTTACATTAAAATAAAATATAGAATTTACTTAGTCTCACTATATTTTAAGATTTTTTTGAAGTTGTTTCAGTTGTGCAATATAAACTGTTTTCTGTTTGCAGCAAAATACGAGTTATCATAGACACATTCGGATCTCACATTCATATCGAACTCCAACAGAGGGGTGTAGAACTCTCGCAACTTTACAGGTGAGGTTGCTCCACTAACGCATCGAATGTCGCCATAAAACTGCACCCCTAGTTCAATAGGGAATAGGCAATTTTTTTTTTAATATTTTTATTGATAAGTTATATCGTTATATTAATGTAAAAATATCAGGGTACATTTGATATATCAATTGATATTTATAATAATATTGTTAGTGAGTATTGAGTCTCAGCTAGAAAATTAACCAACCCAGTGTGACGCTGGCAACATTGGGCTGAAGTAACAATCTTACATACTAGAAATTTCGAAATTTAAAAAGATCAAACAGTAATTAAAGACACGTACATAATAAACAACTTAAAAAAATCACAGATTTTCATATGCATGATATATATCGGGTAAATATCAAATATTTTGATATTTATTACAAATATTGGTTTTCTGTGTTGGTAATTGTCAAGATGATTATTTTTTTTGATAATCATCATCATAATTATTAATTTTTAAAATACAAGGGGGCAATCATAAATGAACCAATATTTTTTATGCGTTGTTATATATATATATATATATATATATATATATTTTATTTTTTTTATATATTCTTTATATATTCTTATGAAAGAAAGAAATACTACAACTGTGTGGAAAATTTGAAAATTTAAGAATTTATAACCACCAAATCAAATTATTTCGTATCTAACCTTCGAAGGTTAAATTTGGATAATATAAACTTTTGCTGCTATGCTACAAATATCATAAAATAGGATAGAAAATTAAGACAAGACGTCTGTCGGGTCAGTTAGTGGTAAATATCACTCGGAACCTTGGCTGAATGTGTCGTAACTTGTATACAGACAGTACGCCCACCTGCGCGGGGCGTTGCTGGAGCGCATGCCGGCGATGGAGCCGCCCGCGCCCCGGCACGAGGCCGACGCGGAGCCCGCGCCGCCCGCCACGCCCAGCCCCGAGCCCGACGCGCAACAGGTATAGCGGGATATAGGGCGCCGGCTGATAAACTCGGTTTATACGTGGTTATCAGCCGGTTTCTTATTTGAAAAAGTCGACGCTGGAAAGCAAATAAGTACCTGCAAAACCGAAATGGATATTTGGAGTGGAAAATATTTATATTTTAAAATATATATATATATATATATATATATATATATATATATATATATATATATCTTATTTCAGTATAAATTGACAAAGGAACATCTTATTTATTACACTGTATTTATAGCAGTTATTTATCGAAAAAAATAATAGTTTTTTTGCTCTGAAGAACAATTTTGGTTTTGCGGTTTACTACGTGTTTCCAGCGTAAAAGTACAAAATCTCAATAACTCAAGTTTTTTTTTTTACTTTTCGCAAGTCATAAAGTCGTATGGTCAGTTGCACAAACGTCCATTAAGGTTTAATAACGCCTTTAGGCTCTAATGAATGTCAAATATGGGTAATGTCGCTTTAAACTAACAAAAAATTTAATGGACGTTTGAGCTACTGGCTGTTAGTTGCTAACAGACCAAAAAATACGAAAAGCAATGTATTATTTGTTGACGACAGCCACGTGCCGAAAAAATGTACAGATCGAACGACCAATCACAGCGCCTACATTAGCGGAATTATCGGGGAGCCCATTGGCTGCGTAGGCGCCGTCCGCACGGTGGGGGCGATTCCCCCACCCGGCGCGCGGGAGTAAAACGCGCTGTGATTGGTCGGCCGCCGCGCGTCACTAGTAGCTAAGTTAGATGTTAAGTTTAGAATAAGGGTAGGGCCAAATTTGTAAATATTCGTAGTCAAGTCAAGTCAGTCAAGCAGTATAGTCAAGCAGTAATAAGTAGCCAGTAAGAAGAAAATACAATAAATCGCCTATAGAAGAAATTCGTCTTTGTTTTTCACCATCATCCACGGTTATACAGCATCGTCTACAGTTTGGTCCATAGAGCCGGATCAGCACCCTCAACAGTTTGGTCCTTCGAGCCGGATCAGCAACCTCAATAGTTTTGGTCCTTCGAGAAGCCGGATCTAAACACGTATAGAACCTTCGAGATCCAGCAACAGTGAATCAAGATGGTGCTTACAAGAAGCCAAGACGAAGAAAACCAACGTCGTGTCTTCGACCAGCCGCCGAGATCGCCCTCAAGTACACCGACCGTACGAGGACGCCTCGAGACGGGTAACGCCGGGGAGAGCCTACGCACCGCACCGCAAGTCTCGCAACTAGCGCCTAACGCGAACCGCGCTGGGGCAGACGTTGCCGGAGCACGCGTCGCCTTGGCAGTGACTACGCAGCCGCCGAGCGGAGCGGACGAACGCGCAGCACACCCAACGGACACAGCGGCGACTACTGGAATAACGACATCTGCGATGACGTCATCGGTGCAACCGGCGAAGAGAGTGCACGTCGCGCGTTCGACCCGCTCGGCAGCGAGCAACGCGGCACGCCGGAAGCTACGCATCGAAGCAGAAGAACGACTGGCTGCCATAAGACGCCGAGAACTCGAAATTGAAGCGGACCTCATAAAAAAGACGCTCAATATCGAGTTAGAAACGCTAGACGGAGCAGAGAGCGAACCCGAAGCTGAAGAACCGGCAAATAAATTACAAGATCGAGTGTTCGAGTGGCTCGACGACGCGAACGTCGACCAACAACGGGGGGAGCTCTCAAGGACCGCCGTGGCTGAACCGCCACCTGAACGCGACACGCGACGCCCAGATAGGGAAGAACGAAGACGGTCGTCATCGCGAGGCAGAGGCATCGATCAACTCGCCTCTGTCCTCGAAACCCTCGTGAAGTCACGACCGCCGCCGCGTCAAGCATCGGATCTACCGATATTCTCTGGTTCACCGCTGGAATGGCTACAGTTCGCGACTGCGATGCGAGAAACAACGCGGCTGTACGAGTTCACACCTACAGAGAATATGGCAAGACTAAGAAACTGCCTACGTGGAGAAGCTCGGGAAAACGTCGCATCATTGTTGAGCACCGCGACGCACCCCGACGAGATCATGCGAACACTGGAGCAATGCTACGGAAGGCCAGAAAGACTAGTGGACATGGCTTTCGCCGATCTACGGAAGCTGCCGAAGATTGGACCTACCGCGAACGATCTTAACATGTTTGCGGTAAAGCTACAGAACGTCGTGGCCGTCCTGAGGAACGTGCAGCCAGAGTACCTGCTTAACCCACTGCTGACACGGGAAGTCTTGGACAAGATGCCGAGCTACCTTGTATCGAGTTGGTGCAACTTCGCCGAGTCACAGCCGGGCCCGAACGCCGATCTACTCAAACTTTCATCGTTCCTGATGAAAGAAGCTGACCGCTGCATGCGATACAACTATGTATCGAACCTCACCGCACCCTCCACATCGCAACGAACACGAGAAACGCCTCGCCCCGCCCCCAGACCGGAGGCTAAGAAGAAGACGGTGTACGTCGCCACCGAAGAAGCACCGCAGCGCAGATGCCTTTCATGCCAGGAAGCCCACACACTACCTAGCTGCCCAAAGTTCAAGCAGCTAACGTATGATGACCGATGGGAGCTGGTGAAGAAGGAGGGCCTTTGCTTCAAATGCATCGTGGGCCGGCACCGTCGATTGAACTGCCGACAGAAGCTCTGCGGAATCAACGGATGCAAGCGACCGCATCACCGACTGTTGCACGCAGATGAGCGTGGAACGACGAACGACGTGGCTACGAGCGCGACCGACTCAAACGCGGCCGCAACGGAACCAGCCACCACCGAAACGACGACGGCTGCCACGACGACAAGCCGCGCCGTCAAATTGAAGATTTGCCCCGTGACAATCACGGGCAAACGTGGGAGCTGCGACACCTACGCGCTCTTCGACGAAGGCTCGACGGTCACCTTATTAGACGACGACCTGGCGCGACAGATCGGCGCCGACGGACCGACCGCACAGCTCAACGTCCGAGGAATAAACAAGAAGCAAAGTCACGTGCAGAGCCGTCGAGTGAAGATTGAAATAAAAGGAACGCGTAGTGACCAGACCTTCAAAATCAACGCTCGCACCATGGTGGGCCTGGACCTCACGCCGCAATCGATACCGGCGGAGGCGATGAAGCTACGACACCTAAGAGATCTCAACGAGCGAGAAGTCGTATACAAGAATGCGAAGCCTCGCATTTTGATCGGGACGGACAACTGGGAGCTCATAGTGACCCGCGAACTACGGTCAGGAAAAACCAAGGAACCAGCTGCCTCCAAAACCGAACTCGGATGGGTAATCCACGGGACGGCGCCATCGAGATCGCTTCGCCGCACCGAGGATATCCTACATGTCGTCACGACCGAAGCATCAGACGACCGACTAGAAGAACTCGTGTCGAGACACTTCCGGATCGACTCACTCGGAGTGTCGCTAGACGCATCACACGTCCGCGAAGAGGACAAGCGTGCCGTCTCCACGTTCGAACGCACCGTGAAGCACAAGGACGGCAGATACGAAGTGGGCCTGCCTTGGCGAAACGACGACGCCAAACTGCCACGGAGTTACGACTCAGCACTCCGCCGGCTCACGAATCTGGAGAACAAGTTGAGAAAAGATCCACGCGACATGGAAGAATACCAGCTGAGGATCGACAACCTCGTGAAAAAGGGATACGCCGAACCCTGCGACGGCTCCGAGGACGCAAGCCCCGTCGCATGGTACCTGCCGCATTTCGCCGTCAAGAATCCCAATAAGCCCGGGAAGCTGCGACTGGTTTTCGACGCGGCAGCAAGAATTCGAGGTGTCAGCCTGAACGATCACCTACTCGAAGGGCCGGATCTGCTACGATCGCTGCAGACCATTTTGTTCCGGTTCCGAGAGGGCGCATACGCGGTGACAGCTGACATCGAGGAAATGTTCCTGCGGATCAAGATACGCCGCGAGGACCAACCCGCACAGATGTTCCTGTGGCGCGACTGCAGGCAGAATGAACCACCGCGCAAGCTGAAGATGACATCGATGATCTTCGGCGCATCGAGCTCACCGTTCCTCGCACACAGCGTGAGGGACCACAACGCGAGACAGCATGCTGAGACGCACCCTGCAGCACTGCGCGCAATCACCGAAGCGCACTACATGGATGACTTCGTCGACAGCTTCAATGATCCGAGAGAGGCCCACGAAGTCATCACCCAAGTCGACGCAGTGCACCAGAAGGCTGGATTCCACCTGAGGGGATGGAACAGCAACAACAGGAAGCTTCTACAAGCCGTGAGCCCGGATAGTAGAGCCAAAAGCGGGACTACGACGTTTGGAGACGCAGAGAAGACATTGGGCCTGCTTTGGGATGCGAGTACCGATCGGCTGGGCTTCAATACCGCCCTGCCTAGAGTCCCACTGCCAGTGAAGTCTCGACAACGCCCGCCGACGAAAAGAGAAGCATTATCGACGGTGATGAGCATATACGATCCGCTCGGACTGCTCAGCTGCTTCACAATCACAGCGAAGATAACTCTTCAAAAACTATGGCGCCTCAAGACCGGCTGGGACGACCCTCTACCATCCGACTTGAGCGAGGACTTCGATGCATGGTTGACAAGCCTGCCAGCAATCGACCAACTACGGCTACCCCGTAGTTACAACGGGGGGAGAGAAGTGCGTCGCCGTGAACTTCATGTATTTTGCGACGCCAGCGAAGAAGCCTACGCAACGGCGGCGTATTGGAGGTTGCACTACGGACCCGGCCATGTCATCGAGACAGTTCTGATAGCGGCAAGAGCTAAGGTCTCGCCCTTGAAGACCCAAACCGTACCGCGCCTGGAACTTGAAGCGGCACTACGAAGAATGGCAGCACGACGAGGATGGCCAGCCGTAATATATAGCGACAACGGCACTAACTTCCGAGGGGCTGACACCGAGCTCAAGAAGGCGTACACCGAGTGGCTTCCCGAGCTGAAGAGAGAGGCGATGAACTACGATGCCACATGGAAATTCATCGCGCCGGGAGCACCTAACCAAGGCGGAGCCTGGGAACGCATGGTTCGCTCCGTGAAAACCGCGCTCAACGCAACATTAAAGGAACGAGCACCGAAGGAGGAAGTCCTGCACACTCTACTGGCCGAGGCGGAACATGCTGTCAATTCACGACCATTGACGCATGTCTCCGTAGACCCAAGCGATCCGGAGGCGCTAACCCCAAACCACTTCTTGTTGGGGTCATCGACCGGCCTTCCATACACCGGGCCATGTGAAGAGGGCGACCGCAGGACTTGGAGGGCGACGCAAGCACTAGCCGACGCCTTCTGGAAACGCTGGCTACGAGAGTACCTACCGACCCTCGTACCACGCCGCGACCCACAACGTCCACGAAGCAGCGAAGTACGGATCGGAGACGTGGTTATCATAGCCGACCACGCTCTGCCTCGAAACACGTGGCCACGCGGCATCGTAGCCAATACCTACCCTGGACCTGACGGCGTGATTCGGAACGTGGAGATAACCACAAGAGGAGGAACATTTCGGCGGCCGACATCGAAGCTGATCGTCGTCGAACCTGCACTCTCCACGGAACGATGAGAGAGGACGCGCTGCGCGACGGGCACGGGCTGCCAACCGGAGGAGGCTGCGGAGATCCTTCGCCGGGGGGAGACTGTTGACGACAGCCACGTGCCGAAAAAATGTACAGATCGAACGACCAATCACAGCGCCTACATTAGCGGAATTATCGGGGAGCCCATTGGCTGCGTAGGCGCCGTCCGCACGGTGGGGGCGATTCCCCCACCCGGCGCGCGGGAGTAAAACGCGCTGTGATTGGTCGGCCGCCGCGCGTCACTAGTAGCTAAGTTAGATGTTAAGTTTAGAATAAGGGTAGGGCCAAATTTGTAAATATTCGTAGTCAAGTCAAGTCAGTCAAGCAGTATAGTCAAGCAGTAATAAGTAGCCAGTAAGAAGAAAATACAATAAATCGCCTATAGAAGAAATTCGTCTTTGTTTTTCACCATCATCCACGGTTATACAGCATCGTCTACAGTTTGGTCCATAGAGCCGGATCAGCACCCTCAACAGTTTGGTCCTTCGAGCCGGATCAGCAACCTCAATATATTAATTTGTTTGCCTTTTTTCTTTTTTTGATATTTTTTGTGTTACCTGTTATATATATAAATATAAATTTCACTTAAAAGCTTGAAATAAAAACTCTTTAATAAAAATACAACTGACATATTCAAGAAAATGCTTTTATTATTATATCTATTTGAATTTTACTTTTAACAATTTAATATGTATATTGAATTAACCTTTACCTTTTGTTTTTGCAGCAGGACGCGTTATTGGATCTGATCGTGGGTTCGGAGCCGCTCACTAATGGCGATACGGATCATAAACCTGCGCCAGCGCTCAACAACAACAATAATAATGTCAGTATACTATTATCCTTAGTATTTTATTCCATTTTTCTCAGAGAAATGTTTACTTGAAAGGTCAAAGGTCAAATGTCGATATTATTACGATTGAAAATCAGGCATACAATTTATAAAATTATGGACACTTTTTTTATATATTTTGCGTGGAAGCTCCTTGGTGACATATTTGTATGTCCATATGAAACTGTACTACAAAATAACTTATTTCAAAGAATCTCAATAAAGATGTGGCCTATGTTTTTGTATCGCGCCTGTAAGTTTTAGAAAATATAAATAGAAAAACGAGCAATATATTCTATTCACTTAGAAATCTCGATTAGTGTTGCATATAAATAATAAACCCATCAACAATTCATTGCGTAGGAAATCCTAAGCGTTCCAGAGACAAAGAGATCGTTCCAACTCCAATCGTTTGAAAAAGCAGATATTCGTTAAAATCACATCTACACACAGTAATAAAACAAAGTCGCTTCCCGCTGTCTATGACTGATTAATGCTTTCAACATAAAGATTTATATATATAATAAAAAACCACACGGGCGAAGCCGCTGGCTGAATGTTAGTGTTTTATAATGTGTTTATTATACTGACGTGTTAAATATTATGTCAGGATATCCTAGACCTGCTGAGCGGGCTGGACCTGTCAGCAAGTGCCGTGTCCCCGGCATCTACTACGCCCGCGCCCGCCACTCTGCTGCTAGACGGACTGTTCTCCTCCACACCACACGTGCCCTCCACAGGTAATCCCCGACGCCGCCAGTTTGATGACGCAATGAGGAAGTATTAAAAAAGAAATCACTTAAAAAGCACCTCCACTAGATGGCGACTCTAGCAAAAGTTGATTTTGTAAAAAATGTATGGACCAAAGACAGTTTTTTCTGTTCCTTTTTCTAACATATTAAAAAACTGAAATTTGCAAAGTTCCAAATTTAGATATCAATACAAATATGAAAAAGTACTAATAGAATATGAGTTGTTTATTGAGTTTTGAAAACTAATGTACTTTTATACATATAAGAAAACCGGAAAGGTTTTCGTGGAGAAATCAAGAAAGTACCATAGCGACATCTAGTTTGATTGTGGGTACTATTTTTTTTTATTAATACTTCCTCATTGCGTTAAAAATCAGTACCGTAAACAAATAAACACTGGTTGACGAGTACACTTATTGAGATTTTTTTTAAGTGTTTTTTTTTAATATTCTTCCTTTACCTTTAATATGTTTTTTTGTGTAATTTTATGACTTCGTTTAGTTTTACTAAATTGTCATATTTCATGCGCTATTTTTTTCCGTTTATAATATTATATACTGAAAAATATTCTTTATAATGCTAAAAAATCCACATATAATATTTATTTTATTTTCGTTTACTGTCTACACCCGAATTACATCTGTGTATTGTCCACAGAAGTGAGCACGGTGACAGCACTAGATAAGGGTGGCCTCCTGGTGGTCCTGGAGGTGGAGAAGTGGCCCGCCAGCGACGGCGTCACTCTCACCATGAGGGCCACGTCTCATACAACACTCACCGATTTCCTGTTCCAAGCGGCCGTGCCCAGGGTAAACATAAATTCATATATACGTATGTTAGGTTCTTATCAGAAGTGAAATTATTTTAAAGAAAAACACCGAATCACGATAAATTTCTTTAATAACACCTAAGTGCGCACGCGCACGTTCTCTATAACTTGTCCCCGCGCTCGATAACACCTCTCTCACGGCTCTCCTTACAATATATGTATATACATATATTGTATATACATGTATATATGTGTTACAGTTAACACTAATTTTTAGATAGAACGGGATTTCCTTAGTTAGAACTAGTTTTTACTTAATGCCATTGTCAAAATTAGAATTAACGAATGCTAAAATAATTTTATATCAGTTAAAACTACATCTTACTTGACAAGACGCGTTTTACCGAAGCAAATCAGTGGAAAAAAACTTATAACTAAATATATATAAATGTGTTGTAAATATTTATTCAATTAAATACGACGATACATTAGAACGTCTCTTGACGTCACGCTCTTTTATACATTTTCTATATAGCTGTGACGTAGCAAGCTCCTCAATTTTAATGCATATGTAGGTCATTTCTTGTTAAATTGTAGCGAAACAGAGCTAATATTTTTCTATTATGTGACTGACGGTCTAAATAGTCTTTTTTTCCCTATTGTTTAAGTTTTACTTATCAAAGATCTCCTTCATATACGTTGCAGACGTTTCGGTTGGATATGATGTCACCCTCCGGTACTGTGCTCACTCCACAGAGTGAAATCACACAAGTACTCAAGATAACGAATCCCACGAAAGTAAGTAGTATTAAGGTTTTTTATTTGTCGGAATCATTTTTTAAACATATTTAAATCATAGCGAGTGAAATGTGGAAGATTTTGTCGAAATCATTCTAAAGTTTGTACCTATAATTTTTTTTTTCTATTCTATTTTTTAAGCATAAATCAGTTTCTATCAGAGTTAAATAATTTGTATCTGTACTGGTATGACTTTAGATGTTTGTAGGTAGTTTTATTCCAGCAGCTAAGTACTTAGCTTTACCTATTAAAATTGGAACCTGAGCAATGTATGTGATGTTGTGTTATGCCAATACATGCCAAATAAGAGTAGGACCATGTTAGCTGCCAACTTCATGGCATAACTTCCATTATAGGTACTGACAGCAAAATAAAGTTTGCTTAATATTTTATTTGAATTCGTTTAACTTTATAAATACATGAAATTGTTAGATTCATTATTATTACTAACCCAACTTTATTTTAGGATTTAATATTATTCTTTTCTTTGTTACTTAATATAAAATTGACTATTTTTGTAGCAATATTAAGCTGCCCACTCGTTAACACACAACTAAAATTATAAAACGAACAAAGTCTTCAAATATCAATGTGCCTCCTGTCCATAACGCGTTAATTTATAAATAGTAAATATATTTTTTTGCACACCGTACACCGTGAAGTTGAAGCGCAATACGAACCAAGATGTGTGTTTGTTTCTTAGTCTCTCATAATATGTATTGTTTATATTCAGACACCCCTACGGCTGCGGATACGAGTGTCCTACTCTACCGAAGGCAATCCGGTATTAGAGCAAGCGGAAGTGAACACCTTCCCGCCGGACTTGTTCAACTGACGAGCGGCCCATCCGCCCGGCTACTGTCTTTAGCCGACACGTACAATAACACACTGACCAACAATAATGAGACACTTTTTAGCCATCGGTTTATTACGTAACACGATTTTTGCTTGTTTTTAACTCCCCCCCCTTATTTGTATGTAAAAAAAAAGTAAGAATCTACTAACACTTGTTTCAATATTTATTACGTACTAGGTTTCCGCCAGCGTAACTTGCAAGTACATTTAGCCGTAAAGAGCTGTTTAGTGGAATAAAAGATCATATGTTCACTCATGCATATTATCGGTGTAGCAAATTTCATAAACAGTAGTTCAGTAATTTTGGTGTCAAAAAAGTAACAAACGCCCATACTTCCTTACAAACTTTCCTTTTTATAAAGAAAGAATAAGAATCATTTTACGTAATAAAAGTATGTGGTGTATACAGGACAAATTTGTAATCAGTGCCCATATATTAATATAGTATTTGTTACAGCAAATCACTTTTTTTTCTCTTCGACTTGTTTCTAGTAATAAGTCAAAAGGATCTAGAAGCGTACAGCCTAGTCTCCTATAATTAGTTATTGCATTAACATTACACTACTTAAGATTTATCTATTTTACCTAGAGATTGAGGACCTATTTTTCTCGATATAGCTACAAATTATTTACTATATAATTTAATATGTGATTTTTTTTCTATTTAAACTCCAAGTAAACGAAATTGCACTGATTAAAAACTTATCCTGTAATAACTGTAAACTAATCCTGTTCACAACTGTGTTAAATCTGGTTCTCAAAGGTACATATTTTTCTTAATACTTATTAAATGATATAATGTGAATGCTGATAGCTGTCTTATAACATATAACTAGATGTTATGATACTTGATATTAACATCAACTCTTTGAATTTATCTAGTATTTTTTTCATTTCCTTGTTGAGAGAAAGAGATGTACAATAACCAGTATAAGAGAGTCAGAAAAGATTTGAGCTTACATGAAAACATCTTTTTTTAGTCGAACATCATTATGCCAATTTTTTATACTAACTGTACAAATATATCCATTACATCTACTAAAATGTAACTTTATTTAAATCCCTGTAATTTTCTTAAAAATCGTTTAAAATTGTGTATTATCTTAATAAGTGTTAAATCTCCACTTTCATAATTTTTGTCTGTTACTACAATAGTTGTTAAAAAAAAAGGCATATGTTATTTCAGTTTTGTTTGATGTCAATGATGTCCCAAACTGTATTTGTAACACCTATATAAAATTAAGAAGAAATATAAAAGCTTTTGTGACACGTTTAGCGTCTGTGATCTAAAATATACCGATAGGGATACACTAATGAAATTTTAGCCCTACGATAGTTTATTCGCTTCGTTTGCACCGTAGAACTGCGTCTAATTATAAAACAAGGACCAACTTTTGTACCAAGTTTTAACCATTATCCGACTACAATAAGACAACAAATCTCAAATTAACGTTTTCTTTTCTATTCTTAATGAGAAATACTAAATTCCACCAGTCTCTGGTATACATAGGACCTGAACCCGCAATCCGGGTGACTGCTCTAACCACTGAGCTACCCGGGCCTGAGTTGAGTTGAGTTTGACTGTTTGGACTGTCGAATTTTTCAAGTACTTGTGAGCAATATTTTCATCAATTTTCAAGCGACTCTCCCAAAAAGCCGAAAGATACATTTTTACAAATATTTGAAACTTTATATAAAGTTAAAAATATTTGTAAAAATTATATTAACTTTCTATGAAAACTTGTCAATTTGCATTAGGCGGTCAATGGTTAAAAACAAATTCTAAATTCGGTCCTCGTTTTTTAATAAGACTGCTTTGGTTTAATTCTACTTAAGACTGATGGCATGTACGTATGTATTACTGTACAAGACAGTTTGCTGTGTCTTTGACTCATAATTATTTAACATTCCACTAATTTAATTAAATTCTAAATAAAAAGTGTTGATGAGAAATGTTCTTGCAATGTCTTTGATAAAATCGAACGACGTCCATTGAGAACAAATAGTGGTGATAGAAATTAGGTGTTCACATAGTATTAAAACACTAATGATTATATTTTCTCTGATATTTACTACTTAATTTTCTGTTTTTTTTTTTCTTTAAATATAGCAAACATTGTGTGTTCATTTATTAGTTTGTCTTAGGCAGCTTTGCACTTAAACTTTGCTTCATTTGTATGTTCTTTTTCTGTAGAAAAATACATCTAATTCTGGAATGGTTAATTTTTAATATACAGACAACAGCATGTCAAGTTACTACATAAGACCTTTCTCCGTGCAATTTTAAAAGCCTCAATCTGCTGATATTAAGTCCTAATTGTTTGCAGAAAATTGCCGTAAAAGAGGGACTGTAAAATCTCCATAACGAGATTAAATCGTATCTGATCGGAATAGACATAACGCAACGCGTCTTGTATTATGTACATAAAAAAAATGAGATTGCGAAATGTATATGGTGTATAGGAAGTTGTAAAGAATACGGAATGTACTTAATTATGATCACTATTATGATTTTTGCGTGTGATAAAGCACTTAGTATATAATGTCGAAGGATTGATGTATAAAATAATGTTATAGTCATTTATTCGAAATCGTTTATTTTATTGTTCCTGTCATGTGATGTGTTAAATTTTATAATCACGACTATCTCCCACCAGGAGTCGAGAACTCAATTATTATATGTGACAGGGATCCTATTATATTTATTGAATCTTTTATTCTACACCGTAACTAGTTTTTATAGTATATCGTTATTCCCTATGCATTTGGTTAAGCGTAGTTATTTGTGTATGAGATTCGTTAATTGCTTCAAATGCTAGTATTTGTAGTTCGTTAATATTTCTTTGTAAGTCTTTAAGGATTTTACATTTTGCAGAAATGTAAATAAATATAGACCATCTCAATATATCAGATTATACAATGTGGTTATTCATAACGTTTCTCTCAAATTTAGGATTTTGTGAGATTTTAACATTTAGATTAGCTTTTAATTTGTGCTATTTATGATTGTATAATGTTACTAACCAGCACATTTCAATGAAATATCAGAAATATATTAAATGTAAGATATGATTTGGAATCGTAAACTGAAGTGACAGGCAGATGCCTTTAGTTTTAGACATTTTTAACTACCACATTTGTGTAATCATGGGTTATAAATACAAATATTATTTTCCAATATGAAAAGAGAGCTTGGCAAGATATATCGTAATTTGGTGCTTGTTTTATTAATAAAAAAATATCTGATTGAATAGAAAGCCCTCCACAAGTTATGCGAGATGTTATGATTTTTGTGTAACTAAAACTATGTGAAAGATGTACATAATGACTATGATTTTATGTAAATTGGTTAATAAATATTTGAGAATGTTTATATAATCAAAAAATTGTTTTACATTTCAATCTTCCATTGTTGATTTTTAGATTTTTTTGCTTAATTGCCTTACTATTTTTTTTTTATATACACTCAAATCCCTCATCCTTTAATATAATAATAGGTTTGCATTTATATTGAAGGAAATTAATTATACTGAAGAAATCGCTACATTTATAATCATTTATTACATTACATACAAAACCTTATGTTAGAATGTTAATATTCCTAAATTAATTTCATCTCATATTCACTCTATCATCGGCGTGGGCGGCGCGGGGCGGCCGCTTACACTGTTAAACAAGCGATCTTTGATCATCTGGGCCATAAGACCGTGGATGACTTCAATAGTGGTCTTGCAAGCATCCTTTGTGGCCTTGCCCAATTTGTCTTCTGTGCGTTTTTCATGTGGATCAGAGCCGGCTACAATGAAGCCACCACGGCCTGTGGACCAATAATAGCCATGAGTTTTTGATATTTAGTTTGCTAATAAAAAGTGAAAGACAATTAATTGCTCTAAGGATGTTATAGAGGTTTTCATCTATTATTCAGAGCCAACTATATAAACACAAAGTATTGATTATACTTAAAAATAAATAAAATTAGCTTCACATGTTTATATATTTTTTGAGCAACAAGAGAGACTTACTTCATTACAAAATGCATGTGAAATATTGTCAATTAAGGCAAAAAGTAGGCTTATAATGGCATAAAATATTGTGTGCCAAAAACATTAATGATGAAATGCCAGATTGGTAATTGTATTTTCACTTGTTTATCAAAGTATAACAAACTAATACAGATATAGCTGCTACACAGCTAAGTATGAGAATTAAACAGCTTTTATTTCATGTTCATTTCGATATATTTCAAGAAAATATATTAATATGCAGCACCTTAAATTATGAAAGCAAAAAATTACATATGGCCTAGGACTGCCAAAGCTGTAAATCCACCTCTGAATATTGTGCTATATATAAAAGAATGTCACAACAGGGACCTGGTGGAAAGTAATTTGGATGCAGTATAACATAAATATTATTTTTAACACTCACTTGCACAATCAACCGCACACCTTCTATTTATTTAAATTTGCAGAAATTGCCAAGCTTAGACCATATTTTATGAAAGTAATGTTAAAAACTATACTCAAAGAAAATGAAACAACAAAAATATAGGAAAAAATGTCTTTTGTAAAAAATGTTTACGTAAAACTTTGAGCGTTTGCATTTACTCTATCGAACACAACAAGATCGGTACGAGATACCTCCACAAACCATTATTGACCCCTCTGGTAACCTACTGTTTTAGTTATAGCGCATAGAGCAAAACTCTCATTTTACTCTGCTCTCATATGAGAACAGTACGTTCTTCCATTCCTCTACAGTCCAGTCAGCATATTCTCGCGCAAAACCAAGTCTAGCTCTACTGTGTCGTCGAGCAGTTGCGGAGCGCGAGCTGGGCGAAAAGTCCTCAAATTACTTTTAGCTAGTCTTCTCTAATGGTACGTTCACTGACACTGACATTTCTCACCTCAAAAAGACGCATATGAGCTTCAGTAGCAGTCGAAAAGCGATTTCTCAACACATTGATGACAACGAAACGGTCATTTCGAGTCAAAGTGCGTCGATGCCCTCGACCTGACCTGCGGATGTATAAACTTGTCTCCCGAAATCTCGTACCTTAGTTCAAGGTAAACAGAGTGTGCAAGCGATGAGGCGGTGGCTATACCTCGCATCAGCTAAACCCACTGCCCTAGCTACATCAGTTGCATCAGGTGGCATTTTTTGCAATCACAAACAATGGGCAAACATTATAATTTCAAATTAAATTTGCTCACTATGATAGATAATAATAGGAAATGTTAACTCAGCAACACAACGGCAACAATGTAAAACAATGACTGAAGTCCGAAAACCCTTCAGTGACACAAATTTAGGAAAAAAACAATAGTATAAGTGTTTTATTTATTGATAGAGTACCCACTTAACAAAAAACAAAACAGTTGATAAGCCATATTTGGTGGAACCAAACAGGGTGATGAATGATATGGGTGTGCAGTTAATTGTGCCTGTGAGTGTATATTATGAGAGATAAATTATACTCACCTAAAGAAACTTCACTCTGTTCCAACTTGTCAGATAAATCAAATATTTGTCCAGTAGTATAATCAGCATTTGTGATAAGACTAGAGCTACTGAGCGTGTTCACCCAATACTTATTCCAAAGGGAATCCAGGAGCCTCCTGTCCAGTGATGATTTGAAGTAAGACACTTCTAAAGAATAGTACTGCTTGCAATGGACACCAAAATCTTCAATTTTGTTCAAAGGAATTGTTTGGTATTCAGATGGTTCTTCATTTGCAGGTTTGTAGCCCTAAACAAGATGTGATTATTTTACTCGCTGAATAGTACAGTGGCACAACTCAAAAACCATATTTCGAGAAACACTCTCTGAAGTTATGAAAATTTAATATATTTATAATTATGAAAATCAATTTTTTTTTAGCATAACAGTTAAATCATTTATATTATATTATTACTGTTAAGTTGTTTATTTTTTCTTTAAATTATCTATGGGATGCCGCCACAATGTTGTGGCGTTTTCTCGAAAAAATGGTTTTTGAGTTGCGCCACTGTACTATTCAGTAAGCGATTTAAGCTACTATTTTCATTGATAATTAAAAAAAAAATCACTTGAAGGTAGTTTTACCTTAGGGTATGTTCTAAAAGCACCAAGGCATACTTTCCCAGCAGAAATTGTTCTAACTGGATCAATAACAATAGCAACAAATGGTTCCTGGAAATTTTGGTTGAGCATCTGGGTGGACACATCAATGCCTGACAGCCAGCATCCATACCCAGGGTGACTGTGGTACCACCCTATGGCATTTTCATGTCGGCCAACCTAAAATACAATCAAATATTATACCTTATTCATTAACATTATAAAAAAGGGAAAAATTTATAGTAAATTATCAGTCTACAGACATATTTTATGTTAATGTCCCTTGAATGGTTTTTATAAATTCTTATCAAATGTGTTGTCATGAAACATAAAGGGTATTTAACATATTTTAAACTTTCCAAGGGTCAATTTGTTACATACAAATATCTGTTGAAACTGTAGTGTTAATATACCTGTTTTGCTGCTTCAATATAAGCAGTCATGTACTCATAAGCTTGAGCTTGTGCATTCACTCGTGTCTCTGTCCCTTCAACAGGCAGTGCAAAGGAATCCATAACTATCATAGTGTTTGCATCCACTTTACCTAAATCATCAATAAAGTACTTAATTAATTTGCTCAAAAGTATAACACAAAAAACAAAATGTGAACAGTGAATGAGAACTTACCAAGTAGAAGACCCATTACTTCTAAAGTTCCACCAGAACGAGCATGCATTACCATCTTCAACAGTGCTAATGCTGATATTTTGATATCTTTGAAGAAATGGGGACTGAAACAGATATAAGACGGACCATAACATCTTTCTGCGGAGTGGAATATAACATAACACAATGAAAAAATAGACAAAGTCATACTCCTTTTCCCATGGTTTCGCCGCAAGTATATCTTGTTGTTGCCTTTTGTCATAACGATAAATTTCGTCAACACTAGATACGTTTTCTATATTATTTGCCATTACCCATGACTTTTGAGCAATGGTTGATTGAGAATCGGCACTAGTCGATGCCATATTACTTTAATTTAGCAAACTGTTCTTCCAATTTTTATCTTAACGGCAATTTTTATTTCAATAAAAATAAGATTGTGAGTTTTACTTGTCAAACATTTGACATGTGATTGACAAACGACAGACAGACGAAAAACGAAATTCACCAACCAGAGCAAAATAGACAGATTAGGGATGCATCTGAGATAGATTAATCGAATAATCTTTCAAAACAAAAATATTAAAACATTACGTAATACAAAATCAATTAGCGATTCGTTATTTCACCCATAAAATCGACACTTGAGTTTTCTATAAAAAAATTTACTATTAGTTGAATGTACCTGTATTAAAAGAGTACTGCCGTTTAAAGGGTTAAGGGCTAATTACCAGAGGGCGGAATTAGGTAGAGTTATTTATGTACTTGCATCGAAATGTTGATATTAATATGGACCTTCCCGGGATTTCTAATGATCAATCCCGTGTGGCCAACAATCTTACAACTAAATAATAATAACAACGTCAGAGATATATTATCTTAGAAAACAAAGATAATTAACAAATTTTTTGTTAGTTTACATTAATTTACAATACAAATTATTGATAGTCTTAAGCAAATTCTCATACGCATATTTCGCCTTTTTTATAAATACGAGCGAATACTTTTGCTTCTAGCCTAGACTCATGAGGTTTTGCCTATTCAAACGGCCCATCAGAATCATTTTCCTTGTCCGATTGATTACCAGTAAGATTTGAAGTGTTCGCTTCCGTTACTTCATTACTGTATAACTTTTGTGAGAATTAAAATATATAATCATAAGCTTTTAAATATTTTTTGGCTTCAATGAATTTCTCCGAACATTTAAAATCCATTTGTATATTGAAAAAGATCGCTCTACGTTAACTGAGGTAAGGTTAGCAAATTTATACACTTCCTCCTCCTCGTCATTAGTGCAGGAAGAAATTTTTTATGCTATATTTCTGATAGTGTCCAAATCAGGATTTCTATCCATGACTTTTTCCGTTTTATCTTCTAAGCTCTCACAATTTGCCCATCTCAAAGCTAATCTCACTGTATCAAATATTTCAAATGATTCCATTAGAGAAAGATCGGGTTTCTATAGTGATGTCAAAGCTGTTGGTATAATTGAAAAATTTTCGTAAATACAAGACAAATCATCCTAATGTTGTCATTATTATTAAAAAAATTTAAAGCATTCTCTATTGATTTTGCCTCTTGACTGTTCAGCACAGACAATACAGATTTAATTTCATCGAAATGCTTAGCGTAATAGAATGCTGCATCAAACCGAGTACCCCATCTGGTAATTACAGGTGCAGGAGGTAAAGGTAAATCCGGACACATTTCTTTAAAGATTTTAATTCTTATTGGTGCCTTCAAAAAATTTTTTTTCATATTTGAAATTAAACTGTCAACATTTTTGGAAAAGTTGATTTTAAAATTCTACCAGCTGATACCACACTGTCTGTACATAAGGTTCTAACGTTATCTAGTTTGCTCTCAAATGAACTTCCCCACATATTGTTTAAAGAATCTTGATCAAATTGTGATATCGTTGTTCCATTTACAGTATCTAGCATTTTACATGCCACTAAGTAAGGCTGATGGCACCTACTAGGTTGTAATGGTCTCACCAACAAATGTACGACAGCTCTTCCTAAGAAATCCGTAGTTTCGTCTACTGAAAGCCATAGCTTTTTATCTACAGTCTTACTTTGCATCTCTTGTGCTTTGATTTTAAAAAGCTGATCCAGGTAAATTTTTCTCAATAAGGATTCACTAGGTAGTTCAATATTTTTGCAATTGCAACACATGTACTTTTGAAAAAATGTTTTAAATACATTGTTGCTCAGTTGGGACCATGGTATGTTACAAAGAATCATAAATTCGATTAAATCGAAGTAAAATTCTAAAGGAGTGTGGCGCTCGTTCTTCGTGCCTTTATATACTGCTCCTTCTACATGTCGTTGGATATTACTCTGACGAGTTGCATTCAAATGTGCTTCGCATTTAGAGCAGTAAATTAATCCACTTGCATGGTCGTAAAATAGCTCCGGATTATCTTTGATCCACTTGTTGACGGTGGCTTCTTTGATTGAACTCTGCGCCATGATAATACTTTTAATCTGGAGCAAAAAAATTATAAATTTTAGAAAACCGTATGAATGTGTTTGTAAGTATGTGAGAGATAGGGCACAACAGTTGCGAAGTTTAAAAGATCTAAGCGTGCATAAATTCATACAGACAATTCATATAGACAGACGGCGGGAAGCGAACTTTGTTTTATACTAAAGTTTAAAGCTAAAAAAGAAAATCAATAAAAGATTACCAGAAAATGTAACTCCAATCGTTAACCATATAGTCAATCAATAAAATAAACGAGTCCCGTATGTTAAGCTTCTTCAGTAGCATTTGAAATCATTGTTACTTTATTGTGATTGTATCAAAGAACATCTTAAGTTAAACAATACCGATTTTGATAACAATACAAGAAAACGTTCTACATAGGGAAAATTTATTTTAAAGGAAATTTAATAAAAATATGAACAAGAAACTTACCAAGTATATCACCAATTTCAAATATCCAATTATCCAATACAGTAAGGCCAAATCAAAGTCCGTTAATGCGTGCCGAAATAGTCGTATTAAGTAGAGTCCAGAATCCAGTAAACGAGCCAGGGTCAAACAGGAAATTCAAAGATTACGTGACCCTGATTTTTCACTTCGAAATTTGTGCAAGTTTTTTTATTATTATATGAAATTAATATAAATATAAATTTTTAAATATTTTTATCAATATCAGATCGGAAATTTCATCAGGAAAAAGATTTTTCGGATTTATATAAGATCTAAAAATGTCAATAATATATCGTTATTGTGAGGTACGTATCGATATTATATAAATTGATTCAACTATCTTCATAAAACTGGCACCCCTCGTTTTGACAAAGACAGTTTGTTTTTTTATTTTAAGATATGTTGAAGTTTAGTCCATACAGCCAAATATAAGATAAATATAATACAATGAATTGATGGCATTTCTTTAAGAAACTAAGATTTTTCGACTTAACCAAAAGAAACAGTAATACAAAAAACACAGGAATAAACTAAATATCATTATCGTTCAATAGGTATTTAAAAGCCTTATAACAAATATTTCCTGAAAATCAATATATTTTCTTGCCTTAAAATTAAATCAAAATTTAAACTTACTGTAAATCATAAAACTCAATAAAAAACAGGCATTGTGAAAAACAGTGTATGCCAAATTAGCTTATTGCAAAATGAAGTTATTTTTGAAGAAATTTCTATTTGATGTTTTTTTTTAAATTACCAACTTCATAATACATTTTTTCATTCATCAAACACGGTAATGCTTATGAAATAATAAATATAAAGAAAATTTAAAGGTAAACACAGCTTGCTATCCAACAAATATAATATCTACATAGGTATATATGTAACAGAAACAATAAAAAATAATAAGAACATCTAATAACATTATGACAAAAAGTTCTGGCTCAAAGGTGAAATCCAGAGGAGGATATGGGTTTGGCCACCATAGGCCATGTATGTTTATTAGCCACCCCTTTTCGAGCAGTCATAATTTAAGCACTGCATAATTATGAATTATATATACTACTATATTTATGTTTCAGCTAAATAAGTGAAAATATAATATAAGTTCAAGTACTCGGAATTTCATTATTCCTCTTTTGGTACACAACATATTATTTAATTTATTTCTTGTTAGTCATCAGTATATGTTTGGCATTATTGGCCGCTTCTATGATCTTTGGGTAAATCTACCCCTGACCTACCCAGTTTAAATTCTTCACCAATAACTGTTTAGGATTTATCAACGCTGAGGCTGTATTATATTATTCTGATAATTTCGTTGTGTGATAAGTACCTGTCAATCAGAACGACCGGCACAGAACTGATTTTATTTTGACTAAAAATGGTAAAATATTGAACCAAAAAATGATGAGAATACCTTGTTTTTTTTTATTACTTGTTTCGCCATCACAACATCATACATGATTCATTTATTATTCAAGAATTAGCTTAGCGACAAAACCCCATATATTGCATCATACTGTTTTGAGGTCAAGTAATGATTGATTCGAATGAATATTTAAATAAGTCTACATCAATATTAAAGAGAAATTGTTTTCTATAATTATTTACAAAATAGAATTCAAAATTGTATTTATTAATTAATCAGCTACATGATAATTAAAAGTTCGAAATCAAAATTCCCGCCTGTGTAATCATCGTCCTCCTATCGGGTGACGTTATGATGTCTGTCTCTTTCTAACGTATACATAAATTGATACTCCAAGCATCAACATATGATTGCTCTGTCTAACACATTGTAAAACGAATCCGCCCACTCATTTCAATTCTCCAATGAGAAAGCACCACATACACGTCTGGAAAATCAAAGAAATATTTTATTTATTGACTCGAGCTTGATAATGTTTGACGCAATCGTTTGTTACGCGCTACGGGAAATATATCGCAGAAAAGTGCTCTAGCAAGCGGTGAATAAAAATATTCAAAGTTAGCATGACATCGTTAAGACAATAAATCAAGAGCAGTGTGTGGTGAATGTGTGTATGTTTTAAATTTATGATAAGAAGTTCAAAGTAAAAATGAGTGCACCGATAATTATCACGGTACCAAATAACTACTTGGCGGTGGATGAAGTGGACTCCAAGGACGTGATGGATGACATAGCTACGCCACCACCATCGAGGAAACGGCGGCTGGATCATCTAACATGGGAGGAAAAGATGCAAAGGAAGTGAGTCATTAAATAATTTCATTTATTTAGTACCTACTGTCTTTTGCTTGCGTGTCGTAACAACGGGACTAAAGTTCTACGTAAACTGGTCGTTCGATTTTTCTAGTAATTTCAAGTTTCTATCTTGTCAACAATGTTCAATTTTTATTGGTGTTCTTTCTTAATGCCGGTAAACCGGCTAAAGAAGAGTGTATTTCTGAGAAACATTGTTATCCTATAATCATATCGATTAACAAGAACAATGATGTTTACACAGGAAGCTGAAAAATCGCGTGGCGGCACAGACATCGCGCGACAGAAAGAAGGCCAAAATGGACGAGATGGAATTTCAGATTAAAAAGTTGATGGAATCCAACGAGAGACTAACGAACGAGGTGTCGAGCTTAAAAGCTTTGAACGAGCGTTTGTTGAGTGAGAACGCTTCGCTACGCAGCGAGGCAGCGGCGCGGAACGTCGCGGGGGCCCAGGGACCAGCAGAGTCTACTCCTCAGCAGCAGGAGGGGCCCCCGACGGCGATCCGCGCGGCGCGCCTGCTACTAGCGATGTGCCTACTCTCACAGACCTCCTTGCACACTTCGACTCAGAAGAGTATCTCGACACCCTCCATCAACTTGCAGACTCCCTCCTCAAAGAAATTGATGCAGGTGCTGCAGGAGCGTCTGAAGATGTAAGTGTCTGATACATACAAATCTTAATCATATCTTGTTGCAATATAAAACTCAGTATTTTTAAATGAATCTTAATGTAAATCTGTAACCTGCAAAACTGCAAAACTCTTAATCAATAATGATATGGTCTAACAGGATATAAAATTTAATTGAATAGACAGACCAATGCTAAAAACAGTCGGTGTTGACATTACATGCCCTGTGAGTTTATTTAAAATACAATATATGTATCTTTCACTTCTTTTTCTAAATCGCAAACTGTTGAACATCCTAACCAAGATAGACCATTTGGTGTATATGCGGCTATAATATTTACCTTTTGTCCAAACATAATTATGTAATATTCAATAACTGCATTCTTGCAATGTTTTTGATATTATATTTTATTTGTTTTTGTTATAGGTCTCAGTCCGGATCCCTGGAGAGTGCCCTAAAGGAGTTGAAGTGGTGGGGTCCACAGCAAAGCACCTGGAATCCAGTGAAGGTGCAGTCGTAGACCTCAAGCACGACGTCAACAGGATACTGTCACAACACTCATATGCACATCCCTACATACCCGATGTGATTGTCACTAAACCAGAAGAAACAGTACAAATTAAAGAAGAAATAGGAAACGACAAAGGGGACATATTTTACACCAGCGTCGATGACGCCAACGACTGCATCACTGTCGAAGTGCCTTGCGATGAACAAATTGTGGAAGAGGTGACCGCAACCCAAACTGAGATGGATACAAATTCCATGACAGATGTTTCTGGAATATCTCTAGATTGTGATCTCAAAATGTTTTCACCATTGAGTCTTTCTCCTAATGTGGCCGAAGAGAATGTATTACTGTCGCCCTCCCACACCAGTATATCGGATCTTGGTTATGAATCATTATCCTCGCCTCTCAGTGAGTCTGAGTCTATGGACCTTTCAGATTTTTGGTGTGAATCATTTTCAGAATTATTTCCAGGATTAGCTTAAAGGAGCAATTCTGCATTTTTCTCACCAAAGACTGACTAATTATAGATATTTTTAATTTAAGAATAATTTGTAACTGGTTAATATATGTTTTAATTATGTAGGGATATGTAAATAGTGTTGTAAATAAATATGTATTCTGTGAATCAAATAATGCAGTTTATCTTTATAGAAAAACCCAAAGCCCAGTCTGGAAACATCCAATCGATTTAATAATGATTATATCAAGGTCAGTGATAAATACCTAGAATAATAAATTGATGATGCAATATCGACCTTTCTAGCTTAATAAAATAATAATATTTTTGAAAGAATGACAACAACAAATCTGGATGGTAAAACTGGTAGCGTGTGTTACTCACTCTTTTTGAATGAGGATGAGTGACGACCTCATTTTCCCTCGTGAGGGGCTCGCGAGTCACCACTCATTTGAGGTGAGGATAGGTAATGTTACAGTAGCAGCGAATGAGTACGTAGCGAGGCGCGCGCAACGTTGCCGTTTGGTACAAAATGAGGGAGGGAGTCGCTAATGCTAAACAAAACATATTTTGTCTTTAGATTCTAAGAAATAAACTTTACTAGACTATAAATTATCAGAATGACCACAACATGCAACTTATTTTTTAATAGTGTCAAATGTCCCATTTTTAAAATCGATCAATCATTTATATTTCGAATCATATAAATACATTTCTAAATAAAACAGATACATTTTTATTAACTTTGATATTTACTTAGTCTAATTCATATCAATTATCTATAAAATATTAAAGACGTATTTGCGAAGAAACACAAACAAACCTGAATCATTCCAAAAAACTCATAAAACTTAACCCATTCCCTCAATCTTGAATATCGAGTCGCCTTTTCATTCCAAACAACTCGCTATTTAGTTACTCACTCAAAAAGTCCACAACTTCATTTAGCTCCTCACTCCAAAAGTGAGGAACTTAATGAGGTGTTTCAAAATTGAAAAACGAGTACTCCCTCATTTTGTCGAAATGAGGAACTCAAACGAGGCACCTCGCGAGTGAGGGACTTATCACTAAAAACTGGGCGTATAGATACATACAAGTAAAAAAACGTTTTAGACTAAGACTAAGGGCAAAAGAGTAAATGAAACTGAATCCGCTACTTCGCCACTGAAATAGATAGGGACAGAGGATAGCGTTAATACCCATCAAAAAGATTTTTAATAAATTACCTACTTTTGTCACAGTTCTCAGGAAAGCCAGTCTGGGCTACTCAGAGGCAACTTTATAATTTTCTTCTACCAAAACATGTAAATTAATGTTTTGATCTTTTCATTTTTCTTCCTTTAAATGTAGGTAGTTTCTCATTTTTGATTATAGCTTTATTTAGATTCAAGTGGTTTGTGCTTACGTGACCTCTTAAGCGGGAATTATATTTAGCAGACGCCACGTGGCCAGTTCAGGTCTTGGTTTCATACATTAAAAAGAAGGCTAGTAATCAAATGATACAAAATAATAAAAAGTAATGTAAACATAAAACTTAATAATAATGACTCAAGCGTAGTTCTCTTTGACAAGTTAAGCGCATATGTTACTTATATACATTTCGATACTAGGAAGATGAGACAAATAATAGAAACACCATTAAAAACATTAAATATATTTGTTAAAATATTACAGATTCAATAAAATCTCGTATCAGAATACACTGAAAAATAATTAATAACGGCTAACTAGCGTTTCACTCGCGGTTAATGTAACTCACGTGGTCGCCCCACTATAAAAGCAAAGCGATACAAAATATCATACCCCTCTTGACAATCCAATGTAACTAGGTATTTCCCGTAACTAGATTATACCAGAGCGGTTTTGTGATAAACGTAAACTGATAATCGGATTTTTCTCGAAGTTTGCATTACAGATATATGCATACGTAGTTACAAGACGTCTAGGTACGGTCATAATTGAACTCTGATAAAACTTTTGGCACTTACAGCTAACGAACTAAAAAGCGATAACGTATTTCGTAGCGATAAAAACAACAATTAAGCTGAAACTGTACAACGCCGGCTATATACGATAATGGAAGATACAAAACTTATATTTATACCGGATTGGCGGAAACAATACAAAATAATGTACTTACAACTACTATTATATCAGAGTATAAGTGTTGCGTCATATTTATATCACCCTCACAACTCTTATTTATTAACAAGTTTTGTCTGTGACAATGTATTATCTAATCACAAAATCACCATTTAAATATCTCTTATCTAATTTTAGCTCTTTAAATTTAGTACAAACATTTATTAGGTGTTAAATTATATGCTCAGATTTAAACATATATTAAAAGTATCGTACCGACTAGCGACTTTCTTAGCATAAGGTACAGTAATCATAGTCGTAATAATATTAATTTTCAATATCCTTTGAAGTGTTGATTGATAAAAACCATATGCAAGTTGAATCTGATTTCTCAGTCCAACCAATTCGTCGATTAGATGATTAGTTCGTTTAAAATATTTAAACTTACGATAACTAAAAGGAAATAAATACAAAATCGAAGCATCCATCCGTACTTCCATATTATAGTACAATTGAACATCAATAAATAATCATATAAAAAGATCATATTCGATGACTATTATTTAGGCCCTCGGATACTTTATAACGCTTTTTGTTAGAAACTATAGAGTGTTTATGACTCATTACATGTTATGTTCTTTTGAGCTCATCCGACGAGGTTTTGGGTGTTCTGGCGCCATTTTTGTTTTTAAATAAACTAATAAAATATACCTCAATAAAAAAAACTATTTGACTACTAGAGCGCCACTTTTATAAAATAAATTCTATCAATGTAGTTTTGTAATAAATTTGATTGAATAGTAAAATATAATGCCAACAGCAAACTATAACGGCGTATATCTCAGAAACGTAACAAATCGATTTGACCAGTACCACTACATAATAATTCTACACACGTTAGGTTACCACCATATTTCAAATTTATTCAGTCTAAACTCTATTAACATAACATTAAGGTTTGAAATTAAGTCGAGAAAATCGACTGTATTAATATTTAAACCTCTTTATTCGCATATCAAATGTGTACACTGCATAATATTAAATACAGTAAGATACAACTGATGTGGATCACTGATGTACCTGCGCAGAAGGCTAAATTTCGATGCGCGACAAATGTCGACCAATCAGAACGATTCAAGTATCACGCCATCAAATGATAATAACTCATATTTTTCACCTTATAGTCATTGGAACAAGACTCTTTAAAAATTTTATCGTACTTTCGGTGGTCGGAATTGGTAGGTCGGCTTCGCGCAAATAGAAATTCAATTTGTGCCGTATTAGTTGGAACTTACTGTATACAAATATTTATCATCTTTTATAAATTTATTTTATTAATGTGTGTCACAAATAGGGATGATGAATAATTTTTGTTTGTTTGTCCGTCAGGTAGAGTGTTGAAAAATATTAAACACGTATTTTTTTATTTTTTCGTAATCATAAAATTACGGCGTTACATTGAGTTGAAATTTCGCATGACGTCACCTTAGAGTACGTTTTCTTAACTGCGACGTAGCGAGCCCCCACTCCTCAACTTTAATGCCTGTTATCTAAACTATTTCTTGTTAAATTGAAGTAAAAAAAAAATACGTATCTAATATTTTTCTATTATCTGACTGACGGACTAAATAGAATTGCATTTTTTTTACCCAGTCATCATCCCTATTGTAAAGGATCGTTTATACGGAAGTTACCTAATAATATAATCAGGTAGGTAATCGTTATATCGAGAGTTTAGGCCCTTATCAATTCCTAGCCGGTTTCAATAACAAATGTTTTTCAGTGAAATTTAATATTAGATACAGTAATCCGATAAATTAACTTTATCAGATTAACAACGAAATTGATTTGTTTTCAACTTTATTTTATTATACTGATTTCTATATATTTATATCATCATGAAATAATACAAATACTTCCCTTATTCAATGTGTAATCAGAAAATTTTGTATAACATTAAATAACGCTTTGTATTCTAGACTAGTTGAATTGATTAAGATCAAATGAAGGATTTTCAGTTCAAAAATCGACATGTACATTATTTATTTTTTTAAAGAAAAATCATTAAAAAAATAACTATTCATATGCAATACACCTTTTGTGATGTAAGTTATTAGAAACCATTTGTAACCAATAACGGATGTGATGTACACATATTGACCTGGAAAATCTATCCTAAGCGATTAATTTTAGGGTAGATTTTCATCAACATACAAGTTTCCAACGATTAAATTCACTGCTAAAACTTAAACAGATATTATTTAACATCGTATCAAGTTATAACAAACTTACGAAATTTCTTCAATAAATTATGGAAATCAATTTCATTGACATATAACTAAATTTCATTAGAAATTAGAAAATATTGAATTTAATACATGTTTCTTTTTACGATTGTATTGACACCATGAGCAAGTTTATGCGAATTTTTAGACAAATTCGTGAATGTGGATGCTTATTTTATCTCACCAATAACTTATGTATAAACGTTGTATACAGGGTTTTTTTGTCTTTTCCCTCGAACTAGAAGTCACATTGGAATTAAGTGAAAAACGGTTATAAGTTTCTTATTAGTAACGGTATTGCCATATAACTCAGTCATCATATTGCTAAAAATTGTTTAGGATCGAAAAGATCGAAGCCCAGCTTTTGAAAGGTCGAGTACTAAAAAGAAACAACTGAAAACGTTGCAATTCCTATGTTCCGTGTGGCAGAAAGTATGTCCTGTGTGGCAGAGCCCTTTTTAATGCAGGGGAAATGCAACCTTCAGCCTTAAACTAGTACTCTCCGACCTGAAAAGAACAGGTTTAAGAGAGACCGGCCTAAATACTCTCGGGAGAGTTCGTTAAGGAGCCCACCGGGTCATGTGGCAGAGTCCCTAATGTTAAGATGTCGTTGTAGTATTTTAAATCACGCCAGCTTTGAAGTCACGAAACAACATAACTAATATGTTCAATGGCAGAAAAAATAACGGCCGTTGGGGGAAAGGGATGGGTAGCTTTATGAAAATGCTGCGAGTATGCCGGCGGGGCCGAGGTTGGCCTAGAATGTTACTTCCCGTTCCGATATTCAATTTGGCGATTTGGTGGTGAAGTGATTCAGTTAGTGCTGTGAATTTAGTTACCTAACTAAACTACATTCTGGTGACTGTAACAGTTGAGTTGAAGTTAAACTTTTAATGGACTTTTAGGACGATTAAACTTCTGATTATAAATTGACATTAATTATCTCAAACCCCAACTGGTAACAGTATTATCAAAAATCAAGGAACATGCGTTGTTATTTGTTATGTTGTCAATCAAGTCTTGCGAGATTCTTGATGTCTTACAACTAACCCTGTATATGTCTCGTTTGAAAGTCAAATTCAAAATACATTTAAACTAAAAACGAGCGGTACTCACCAGAACATTCGGTAAATGCAATTAAAACATATTTCAATTGTTCTTAGTACTCGAGGTTTCAATTACAGACAGTGGGCCATCACCTTGCATGGCAGTGAATTATCTTCAGACGAATAATAATACTTATTAAGGTTCTATTTTTTTTTATTATATTAATACAAACGTGAAACTACTACTTGTGCGTTTGCTATATATCTATGTATACATTTTCTTAGATAAATAAAATTTTATAGGCTTATTATTGGCGAATAATCATAGTTATAAATTTACAGTCAAAGAAAAAAACCCCCGTCTTTTTTAATTGATGGCAACTTTTCTGTACGTCAATAAGTATTCCAGTAAGTTTATAATCTCAATATGATAACAGATTTTATTATTATGAAGATTATTAATGTAAATTACTGAACAATGAATCCCCATTTTTATGGCAGTAAACTGACATCGAACTTCGTCGATTTTGATTCAACATAGTATTTTAAACTGTGAACTAATATTTTTGAACAAATCTAACTGGAAAATTACTTTTTGTAAAGCTACTCTATGTCAATACTATTTTGAGCTTTCTACTCGAGACCTTGGTTTAAATTAACTTCGATATGATTGTTCGTATTATATACAGTTTTAGCAGCCTTTGGGTATCGAGTTAATGTAAACGCTAATAAAATTATCTGTTATGTGTCCACAGCACGTAACTATACAATAATTGTTGGACAGATTAATCAGAATAACTTTGTGCGACACTAGACGAATTCTGATTGGTCTGTTTAACGCCTGCACGCGGTGGAACCGCTATTAAAGTGAAACGTCACCAATTCATTCGTATTGATCGTCAATAGATGGCGGTAATGTTAAGTTATGAAGATATTTTATTATTCAATAAATCTAAATATTTTTGTTTCCGTGATGTTTTATTTATAGCGCAATACACGGTTCGAGTCCGTGAATTTCTTAAGTTAATACATTGAAAATTATTTATTTAAATTAGTATGGTAATGATCCTAAAACATTACACGTTCGATTGCGCATGTCAAAGTTCATATTCGACTTTTATTTAATTTATTTTGGTATTCTTTAATTGTACCTTTAAAGTAGATTTTTCTTATCGTAATGGTTTCAATTTATGATATCGCAGTTTCAGGTCACGAACGTCGTGAGCTTTATGAGTTTCACTGTAACGTGTCAATAGATGGCGTTAGTCTTCTAAATTGATTAATAAAAATATACAATATATTATAATCACGCGTCTTGCTACATAAATTTGCTTTCAACTTGAATCAGTATGGTTGGCCTTGAATGATTCTGCGCAGTTATATCGGTGAGCCATGTAAATTGTATCTTTCTGTACATCAAAGTATTTTTATACACACAAAACACTAGCGCCATCCCTTGACAGCCAATATAACGTTTCGCTTTCACAACAAAGTTTTGAACTTCATAAATCTTTATACATTTCTATGCGAGCGCGCCATCTATCGCCTAACCGAAGAGTTTATCGAAGCAGGTATGGCAGTAAGGTTTGTCGTTTTGTTCTTTGAACGTGCCCTTGTTCAGTTGACGGAGACAGAAGGCGCAGACGAAATGTTCCGGGTGGAACTTGCGGAACATCGCCGTGATGCAGCGGCCAGCTATAGGCTTATGACAGCCAGCGCATAGGGAGCCACGTTTACCGTGATAATGAGTCTCACAGTACGGCTGGCCTTCGTGTTCGAAGAATGAACCACCGTGGAAAGGTTCACGGCACTCCTGGAATAAAATAGATAATTTTTTATAACATCAATTGCTTTTAACATTTATACTAAAATTATAAAGCTGAAGAGTTTGTTTGTTAGTTTGAACGCGCTAATCTTAGGAACTACTGGTTCGAATTGAAAAATTCTTTTTGTGTTGAATAGACCATTTATCGAGGAAGGCTTTAGGCTATATAACATCACGCTGCAACTATTAGGAGCGAAGAAATAATAATAATGAAAACGCGGACGAAGTCGCTGGCGGCCACTAGTAAGAAATAATAGATTCAGAACTCGATTTATTATGCACTAAGGGTAGCAGAGTTTATCAAATAAAAAAATATTTGCTAAATATATGTTTGAACCAAGTGTAATTATTTCAATATATATAAAGTATACAAATTACAGAGTCGGATTTAGTTAACCTGGAATTTTGAACGATTACGACACAATATTGATTTAGTCTTTTAAGTACCCATAAACCAATGTTCTGATTAATGAATGTATTTTAAATATTATAGCTATTTTTTTAATTTATATAATTGAAAAAGATTGTGCATGTGCGCCATCGGTGGGGTTTATTTATTTATATCTATGAATGTTAATGACGACATAGATGAGTATTTCAATCTCCACCTGGATGCCCTCCAAAAAATATCCAGGAAAATGGCTATCCTACTATCAAGTAACCTCTATATAAGGTTGGAACGCAGATGATTTAATTTAAATAATTAAACAGAATCCGTTATTGAAACAAAATAGTGTTTATTTTACCAGTAAGGTACCAATACATTTCCTTAAAACAATAAAGTTAATTAAAACAAACTGCAAAAAGATTTTTATATCATCATATTTCTTTTCCATTGATCATACGTAAAAATGAAATTTCTTCTGTCTAAAAAAATCTCATTTTTCTAATAAGATGTTTAATAATTTCATTCAACAACAGTTGTCGGTTATTACAATACTCGTACAAATAACATAACAACGAAAGATTAAATATTTATAAAAATATTTCTTTCGGCTGTTTGGGTGGGTGGATTGCCTGAATAAAATGAAAATACACTCTGTATTGGAGAAAAAATATCAAGTGCTTGAAAAATTCGTCAATCCTATTTGGTACTGTGTAGCTCAGTGGTTAGAGCAGTCGCCGGGATTGTAAAAGGTCATGGGTTCGAGACTATCTCAGAGTACCAGAGACAAAGTGGTTTGATTTATAAATGTGAAGTGGCACAGTGGGCGATGTTAAAGGAGATCATATAATTTCAGGCTCATTAAGATAATGTTTTTTAGACAGAAAACGTTTCTCAATTTAAAAAAAAAACAATACGAATAATGATTTATACTTAAATATAATAAGAGAGTTGAGTACTAACAGCTGCAAAAATATCCGTATACCTATGTAACTAATTTGTTAACACCTTATATTTTGTAATCAGCAACAAGAAACATTCCATTCCAGTTTCGCTACTAAACCAAAGCGAAACGAAATAAGGTGTAAAATCAAATAAATTGAATAAGAAATATGTTTCGGTTTTTAGAGATTTTATATTCATGGTAGGTAAGTCTTCAGTTGCCATATTACAGTCATGTGTTGATTTTAAATAAATAAATAATACCTATAATGTTAATATTATATCCTCATGTGTATTTGGGATGTACTTATTAGTATGTCTTTAATGAGATTAAATACTCTTTAATAATATATTTAAATAGTATGTATTAAAAAAGGTTTTAGTTTTAAATTATTACATTATATTTTACTGCAATAAAAACAATAATAAGATTATTATTTGTTATTTGTTTTTTTTTTTATCATTAACATTATAATGGAGAGGTATTAATTACTACCATGTTTGAGGATCAACAGTAGAATTAATGGTTTTGGAAATATTACATTATGTTTTAAGTGTTTACCTAATACGACATCGGTGTCAACTCTAAATGGAACGACTTAATCTCACTGAAAGGTATTATTTACTCGAAGTCACACCAGTGTCGAGTTGGATAATAAATAATGTAAACATCCTATAAACTAGTGTTCATGTCATAATAATTATATTGGCCTCAGGCCACAAGATCTGAAGTTCCAACGGAATTTATATACAGTACCGTGTACGTAGTTGCAAATGCTTACTATTACGTCAGATTTATATCTTCTAAGGTGTGCTATGCTAACGTAGTTAATTTATGGGATTACTTTTGACGTTGCCATCTTTTTGAGAATAGGGGAAGCCCGTTATTTGCAGCCTGACGACCGTGTATATATAGGGCGCGTTGCTTCAAAAATAGCGTTTGATCCGATGGCCCATAAACAAATCAGCCTGATTTACGGCAGCCGGTGTGGCTGCAGACGCTGTGACGTCACTCGCGACACTATTTATATCGACACACACCCAATGGGAAACCCTATCCGGGCAGCACTTGACCCCATTACGATATAGGTGCATTTTTCAACATCGCCCTACTTAATTATGGCAATTGATAAAGGTCATTGCCATGCGCGTACGCACGTGACCTTGACATACGGCCGCGGGAGACGTATACCGCCATATTTATCCCGCGACCTTTGTTGTATTTCTGTTTTGTTTGTATTTTTATTTTTTTTAATTGTTATTTTTTATTAGTTTTTTTTTTTATATTTTGCTCTCTTTATTTATAAATAAATCTTAACTTTACAATAATATTACAAAAATATATTACATAATTTTTTTATTCCTATAAAGTACGCTATACTTGGACTCGTGTATATTTGGTGTGTTTTGTGTGTCGAATAGCATATGTGTGTTGCTGTACATTCATTCCGACGCCAGTGTGGCGAGCATAGCTGTAAAAAAAATTGGGGGAGGGCATCCATTTTGGGGTCGTAGCATCATCCCTTACTCGTCCTCATCGACTCCGACGCATTTTGGGCATACAGGTTTTCCTTCCATGGCATAGAAAGATTTGCCTTTGACGGCATTTTGGCATTCCTGTGTAATTGAAACATCAGTTAGACTCTGCCAGCTAAAAGTTCAAAAACGGTAAATACTTTTTTGAACTTTCAGATGAAGTTATACTTAACCTGGCGTAGACGCTTTAATGATATATTTTTATCGACCAAACCTTGTACAGGCGAGTTCTCTAGAAGTGCTGCGAACCTGGTGTGAGCTGTATCTATACTGACCTTGCAGACGAAGCAGTCTGGATGCCACTGTGTGTTGAGCGCAGAGATGTAATTCTCCATGATGGGCTTATTGCAGCCGCCGCACTTGGGCGCAAACATATCGAAATAATCAGCGCGGCAATATGGCTTTCCGTCCCTCTCGTGGAAACCGTCCTCGCCGAACTGTTGCCCGCACTGTGCACAGAAGAAATGTTCCGTGTGCCAGGTCTTCTCGAGGGCGGTCACGCATTTCTAGAAAAACAAACGTCGCTTTAGTAATACGAGACATTTTCCAGATCTAAAGTCCAGATGTTTGAACTACACCGACATCCAATATAGGTCCGTTGCAGTAGGCGCATCTGGGCGAGAACAGATTGTGGTAGTCGGGCTCGCAGTACGGCCGACCGTCACGCTCGAAGAAGTTCCTCGTGCCCAATTCCTGGTTGCAGTGCGCGCATGTAAAGTGCTCAGGGTGCCAAGTGCGACCCAACGCGGTTATCACCTGTACCGAAAGAAGTCCATTACGACACTGTCAACACAACACACAGCTTCACTTGGTACAATCCGAAGTGTTTCGACCTGTCCGACGATGGGCTTTTCGCAGGCATTGCAGCACCCCTTCTGGGGGGTTTGGACTCCTTGGCGGCTCATGTCTGCCCGGAGGGATCCGAGCATATGCTCGAGCGAGGCTGGTTCTGGTTGCCTGGGGCTGCTGCGATATTGTTCTTGCCACGCGCGCCTCTCACGGTACACGTGGGTTCCACCCTCGCCTCCTGCGCCGCTAACCTGAAAAACAAAAACTCGTTACGAGGTTCCATAGATGATAAAGTTCGTAATGCAAACTTCGCATCACGGACTTAGATGAAAATCGATGTCGCTTTCGACAACGTACAGGGTCTAAACCGTCCGGTCGAGGTGGACTGGAGCGAATGCGAAGTGAAATGTTTCTCTGTGTACTCTAATATTATAAGCTCGAGGCCCCTCCACTGTGATGTAACGGCCGGGACTATTTCTGGCGCAGGAGATTATGCGGGTGCGAGCGAGACAGCGGCGCTGGAGAGCTGCCTGTTCGCGCGGCTGGAAATAGCCGTGGCCCAAGAAAGGAGACTTGTAAATATTATAATAAACGGAAAATCTGGTTACGCTGTGGTGCAGTGTGCCGAACCGATCATGACAGCTAAACGATACTAGGCCTTAGGGAGATGAGTCAGCTCTAATATGTACACTTGAGATACTCAACTCGATAAAACGCATAATGTATTATAAATACAACGGTTTACGCAGTGAATTCCACTTCATGAATGAGAATGAACAAGCATGTGGAAGTTAAACTTTTAGAAACGTAAAGCCAAGGAGATTTTATGTGCTAGAATACATAATAATAATGACGGCATTAAGTGTTTTCTTGGCAAGTATCTCCTTGTCACGAGGCGAGATATAAACATCTAAACAGATTTACAGCTGTTTCGTAAGAAAGTCAAAGCTCTGCATATTGATAAAAGTGAAAGAAAGTTGATAATTGTTATTCTTTTGTTTATCTTAACATTTTTGTTGGAACGAAATCAAACGTCGATGGTAAGTTGCGAATCTATTTCAGAGTACATAAACAATTGTTCATTCTAATATTCCTCTGTGTTGATTACCCATCATCAAACAGTCGTATTTATAGTGTCTGTCTAATCCGCTCTATGTGGTTGGCGATGTTTTGTTCTGGTTTTGATTTCTTTAATGTGCCATTTACAAGCTTTTCGTAATAGTATTTGTATTTTAGACGGGCTAATTCTATGACGGATTCATTTCAAAATTTCTTCACGAAATCTTAAGATAAAATATTTCACGCCAATTAATGCATGAGCCAATGTATTCTATTGTACAATTTTATTGTTGCTTCTAAAAATCGAAGTGATTTCAGAGAAATCGGATGTCAAAACTGTTTATAGTAATCTTTACAATTATATAAGTTGGGCGTGCTGTACATAAATATAGTCCATGAATGTAAAGACATTTCCTATAGCGAATTTATTGGAAAAAAACACAGAGAGAAATATTTCAACGGCTCACGTGGTTACTTTTATGTCAGACCTTCATAACGTTTTTGTTTATGAGCTATAATAAATGAAGAATTTGTTTCACGCTTTCGCACGAGATTGAAGAGGTTAAACAGCTTTCATAATATCTATATCGAACTCATTCATCTCGACTGCATCTGCAGTCGTTATAACCCTCCAAGTAATACTGGCTAGATTGGTAGCCCGTTGTAATATGGTTATATTTATAAGGAATAACCTATGTCTCAAACCGAATGAATAGAAATAGATTGATTGTGTATATTTAATTGTAAGTCTGGCAGCAATTGGTATCTTGCGCCACCAGCTTCTGGAGGAGGAGTAAATATATGAAACTTTATCAACTAAATCAGCGTCTTGGCATAAACAATTCTGACAGATATTGAAACGATAAGATTGGTATACTTCAGTGGAATTAGAGCCAGGTGGTTGGGTAAGATGTTCACTAGGATTCCTTGCTATTTACCGGGACCTGGACTACGCCAGAGGGTATAATGAAGTTTTAACAGGCGGGAGAGCCCCGGACTAGTCGGCTTCTCGTCTAGGTCAATGGAACGTTAAGGGAAGTTCCCTTCGGTTAAAAAAATAAAGTAAGCGGGCTCCAATTTTCCGTAGTTAGAAGCCTTTATTGATCCATTGTAAGTTGGCTGTATTATTCCAGTTAACCCAACTCCACTCAAAAGCTTCTTAAGACCTTCCCAGAGAGCCAGGTGGTAATTAACAGTAGATACAAAGTCATTAATTGACCAATCCCTCACCTTGAAGTCAGACAGCGATGCCATCAGATCGTCCAGCTCTTTAGTGGCGCTTGAGGCGTGATGGTGATGGCGCGCTATCGACGCGGGCGGCTGCAGTGGCGGTGGTGGCTGAGGCTGCGACGGCTCCACCACAGTCTCTTGTACAGTCACCGTCACGTGTTTGGTACCAGGCCGAGGGAGTGTGCCCGATGACGGTGGAATTGGAGACGTCGACGCCCTCCTGCCATACACAAAAGATACTTTTTTCCTGGTGTTGTAAAAACTGTTTAAATTTTGAACAATTATATATGTTTTATTCATTGATATCATCAGCCTATTCGACTTTGTATGATGAAAAGAAACAGAAGCATTCTATGATTTTGTTCTGCTTCCAAGTCACTATGGAAATTATACAAATATTTAAGCTAAACTCGGCGTTTTTGGTATGAATATAAAATTTATCTATCACAAAAAACTTTCTCAGGTACAGTGCATTAAGTTATGCGGTTTATTATCTACCTCAATGCGTAAGTAGATAGTAAATTCAAATTGGTTGATAAAAACTTTGTGGCCATCTTGTGTGCTCCTGTTTTCCAGTGAAAATTCACTTATAAATACATTGTATTTCTTTTCCTATAATCGGCCACAAACAGAAGCATTCGTTCCGGAATCTTTCTAACTAATTACTACTGCACAATATAGCTCTTCCTGGTCATAAATTAAGGCGAGAACAATAAACAACTGTGCCTGTAACTAATGTGTTATAATGTTCAAATTATTTTTATTAATGATAGAAATCTATGAGCAGGTGCAACAGCGCTTTCTTATCACATAAATACTAATTAGTGAACGGAAATTTGCGCAAGAGTGGAACGACCTGCCAAAACAATTATTGTAATATACTCATTATCTTTTGAATTAGACTTCAAAAATTATAGATTTGCAGTAGTAATACATTGGACCTTAACCGTCTTATTATACAACGACGATTAAAGTTCGTATGCACTTGGTTCTCACCACTGGCCGCCAAAAGCAAATTGACATTGACAAGAGAGAAAACTTCAAATTGCGTTGACATATTTTGGTTGAATAATTATTAAACGGAGTAACTAAAAATACAGTTTTTGTATCAGAGGGTTGGGAATGATATTTTGTTGAAATAATTATTTGTGATTAATTTCTTGAATGGTTTTGACGCTCTATTTTATTTTTATTCTCATTGACTGGCCCGTTGATTTAGTCTCGTTTCATTTTTCCATTTATGTGCAGTCTTAAGGTAGAATCATATAGACCCATCCTTTTCTGGAGTTTACTAGAGTGAGAAAGAGCATGCTGCATATACCATCGAGGCCTCCGCAGAATGCTACCCGCTATCATTCTCGCTATACTTTTTACTATATTCTTTCCAAGGCTGTGTTAACATATTCAAGAATAACACATACGACTCTGGCTCAGCATATATATGTGAATCAAATATAATATGCTTGTTATAGCGAACTTCCAATGGCCAATGGTACGAGAATAACATGTGTAATGTAATATAAAGGAAATCATAAATCAATACTGACGTTCGATCGTAAACTAACAAGTCTTAAAAAAGCTGTACCTTCTTATTTAATATGTGATGTTCATAAACATTTTATATTAGTTGTTATTGTTATTTTACTCACAAAAATTATTATTTTATCCTTGGTGAAAAAGGATACACATAAGTAATTATTGAGACAAAAACACAAGTTGTAATCGACTACTAAAATCAAACTTTAAATCGTAGACTTCTTATAGGGATTTCCGCAGCGTGTAGATAAAGAACTATAAAAAAAACTAAGCTCAGCAAAACAAGCTCTATCATTTGTTCTGTCATTAAACACGGTGTAATTTTGAAATGTTTTTTTAATATTATAATTTACCCCCAAAAGCGTAAGTTGCACGTCTGTCTTTGGGCCATCGATTTACATATGCGCATTAATATGTGAGTCAAAACATCCGTCCCATAATTCGGAACAAATTACTTGTGACAAAGTGACAGAATTTACACATTACACATTATATCAGTGAGATCATCATACGATCATCGCCATCTTTCATTCATTTCATTTTCATTTTACATGTAAAAATTAATTTATTTACTTGACATTGGCAGAATTGTGCGAAATGCGCAGATAAGCCAGTAATTAAAAAAGAAGAAGAAGAATATCAGTGACAGTGACATATCAGTGTCGTTCGGCGCAGTACCAGCACAGGTTCGCATATATTGTCTATGAACACATTTACATCCTTGAGTCCAATCCAAGCTTCAGGCTACAAAAAAACGAGAGTATCATTTCAGGGTAAACTCTATGTTTAATAAAGTTCCAAAAATATATTTGACCTACCTATAAATAAATTTAATAATCATTAAATATATACATAAGGGCAAATTTGGAGATTACGTCTTCAACGACTGGTAAATATAAAGCTTGAATACAAGCTTGTAATAAAGGATGAACGAATAAACTATTTTTATTCATTCTTTCACTATCAGTTATATTTCATCGCACATTGTCTATCTGTCTCGCTCTAACAATTGGCGGTTTCTGAGCAACAGCAAAGAACAGAGAGACGGAAAAACGAAATCGATGGCGTGCTGTCATATGTAACTTAACTCTAAAATCGTTACAATTTCAAAGGAGATTCAGTCTTAAAACTTCTGCCAGAAAACTCTAATAAAACAATTTTACATATCAAATGCAGATGGTTATTAAAAAGAAGTTAAAGCAAGCAACGATTCATCCACTTTTCTGTCGTAAACGAACGTTCGAACTTCAAACAAAATCAAAGTCTGGCTAAAAATAATACCATGAAATAAATATAATATTACGTTACAATGTCAACATTGAAATTACTATAACTAAATAATGTACAGTATTTCCGTGTGGACCGTGATGGCGGGCGTGAAGGAAAGATTAATTGTGTATATAGCTTATTGTAGGCGGCGTTAGTTATACATATCTACACTTTGCGTTAACCATGCTATTGGTAGAATAAAAATTGTCAATCACGAAAGATTGAGGGATAAATATATATTTATTTAATATAACTAAACCATAACAGATGTTTTAATTATGTGAATGCTCAATAAATTGAGATGGAAGAACTGTAGATTTCTTAAAGAAAAATGCTTTAAAAAATTCACCAGTCCACCAAATCTGATTAAATATAATAATTATAGACTTATTGAAATATTATGATGTAATATTTATTATACGAATTGCATTCGAATGTAATTCATATAACAGATTACACCATGATGATACAAATAATTAATTTTAATACAACGGTTTTTCCAGACAACCCAATCACACAAACCTATTTTTATGTTACCCAATACCTTTACAGACAAGGTAATGAGACAGTGAAAAGAGATTCTATATAATGTCAGTCATTTGCTTGCCACTTTTCCCAAATATATCTGTTCTTCCATATTTCTCGATCAGGCGTCTTACTCTAAGAAATACTAGTTTTCTCATTTCTTATTACAACTAATAAGTTGTAATTAGAAATGGACGTTATTTCTTGGTACAGAACAAATATTTGGTACAAATGAAAGATAAACCATTTTTGGTGTATACGCCATCTTAATTCTGAGGCGATACGAAGATCGGGGAGCCAGCTATTTATAATATATTTATAGTTAACAAGCATAATTCTTCCAATATATGTCACTACAGAATAACGTTATAAAATAATATTAAATACTTATAATATTGGGTATTAAACGCGCTTTTACATTTACCTGTGCCGACGTTTCTAATACCCGATATTATAAGTATTTAATAATACAGCGCTGTAGTTTAAAAGTGAATAAAATAATATTGTACATTATATTCAAATATCTTGTATGAGTTATATTTTATCAATTTTGCATTTACATTTACAATTTTTTAATAATATTTTTAATGAAAAATGTTTGAAAAATCCACTTTGTTCCAATCGATTTACTTAACTCAATATTGAAATAGTACTACCGCAATGACATATGATGGTCACACTAGCATAATGGCGATTATTATAACAAAAACGAGCGTATATTCTGACGCAGCACGTTCATTAGTGGGCGGGCGTTACAAAAATACGAGTTTTCACACGGCACGACCGTACGCGCTGAAAAATATTTATGGGGCACTCCGATCTTTGTATGATGATTTGTGGAGTTCGAATGTCAGAACAAGTTCACACGCTGCATACTGTCATGTTATAATAGGTAACTTATGAATATTATATAGTTGTACTTATGCATAAATGTTGTACATGCATAGGGGTTTTAAAATTATTTACGTCACACATGTTAACCTTCATAGAGACATGTAAACATTTCATCCATAGTATTTATATATTACTACATGAAGCAAAAACTTTGGACCCCTTTTTACAAAAATTGCGATTACGGAGGAGTACGAAATTTGGCACATTTATAGTTTATATGTAGGAGAAGTGCAAACGGGCAATATTTTTCAATAATAATGCTTATAAAGTACATTAAATCGATAAATAAAACACGCATACATGTACTCTGTGGTCTAATTGTTTCTTTTGACATAGAGTTTGTTTGTTGCTTTTGAATATTGGATTCGCACGATTTGTGCATTTTACCAGTGTCAGGTTTTAGCCAGTAAAACTTGTCAGTTTTATATGTTTACCATAGACATCTATACTTTTGTGGTGTTTACTGTGATCTTACTGAATGTCAAAAGATTTATGATAAATAACTTCTAATTGAAATTTATTATGGTCGAATTTCGACCACTGGGCGACCACTAGTATTAATTAATTAATCATTTTAGAAAATTATTATTTAATTTAAATACCAGTATAAATTCATGTCAATAATTATCTAAATGATAAATTACCTGTCTTATCTATATAATGCATCGTAAATCAAATTTCCAGTTCAAGGGTATCAGAAGCAGGTGATTAATCTATATTATTCCATGTTTCTTATCGTTTCTAGAATGATATGAACTTACATTACTTGCTGTACAAATGCCTTTTATCTTCTTACTCTATCACAAGTATTCTTAGAATGGCCAGAAGACTAGAGTGGGATTGTGAATTCACGGTCGTATTTAAGAAATTCGCGGCTTCCAGGATTAACTTTTTGTTGTTTTAAGCATTTATGGTTATTTAAATTAGACTGATAGTTTATTGCGGGATTGCTACAATGTACCTTAATTTATTGAGTTCCCAATCTATATATAAAATTCTTGCGTTACTGAGTGACTGACTGACAGACAACGTACAGCCGAAACTACTGTGTAGAAACTTGAAATTTGGAATGAAGATTCCTTAGGGAGTTTAGAGGCACACTAAGAGACGATTTCGGAAATTTCCACCTCGAAGGGGCTAAATTAGGGGATGTAAGTTTGTATGAAATTTGGTTTACCGGGGGGAGTTCCACATTTTGAATGCGGGTTCTTTTTAGGACGTAGATGCTCACTTAGAAGGGATTTTACAAATTTAGACCCCTGGGGGGGTAAATTAAGGGATGAAAGTTTATATAAAACGTTGTTACTGCAAGTGCTAGGAGTTTCAAATTTTGCATGCGGTTTCTATTTAGGAAGTATATGCTAACTAAGACGGGATTTTACGAAATTCGACCCCTAAGGGGGTAAATTAGGAGGTGAAAGTTTTTATGGAATAATCTCATTTCTGGTCTTAAAACTACACCACCCGGGCGAAAGTTAGTATTTAATAAAACTAAGGTACATGGTAGTATTCCCGTAAAAAACTATCAGCCTAACCTTTTTGGTTTGGTATTAAAATATTACATATAAGAAATCGCCTTCATATCATCTTGATTTGGCTGCCAATTTAGATTGACAGTTTGTGTCAGATAACATAAAAATTCAAAAATTATTTGAAAAGGCGCGCTTGTCCTATTATAATTTATACCTCTTTTTATTATTGATCAAAATCATCACGGACTGTTGGTAATATACTGTGGACGTTAAGATTATTTATTACTTTTACTGAAATCCCGGGATTGTAAAAATAATTCTGGGAAGTAATTCTCATCATACATTACAAGGTCATTAATAGGTATACAAAACTTCTGAAGGCTGAGATAAAATACTGTTCCTTAATATCTAATTGCGCCCGGAAATGAGGTAGCTAACTATCACTACAATTATTGTAAATATTATCCGTAAGGCCATTTCCCTAACTAATTCCCTAAAAATAACAAAAAGATATGAAAAAAATTGTGAATATTAATATTAGATTAACTTTGCATTTGTTTCTCTCGCAATAATTTATCAATTTCAGTACCCTTATATCCTATTAATATTATAAATGTGAAAGTTTCTTTGTTTGGATGTTTAGATGTTTGGATGTTTGTACGTCAATCACGCCGAAACTTCTGAACGGATTTTGATGAAATTTGGTATACAGATAGGGTGTTAGCGGACTTAGATAATAGGATACTTTTTATCCAAGGGTCCACGCGGGCGAAGCCGCTGGCGAAAGCTAGTATATATATATATATTTTTAATTACAGCCTCTAATTCAAAGTTAGTGTTTTTTGTGTACTGTACACGCCCTCATAAAATGTATTTCTGAAAGATCAGCATGAGTATACGCTTTACGATAAAATCAAGACTGACATAGGGATAACGACTAATTTTTGTCTGTTTGTCCGTCAGGTAGTGTTAAAAAATATTAAACACGTATTTTTCGTAATCATAAAATTACGGCGTTACATGGAGTTGAAATTTCGCATGACGTCACGTTATGGTACATTTTCTACTCAACTGTGACGTAGCGAGCCCCCCTCCTCAACTTTAATGCCTGTTATCTAAGCTATTTCTTGTTAAATTTAAGTAAAAAAAAAATACGCATCTAATATTTTTCTATTATCTGACTGACGGACTAAATAGAATTGCATTTTTGTTACCCAGTCGTCATCCCTATTGCTCTAACTATGTCAGTATTAACAGATGTATAGTAAGACGTTACAAAATTTATTGTATACCGCGGCGCCAAAACATCAATATACTGTTTGTTTTATCACATTGTAAGCAATCCAGGAGCGGCCATGACCGAATTTGAATAAAAATAGCATTATTGAAGCCACACATATGAAACTACATTCATAGTTCATTGAATTTAATTTATATTATATTTTTATTTTATTTGGACAATAGTAATCAATGAAATTACCCATTCACTCGAGCGCTTTACTTCACTTTAGCTACTTATCTAAGAATCTGAGCAATATATGTGTCATTGTATAATATTTATTTAATTTGGATGATCATCACTCATTTTATTTTTATATCAAATCCCCCCTCTCAAAAATGTTGACATACTCGACAAGGTCTAATAATATTTTGGTCACCCATCCTGTGACTTGCGAAAGTTACTTAACAACAACGATCGCGGGCCTCGGCACTTATCCACTATGCCACCGAGTTTCTCTTACTTTCTTTCATTAAGCCCGTCACACACGTAGCTATAATATATATTATAGCAAGGCATATTACGATATATTTTCTATACAAATATTCAAATGACCGCACACGCAGCTATAATATATATTATTTCTATGACTTCACCACGAATATATTAACGCATATTAATATATATTATTGCATATTATGGTAGGTTATAAACACTAGACTGACCATCAATGAATGAGAGCAAAATATATATATTATAGCATCGTCTCCGTGTGTGATAGCTTACTATAATATATATTATAGCACGGCATATTAATATAGCTACATGTGTGACGGGCTTTACCAACGGTGAATATATTCATGTATCATACATGTAAACAATTATTAATGTACACAGTAATATAATAATTTACATACCCATTGGTGACATCTGCACTAAGTTGATCTAACAAAGAGTCGACTGTGGGCCTCGAGGACGCTGGACTGGTTGCGCCGTTGGTGCGTGCGTACCCGTCTGTCACTGAGAACAACAGTATTCGTAAGAGAACAAAGCCAACATGTATTACTCGAATGTCTATAATAAATTATAATCATTTAAAACGTCTTGGTTCTATTCGTTTTGACTGTCAGTCGATGGCGCTAGGTAGGGTTCTGTACCCAATGGATAAAAACGGAGACCCTATTACAAAGAAAAAATTTCACAAACGTTTTCAAAAGATACACCAACAAACCCTCAATACTCGAAGAATATAATGTAAGGTTTGGAACCTCAATAAAAATATAGCGATTGAAGAATATACTTGAAATCGCAAAATGAGAACAAAACTAGGTTCCCCAATTCGGCTAATTAACCCAATAAGCTATGATCAAGCATTATTTTAGTTAATGAAAAATCTTTTTATGGCCATTTTCTATTATTTTACAAGCTTTTATGTAACTTGCCGTGTTAACTTTGTAAGTTAATTTCGACTCCCTTTCCGTGTCCTTACCAATTCTCGATTAAGCTGCAATTTTGTATGCATATACTATTATATAACTTGGATAAAATATTAATATGGAATGGAGCTATTGAATAATGAACCCGAAAGCCATCGAGCCTCAGTGACGATGAGAAATGTCTACATGAATAAATTCAATAGTTTTTAAAAGTGATTTTGCAGATAATATTTAACTTAGCTTATAAAAACATTGTTTTTATTATCGTCTACTAAATATTATATCCATAGCTTTTTGCTAATTATTTACAAACAATTGTTATGTGAAACTGATGTCTAAGTTAGATTAAGGCCATTAGGCCTTAATTTCCGTCAAAATAATGACATAATTAGTTTTATAACTAGGGCTAACCACCTGATTGGACTGATGTTTTACCCAGTTGACTTATAGATTATAAATATAACTCAATGTTTTTTCATTAGTTTGCACCAAGTCTCTGTAATTTAAACTAAAAAGAACAGCTGTGAGTTTAAAGTCTTTTTAGTCTATTTTATTATATGATGTTATGAGCGACAAGGAGAATCGCTTAATTATTCCATTCTAATATTATACATGCGAAAGTAAGTCTACGTAGATGTCTGTTACGTGAGAACGTAAGCCTTAACCACTAAACCGAGTTGACTAGAGACAGCACATAGGTTACTTTTAACGTAATAAAAGGGTTGAAATAGGGAATAGGGTAGTTACGGGAGTGAAGAATAAGTCACAAAATTACACAAAAACAAATTTACATCGTAATAAACAAAGAGTTTCTGATTTTGAGTCTTAAAATAGCACGATTATCATTATAAGATATTGATAATCGTGATTTTTGTCTGTGTGTCACGTGACTTGAAACACGACTAGCCATTGTGTGACGTCACTGTGGCGACAACTGTCAGATTATTCATAAAGATATACCTATTAATTTTTAATTAAATTTTTAGATGGCGCTGTACTTAGCTTATTTATATCTTTTTATTTTGTAATCGGTCGTTAGATGACATTGTTCTTGTTTTATTGAAATCTTTTAATCTTCTACTCTATGAATCTGTTATGTTTTGTGTACATATCTTTTATTTCTGCGTGAAATAATAGTCGCCCGGATTGCGGTAGGTCATGGATTCAAGTCCCATCTCAGAGTGCAAAGTGGATTTTTTAAGCATTTTTCATTAAGAATTAATATTTGTTTTAGCATTTTAGCGTGAATACCGCGGATGAAGTCACGGACAAAAGCTAGTATAGAATAAAACGTGATTACATTTTATTGTATATTGCATATTTCTATTAACTCTATGTATAGCCAAATAGGTTTTAAGTTCTATTTAAATAGAATACAATAATACAATGCCTGTGCCTAAGAAACCTAAGCCCGATTGCTTTTCCGATTACCGGCCTATATCCATATTGCCTTTCCTTTCCAAAGTCCTTGAAAAGCTAGTTTATCAACAGTTTAGTAAATTCCTTTCCTTGAACAACCTTCTGAATCCATTTCAATCTGGTTTCCGTCCCGGTCATAGTACGACTACTGCACTTGTCAAGATTGCTGATGATATTCGCACAGGAATGGAAAATCGGCAGCTCACCATACTGACGTTGTTAGATTTCACTAATGCATTCAACACTGTTGATTTCGAAATTTTGTTAGCAACGCTGGTTTCTCTCAATGTATCTCCACAGGTGATTGGTTGGTTTCGTAGTTACCTGTATGGGCGACGGCAACGCATATGTGTAGGAGATATTCTCTCAGATTGGTGCGTTACAACAGCCGGAGTTCCACAGGGTGGCGTTTTGTTTCCGCTTCTATTCTCTATTTTCATTAATTCAATAGCCCTCCCTCTATCTTCTTCCTATCACATGTATGCAGATGATTTCCAAATTTATAGCCAATGTGCGTTGGAAGAAATACCCACTGCAATTACCATTATTAACAATGATCTTGAACATATATCTGATTGGAGTCGGCGTCATGGTCTGTTAGTCAATCCTCTAAAATCTCAAGCGATCATCATTGGAAGTCATTGGTATCAGGCTAGGTTAAATTATGATACACTGCCACCTATCTTAATAAACGGCAATCGTATACCTTTCACTCAGTCTGTAAAAAATCTTGGTGTCATATTTGATTGCAATATGTCTTGGAGCCTTCATGTCCGAGAGGTTAGTAGGAGGGTATTTGGTGCATATAGCTCACTTAAGCGACTTAGGAATCTTTTGCCGACTAAGACTAAAATCACTCTTGCTCAGTCACTTCTTCTCCCTTTGCTTGACTACGCTGATTCATGTTATACAGACCTAAGTGTCGTTTTCCTAAATAAACTTGAGCGACTGCAGAATTTGTGTATCCGTTTTGTCTTTGGTCTACGTAAGTATGATCATATTTCTGATTATCGTACCCAACTTCAGTGGCTACCTATCTCTCGTAGAAGAGACTGTCATATCCTATCACTCCTATATTCCATCCTGTTTCACCCACACACACCGCATTACCTCAAAGAGCGCTTCGTCTTTCACTCTACGAATCTTACCCGAGATCTGCGGTCTTCCTATAATTTATCTTTAGTCATGCCTTCCCACAATACTGATTTCGTAGCCAAGTCATTTACAGTTAAAGCAATCAAACTATGGAACTCTCTGCCTATAGATATTAGACGCGCGCAATCACGGAACTCATTCAATAAATTGATAAAAGAATATTTCCTCAATCTGGACTATTCCTCTTGAACTTCCAATCTATTACTTTACTATCGTAAGTTTTATTTATATATTTGCACTTTATACGTTCTCGTGTGTTGTTTCCCCTATTGCACTAACCCGCAGTTAATTTTTCTTTATTGGTATCATTTCCTTTAGCCTAGGGTCGCCTGGTAGAGATTGCTACCTTAGCAATAAGGCCGCCTTTTGTGTTACTGAATCTAGTTTTATGTACCTTTCTTACTGTATTTCATAGTGCAATAAAGAATATTCAATCAAACAATAAGATAACGGTGATATTAAGTGTATTGTAATATCACCGTTATCTTATTGTATTCTATTTAAATTGAATATGTTAATAAGTTCAAAACAATTTAGAAGGTTAGCACTAAACCTGGTAACACAACAGTAAAAGCCTTGCTTACATTAGTTATAAACACACTGACTGCGCCGAGGTGATGGGATGAAAATAAAAACATTTTTACTAATTAGGAACGGAGCCAAAAATAATTATTTTATCAGAGTTTCTTTCACGGGCCACTGCGAGTAGGACAGGTGGTTCGCATTGGTGACACCATCGATTATGAAACCATGAGACTCATAAGTTTCAGTTTTAACACATGCGTTATAATAATCAGTGGGATAAGTATAAAGTAACGTTATCATACCTAGTATAAGCCGCTGACGGAAATGTAGTCTTTTATATACTCGTAATACATTAAGATTTTATTAATTTTTTAAGCACTATGAAGCGTGCGTCTACTAGGATTTTGATGATTTACAAGAATTAAATCACTCTATTTTTTATTCTGAAACGCATTTTGCATATTTATGAACTGTCATGACTGAACAAAACTACTATCTGCCGACATTATTGATAACATTTAGAATTTCTGGGTAAATGCATTGCTATGTTCAATAAAGTTCCACAAAATGTTATCGACCTACCCATAAATAAATTTAAAATTCATGTAAAGAACATAGTTATGAGTAAATTCTATTATAAATTTGATGATTATTTTAAAGACCGCAATGCACGGAATTAAAAGCCTTCGCTTGGTCTATAACGACAAATTATATGTACTAACCTATGTCCTACAGACTTTGAAAGTTGTTTTTATTATTGTGATAATACATACTATTTTGGTAACGACATGATTTATGTAAATGTCATTATTTATGATAAAGAGCTGGTAAGTTTCTTTCGCTTGTTCTTCTTGTCAGCTAAAAGACGTCCTGAACACGTGGTAGTGGAAAAAGTTTTTTTTGACGATTCAATAGTGCTTGAAAGAAGTTTACATGAATAAAGATATTTTAATTTCATTAAAATAAAATATACAATACATTATGATATTGTCATACAATGTCAATTTTATTTTTATCATTATGATCAGCCTATTAGAGTTTCTAATTGCTGAGACACAGGCTTTCCATTTGGGATCGAATCGAATAGGAAGAAAATCCACCACACGAGCTCAATGCGGATTGGTAGGTGTTTGGTGGGAACGACTACCAGTGACGAACAGCTTAATGTACCTCCCGAAGTACGGAGGATCTCGAGATGATAATGTCTTGGTCACCAATTCTATGACCGACCAGTGCGATCTGCATTGCAGAACGAATGCGCTAACCACTGCGCCATCGACTTATTTTTTTTAATTTAAAATATCATGAAAAAAAAATATCTAGTTTGTTTATGCTAAAGAAAGTACAGCGACATAATCGAGTGATGAAAAATGTAAAACATATTATTTCACTTATTTGTTATGGTCACGTCAACGTGACAAGACAGACGGGCAAATGGAATGACAAGTAAAATTGGTTTAGAGATTATTCATAACTACGTTTAAAAGAGTACTAATGCACGATACAAATGCCCCCCCCCCCCCCCCCCAAACATAAAAGCGAATTAACAACCATGATTATAATTGTATTGATTTTTAAATAAGTCAAATCCGCCAATATTATGTTTAAATATGCGCTTCATCTGAAAAATATAAAAAAAAATCTTAGTAAATCATTTGGTTTTTTATTTGTCCCGGATAAGAAATTTAAATCCCGTATTTTTTTCTCGACTGAAAAAGTTATAATAGCTATCACTTTATCATAAATAACTAGGGCATGCATTATTCGCTCGATTTTAATAAAACAAGCAAATTTAATACTCAAACTTTTTTTACACACACAATAAGGATAACACCGATCTATAATATTTACGTAAGCTGCAAATATATGTTCGATAATTCAATATTAAAATCAGACGAATATTGTATGCCCTAAATATGTTAAAGTGGCATCTGTCATATAACCCTCACGCTATAGCATCTACTATTCGCTTTTCAGATGAGCCCCAATTAACTAAACATACACTATTTGTGTAATGAGATGCGTATAACAATTCACATTTTTGTTTCTCCTCAAATATACACTTTTACTTCAGAAATTGTGAGTTTAAAGCCGTCATGAGGCATTGATTAAAATTCAAACATCTAGACTTTAATGTCAGCAGGTTGCCAAATGTTCTTGTAACACCCATAAAGTGTTCACCAAAAGATTTACTTTGAAACTAACGATATAATCTGGCTTCAATTTATATGTATTAAGCTCCCAATTCGGCATGTAATTCAGCAGCAGTTTAAGACCACACAATTATTATATATTGGTATATTTTCGAGAAGACCTACAATTACCAGTCGTCCAACGGGCACGTCGGACATAGCAACCGGGAGTGGTACGTTGAATGAAAAAGGGGAAGTAGAGAGCCCAAGCTATCATACACCCACTGCCAAGAGTGAAACATTTTATTTAGAGTTTATTTAATTATTGTGGCAATAATGGTAATGAAGGGTGATTTATGTTTCTTTTACATTACTCTATTCCTACATATGTCGAACGAAAGTCTAAATAGATGTTCTGTCACTGTAAGTTTTTACATTTTGATATAAATAGGTATATTGCCAGGGACACCCTGCATATGTTACGTAAGAATTAAGATGCGTCTTGACTTTTCAAACGATTAAACGGTAAATCTAATAAGTACATCATAACTCTGGGATCTTGTTATATTTGTTAGCTTATTTGGGAGCCATTACGTTTATTATGAAGTCGTGTCCAAAGCGCATTGTACCTATATTTCACCAATTCTACCTCCATAAATAACAGAACATAATCACAAGAAGAATAAGTATCTTTGCAATTTAGAGGGAAAATAAAATTATTATTTGTTCACAATCGATTTGCTTTATGCGTCCTGTTACCACTGTTTGAAAAAATCCTGAATACATTTAACAAAATAAGCGAAAAATTTACTTTAATAACTCTAATTATTATGGAGCGGTTTAACTAATTGAGCAATAATTTAGAGATGTGTAGAAACTAAAATATTGAAAATTAAATTATAAATGATCAACTACGAGTCTATGCATTTGTGCTGTACCGTTTTGCTCGAGGTCGGAAGTTTATAGAAGTTCTTGCCAACACTAACATTCATCTATTAGATCTTATGACACTGAACTATTATTCATCATATTTCAACACCAAGTTTTTCTTTTCACCACTCGGCGGAAATGTTTGAAATAAATAAAACAAAATCAATAGTGTACACAAAAAAACCTGAAGTAGTGAATACTTTTGTTTTTTGTTGTATTAGTATTCTATTGTTAGATATTTTGCTACCAATAAAACTATAGATACTTTTAAGAATAAATTCATTTCATAATTTCCATGATTTGAATGATTTAAGTGAGTAGTGGGGGTAGCAAAAAATATACATGAAAAGATATAATGTACGATTTAAGGTCAGCATTCTACATTTAACTAGGAGAAATCTATCGGTGAATAGTTTTATTGTTTCAGTATTTAACAACACATAATAAGTTAACTTACTTTGCTATTTATAAGATGTTATTTTTAAATGAAATTAATTGATAGTTTTTTAACTGTCACTTCTGATATAATTAATGAAAAATACTTAAAAAATCCCCTTGGTATTGCCATACCCTATCTAAAAAATCCTATCTCAGGGTGCCCCCTGAGATTGGATTTTTTAAACATTTTTCATTAAAAACATTTTTCAGTATAGCATTGTGAATGGGAAATTGATCTTATATAAAAATGACACTTCTGATATTTAAAATAGAACGCAAGTGTATGGATACCGTTAATCACATCTAAACTATCAAATCAAATAAGATGATCTTAACATCCATTGATTGACCACGAACTATTTAATATTACATGATCAATAACAAAGAAAATTATGATTTTCGACTGTTTATAAGACTAATTCATGTTTCTATTGATTTATTTTAATTTTTAATAAAAAAAAAACTAACTTTCTACCAGTGTCTGCCCACGTGGTTCCTAGGGAACTGTTTAGTGGAATAAAAAGTAGCCCATATCTTAATCCAGGTTTAGAATTGAATAATTCATTTGGATAAGGTTTCATATCATGATATGTATATAATTACAATGGCAAATTGAATACTTAATAATGGTTACTATGGGAACGTTTTAATTCCCTATACCAACTCCCACTTCCATGCTCATTTTTTGCTGTTTTTCGGGATAAAATATAGCCATGTCCACCGCATATGGTGTAGCTACCCGTAGGTGAAATAATTTTTAAAGTCAGCCTAGTAGTTTTGAAGCCTATTCAAAGCATACAAACGGTCAAATCTTTCCTCTTTCTAATATTAACTCTAGACATAGACACTCACCCGTCCGATCGTTGTACTGCAGTTTGTCTGTATAGTTGCCATATCGTGCGTTGCTCAAATCGTCAAGCAGGGTGTCGAGTTCGGACATGTTGCCGCGTCCGGTTGTCCGACCGTATCCGGACTGTCCCGTGTTGTAGGTGGGTGTGTGGCCACCATAGCTAGCCTGGCTGCTGCCGTAAGTTTTGACGGGTATGGTTCTTTCTAGTGAATCCGTGTTCTGGTATGTAGGCTGTGGACAAGATAAAACGTTTTGTCACCTAATTTTAAATGCCAGGATAGTTTAAAATAAAAACAAAAATATAGAAATTGCGAGAAAAGCCTCTGCCGAAAAATGGAAAAGCAAACTGAAGACCGTTAGCCGTCAACATGTTATTCAAAATGCACTCTACTATGAAGGATTAATTATAGTTCTGTAAACCAAGACTTCCCAATTTTCTGTGGTCTTGAAACAGGTAATAGGGTATTCTACTCTGTTCGACATAATACTTGTAATTGTTTATTTAAACTAATACGTACTACACAAAAAAACAGCTGCATAGATTAAAAAACATTAAAATATGTCACTAAATCAAGAACAATGCCATCTAAAGATCTATTACAAAATTAAAAGATATAAATGAGCTAAGAACAACTACATCTAAAAATTTAATTTATCATTAGTAGGCGTATCTATATGACTATTTTGATACAAAACAAATTGCTTTGTAGTTTGAATATTTTTCACGAGAGACTTGAAAAGAAGGAAGAAAATAAATTAAAAATATGTCTCTTTGTGTTTTTTTTAATGGAATAGGGGGCAGTCGAGCAGACGGATCACCTGATGGTGAGTGATTACCGCCGCCCATGGACACCTGCAACACCAGAGGAGCTACAAGCGCGCTGCCGGCCTTTGAGGGACGAATAAGCTCTACGCTTGAAAGTTTGAAGGTCGTATCGGTCCGGAAATACCGCCGGCGACAAACTGTTCCAGAGCTTGGCTGTGCGAGGCAGAAAACTTCTAGAAAAACGCACAGTTGAGGACTTCCAACCATCCAGATGATTGGCGTGGATTTCTTGTCGCGTGGAACGATGGCGGAAAGTAGCGGCAGGTATGAGTCCGAACAATTCCTCGGAGCATTCCCCGTAATAGATGCGATAGAAGATGCACAGTGAAGCAACATCTCTACGCAGGGCCAGTGGATCAAGCCGACTTGAAGTGTCCCGGCGATCGAATCGACGATTCGAGTCGCTCTCCGCTGAATGCGGTCTAGAGAGAGAAGCTGGTATTGGGGTGCACCTGCCCAAAAATAAGAACAGTATTCCATATGGGGCCGAACCTGCGCCTTGTAAAACTGCAGGCGATGCGCCGGAGTGAAATACTGCCTCGATATATTAAGCACACCAAGCTTCTTAGATGCTAATTTAGCTTTATCCTCTAAGTGACCACGGAACTGGACCTCGCTCGATATGTCGACGCCGAGAATTTCAATATTGGCTGAGGCAGTTAGGGGAACGTTTTGAAAGCGAGGTGATACGACAAAAGGGGTTTTTTGGCGGTGAACGCGCAAACCTGTGTCTTAGTAGGGTTGAAGTGGACCAAATTAAGTCGACCCCAATTAGAGACTTCCTGTAACGAAGATTCAATATCGGACACAAGTTGATTCCGGCTCTCAATGACGTTTTCCCGAGAAATATTAGCACGACCGTTATAGGTGGAGTTCTTCGTGCTGTCATCCGCATAACAATGAATACCGCTAATTTGCAGCATGTCATTAATATGCAGAAGAAAAAGTGTAGGTGATAGCACACATCCTTGGGGAACACCAGCATTTATAGACAGTAGGTCCGAGCATTCACCGTCGATTAAAACCTTAATGCTTCTCTCTGCCAAAAAACTAGTGAACCATGCACATAATTTCTCGGGAAGCCCATACGATGGAAGTTTTGATAGAAGAGCTTTGTGCCACACACGATCGAAGGCTTTCGCTATGTCCAAACTTACTGCAAGGGCTTCCCCCTTTGTTTCAATTGCCTTAGCCCAGTTATGTGTCAAGTAAAGTAGAAGATCACCAGCAGAGCGACCACTACGAAATCCGTATTGTTGGTCACTAAGCAACTGGTGATCCTCTAGGTACCGAAGGAGCTAGCGGTTGATAATGGACTCCATTATCTTTGAAAGCAAAGGGTGTTGTGTTAACCTTCTCTTACTGTATAAATTAAATAACATTAGTATAAAATTCTACAAATAAACACGGTGTCCATGTGATCCTTTTACAGAGCCTTAAGATACCGTGGACTACCTTTAGGGAATCGCTGTTCTAGACTACCAACTAAGTATTCAAATATCGACAGGTAAGCAAGGCGTTAGGTTAGAAACATTCTGATAGTAAGTATGATATCACCAATGGCAGACACGCATGGCTTACTTATACTAAGGTACTAAGTTATGTGGTTTCATAATTTGTGAAAGATTATCAAAACAATGGGTTTTGTTGGCGTAATTTACTCTAATGAACCCTTCATTAGAGCAGATAAATAACAACAATTTGTAGAGTACAAATATGATTATAATTATTCTCAAAATAGAGGTTAAGTATATTAAAAATAGAATATAATGGTCGAGGTTGGCTTTACTGTTGGTTCATTCTGCTCCACTTTTTGACTATTTTGCTTTAACAAATAATTAAATTAAAGTAAAACAGAAAGTATTAAACTAGCTTCTTCATCATCATCAGCCACTTTGCGCCCTCACTGCAGGGGCTCAAGCCTTTCTTATAGATGGTTTAGGATGGGCCATGACCCTCCACGCTGGCCTAATGCGGATAGAGGGTATTAACGACTTAACGTGGACCACCGGCTAAACGACATAGCTAACTTCTTGATTATTAAAAAATTACTATTACATCAAAATAAATGCTTTACAAAATGAAAACAAATATTTATAGTTAAATTAATACTAGGAACTGTCGACGTCACAGGATAAATGAAATGTCAAAAACATCACCATAATTCGTAAATAATAATAAACATATCGGACTGTAATACTCGTAGACTGGAAATTGGCAGACATCCTATAGATATAAGCACGGGTCGACCGTGAAAGCGCCCTAAATCATATCTTCTGGCTTATACACACGGCCCATTTATCATTTGGCACAGACGCATTTAGATCTTTCCATCACCAAACTGTTTACTTGTTACATACTGTCATGTTCACTTTTGAAACTTGCAGAGAACAGATGGATTGAAATATTAGTGTAGATGCCTCCACCGAAGAATTCTTACAGCAACAATCGCATAAATTATGAATTGTGTTGATGTTGACAAACGACTTTTTGTAGTAGACTAAAAATAAGATAAAATCTTCTCTTTCAAGAAATGAGGCTTCCCAGTGGATAGAATAAAATAGGCAGAACAAACCATAAAGCAATACGTGGCTTCAATACAGATTGATGAGTGTTAACAATATCTAATTAAATTTAAGTACCATCCAAAGCACGGAGGAGAGCTCAAGATATAATTTGGTCACCTCTCCGATGATCGCGATAGGTGAGATCTATAACCGAAAGCTTAATAATCTATCAGTCAACACTAACCTACCAAAACGAATAGATTTTATTAGTGTACAGGCAAGCATACCGCTGCAATAACTGTAGCTTGTATCTTGGTTATCTAGCGTGGTAATCATTATCCCAATTTATTTTTAAGTCGATTTTTAAATTGTTTAGGTTATGAGCTGAAACGTGTGTAATCTGTTTCAGGCTTCCACCATCCAGACATTGAATGTTTTTGTAACGATTGTTATACCATATTTTGAGGCCTTTAAATTATATCGTTTTCACATACCAATAGGCACTCTAAGGTATTCAAGCATTTAATAGTAACGGCCGAGGATCGAAGATTGGATAGACCAATCTATCCCATGCTTTATTTTAAAACTAACTTCAGCCACATTTACTTCTTTCTCGTGGAAATGTAAAGGTGAAATTTTATTACAATACTCCCTTCGTATACTCAATTTTTACTGTAAAGTTGTTATATAAAAAGCTGTTATATAAAATTGTTTATCTTTGGTCGATCAACTTCTATTTGTATATTAGATTAATTATGTAGTATTAAATTAACCTTCACAAGTGCATTCAATGAATTGGTCAAGGATAAAATAATCAAGGTCATATTAATCACGATCTATTTGTAGTGATGTCATTTGTTGTGGGACAATAATAAATACTGGAGTTTCTTGCAGATTTCGTAAATGTAATTATATAAAAATGGCATTATCTATCTTTCTTCTTAACTCTTTAACATAAATTGCTGGTACAAAGGTCCTTGTCACACCAAAAGGGTTGGACTTTATACGTCCCAAGTATGAAAGAAATTATAAAACATTAAAAATAAATGGAGTTCAGGACTATTAGACTATAATATAGTTGCTCAAAGTATTTAATGACGACTTTAGGCTCTAATCCATGTTCTAAATTTGCATAATTGAATGGGTAATAGTCTAGTCATTGAATGTAAAAATAGTGCCTTGCCTCCGATTTCTGTAAAACTGCATGGATTTGTCTGAAATTCTGGAATTAAGCTCGTCTTAACCTCTAAACTGACTTAGTTGCAAATTGTGCTTTGTTTTTAAGGGGTCAAAATTACCCCTTAAATTAACGAATTTAAATTAATATATAATTGAACCAGTGAAAAAGTTGTAATTATGTTCAAATAATGTTAAATATGTAATTTACATGACAGAGCTAGAGAGCAAGAGCTATTTTGATTTTTTACAAAAGACCATTGAAAGTTCTAGAACGTATTAGCGGGATATAAATGAGGTCGATTCTTAATGAGCTATAATAATTTTTTATTGTATCATTTATAACACCAATTTTTTTTTAAATTGCAACGAGTCTTCTTGTTTTTGTCATAACTCCGTAAATTTTTATGCTGACAATTTTTATTATAGCTCATATTTTAAAGGAATGATTATTCTTTATTTTGTGGTCATAATAAGTTTATCTTTCGATGACTGGGGTTATTTTTAAGTTTTTAATTTTCAACACCGAGATGGGGGCATTCACTCCCAGGGTACAAACGATTATTTTAATGGACGTTCATGCAACTACATAGGTGTATAAGTTCAAGTTAGAAAATGTTCACCCTTTCAAAATTTGAATTCAATAATCGTAGTGACATCTAGTGAAGCAGAGCAAAATCTTGGAATATTTCCAAAGTCTGCAATCAGTAGTTCCATAGCTTATTTTTGTGAAACTATGTTAGATGGCGCTATAATTTCTTACGGAACATGTATATTTTCTTCGTCTTGCCAACATAACTTACTACGTTACAAAACAGCTGTGAGATCAAAAAGAAAAGCGCCTTGACTGTATGAGTATACGTTTCAGCTAATAGTAAATGTTGCTAGATGGCGCTAGACAGATTGGAGATTATGACTGCTGTTACTCGATAATATTAGGAACCCTTATAATTTCGCCATGTCCATCTGTACTATCCATCCCTCCGTCCGTCCGCGGTTTTGTTGTAATTTTGGTATGAGTATACACGTTAATTACGTAGACAACAATTATTTCAGGGTACCTTCCCCACATGTAAAGTGCGGATGATAATATTTTTTTCGTCCTACCCATAGTGTGCGGCATCTTTGGATAGGTCTTTCAAAAAATATTAGGGTGTAGGAAGACGTTTTTCGATTTAGTAAACCGTTTGTGCCTTATTAAGCTTTAAAGAGCTAATTTTAGTTAGAGTAGAGTAAACCTCCTCTCTGCCAACTAAATGGTCTTTGGTAAAAATACAAACGTTACGGCAGTACTATCAATATATAACGAAGTAAAAAGGAAAACTATCACATTAAAGTTAGTTTTACAAGTTTACGAGTAAGAGTCGACCAATTTGGAAAAACTACATAGAAAAAAATAAACGTGATTTTTTACTTTTCTATAATTAATAATGGAGTCCGACTTGGGCGGTTTTTTTATAGGCATATCTTTAATAAAACTATTCCGTTTTATTTTGTTTGTGCAAGATAAACGGTCAGTTGCACAAATGTCCATTAAGGTATAATGGCGCCTTTAAGCTCAAACGAATGTCTGTATGGGTAATTGCGCTTTAAACTAATGTATAATTTAATGGACGTTTGTGCAACTGGCTGAAACTGACATTTAACGGATCGTAGCGCTTAAATTTTTCAGATTAGCTGATGCGGCTGCTGAATAGCCAAAGTAGGATTTCATTAATTGACAACGCTAGTCTCATTTTAAAAATGATGTTTAGATCAAAGATCTCAGGTTAAGGTCGAGAGTTAAACTTACCGAGCCAGGTTTGTTGTAATCTGTACTGATATTTCTAGAGCCGTTTATGGAACCGTAGCCAGTAGAGGTGGGGGATGAGAGGCTGCCACCGGGCGAGCTGAGCCGTCCGGGTGACGCGCCCCGGCCCGGCGACACCGTCCGGCCCGGAGACACGGTGCGACCGCCCGGGGAACCGGTTCGGCCACCGGGACTGCCGACGCGGGCGCCAGGGTTTATAGAGTTCTGGAGATCCGCGAGCAGAGCATCTGGAATCAAAGATAATTTGATATGAAATACTCATAGAGGAGATTTAATGTGTTTCGCGAAATATGCGATATCACATTGGTAACCACGTCCAGTCGTGCCTTTAACATGTCTGCTTTATAGTGTTCATGTAAATACGTGGCACTGTATGAGGCGATGTTTTGCCAGTGCTGGATTAACCAATTAACAGAATAAGCAATTGCTTAAGGCATCACTGCCTGACTGACAACGCTGCAGTAGCAAAATTGACGAAGACATTTAAATTTTTCTAGCAGCCAGTTGCACAAACTTCCATTAAAATTTTCATTCGTTTAAAGCGACATTACCCATACAAATTTGTCATTAAAAGACGTCATTAAACCTTAGTGGACAATTGTGCAACTGACTGTTGGACAACTAAAAAACCGGAGTCTTCGCGCTGCTTTACAGTTGACAAACAAATGTTTTGCTTGTATAGAAGCTAACTGTAGACATTAGCCGTCATAGAGAAAGACTTATAGATAGTATAAAACAGTCTCTTCCCGCTGTCTGTACGCTGAGATCTTATTATAACTATAATATGATTGAAAAGGAACATTAATATAATAAAAGGAGAAGGCGCTGGCGAAAAAAAATAGAACATGTAAAGAACAAGTGATATTTTTGAATTAAACCTTAAAATAATTCCTAGAAATGAATTTATACCATCTACCTACACATAAGTTTAAGCATTAACTTGTGCTACATTTCTCATTTTGACCTTTGGCCCATATTCCAATTTACATTAGATCAGAGACAATATTAAACAGAGGACAGTCTTTAATTAATTTAATAGAGTTATTTATAATAACAAGTAATTGTTGATTATATTGAATGGCATCATCATTTAAAGTGATACGCTCATTTCATAATATTACAACCACGTGTGCATATAGATTATAGAGCAAGAGGTTGCATACTTTTTCCTGATAAGTCGTAAGTGATATTGTTATTTTCTTAACAAAAAATAGATCACTAAAATTAAAAACCCTCGTAAAAAGGTCAAGGATACAGTTAACACACTAGATTCTCTACTTTCAAGTTTATGTCTTCATCCTGCGTGAGTGTTGTTTGAATTGAGTCAAATTACCTAATGTCACAAACGGCAAAGATTTCATAAGTAATTTGACCTTTAATAACAAAATGGCGTCGAAAAAGTCCCTTTTTCTGATCCAACTATTTCTACATAGCTTTAAACAAGGATAAAATAATAAAAATTTTTAGAAAACTGGATAGAAATTATTTTTCTGGATTTTCCCCAATAAAAGTTTTAAGGTGTATTTTAACTCTAATGCGAGTCTTGTTATATCTAGTTTAGAGATAACCTATGATGTGATTTGGGCATATGTGTAGAGAATAAACTATGGAAATTTTACAAAAAGGAATTGATTTGAAATGCAGTAAATTCACCTATTTTAGGTAAATAGTAAATGTTATTCTGCAAAAAAAAAAATAACAGGATTAAAAAAGTAAAAATGGTAAAGTTTCGAAACTAAACGAATTTAACAAAAGAATCAGTGTGCGTTTAGCAAAACTTCGATATCGCGCCCTTGAAGACATGTTTGACCAAAACTAGTTTGCATTTTGGAGTTCATCGGCTTTTTAAACATCATCCGCCCGTCTTAATTCGAAAGCCGGATAATTTTGTTCGCTGTATATGTTAATATCAATCAAGCAAACCAAAGTTAATGAAGTCGTTGTTCCAGACAGAGCCCAATAAGCATGTTCTTAAAGCTCTAGTGTCTTGTTAAATGTCTATTTTTAATATAGTTCACAGAATGTTAAAAAAAAATATACCCAATCCCTCCACAGCTTCATAAACTTCAGAATATTGAGTACGAACAGGCTCCTTTTCGTTGTGGTTTGTTTTTAAAATTTTCCCGTATATATCGTCGTTAACTGAATAATGTGTTCTTGACATTTCAAACAGGAAACTAAACTTATTGGACTCTATAACACTTCACACAAGCACTGGCCACTGAGAAATCGCACCAAATAGTATTAAAAAGGATTCACATCCGATGGCTAAAGGAATTCTAAATTTAAATATCTCCTTAGACAGGCTAAACAGGCGCGAGCGGCTCAGCTACAGACTATGCAATAATGATTCACCACGAAGCGCTAACCGCAAAAATCGCTCACAAGCTAACTTTGTTACCAACAAATTGTTGGCGATCCTCACAAGAATTCAAGCTACGTCTAGAGCGCTAAATGAGGCTCCTTTATCTGGCATTAAATAAATCAATTACACAATCATTGAATTATTATTTTTGTCTTTGTTTGTCTTAGTCATCGCAATCTTACATGAGAGGCAGTTACCTATTTGTTTATATGAAAGATAAATTAAGTGTAGTTAATTGAAGTAGATAAAACGCTATATTTACATAGAAATGTTCTCTTTTAATTTGTTTTCTTAAACAGTAGTAGTTAATTTAGAAATTATTGCTCTTATGATTAAATCGTGTGCTGAGCTTTGGCCCTTTTCATTTTGTTGTTATATGAATTTCAAATTTGTTGTTTCAAATATAAATTTATTATTATATCTTTTTAAAATACATTATTAGTGAAACAGCACAAAACTTGATTAGTTACACAAAATATTTGTGTACCAAATTTCATTAAAATATTGTAATGGAAAAATAAGTAAAGGTTTCACGCTCAACCGATTAAAGCGCTTACATCGCTTTAGGATGGATGTAACGTCATCAATGAACGCTGACGCCGCATTCATTATCACGCACGCAGCGTCATCGGATGACGACCGTATGGCGGAATTTTGTCTCACACTTTTACCTTGCTATGCTTTGAGTACAAAAAGTGAGGTCAGAATGCATATGGGTAATTCTCATTCTCACAATAAAGTATACGTATGATATTGTAACTTTATCAAACTGTTATGTTTATTAGATGCATTTTTTTATGTGATGCCCAAGTGTCAAAAATGTACATTCCATAGATGTGATACCGAATTTGTGAGAAAAAATGCTGTGTTTTATATTACTCTCTTAATCGAATCAACATTTACTACTTAAATAATAATATGCAATAATATGCTATGGTTACCTATTCAATTTTTTATCTATTCCTTTGTCAAAGTTTGTGATTATTTGTTGTCCCTTCAATATGACATCGCCGCGTGGAGAATTACTTCTAACGGAATCTTAATGAATAAGTCCTAGAAAAATAGGTTACGAGCTCCTATTTTCCGTACTTCCACATTTTTATCGGTGTATTGTGCGGGAAAAGTTAGCTGTCTTACTCCACGTAACCAAACTCCGCCCAGAAGCGCAGAAGCTTTTAGGGTATTCACAGGCTTGGTGAGTACTAGGGTTCATTCCCGGGAATTCTCGAGCCGAGAATTCCCGGGAAATCGTTGGGCTTTATTCCCGGGAAATCACGCTCGAGAAAAGTCGAGAACTCGAGAAATCATTTACCTATATAGAAATTAAATCGCCGTTTGTTGTGTTGCGTGGCGGCGCGGGTCAAAGCGCAGCGGCACTCTTTGATGTCGCTGATGACTCTATCATGCCATCCATTTAGCTATTCTTGAAACATTTTGCAAAAAACAGTCAGAAGTTACAGCTGCTAGGAATGTCTTGCATAACGATGACGAACACAGCAGCTCCGATGAACACAGTAGCTCCGATGAAACCAGCAGCAATGATAACGATGATGCATCTTTTATCTCTAATGAAGAACCTAGATTGCAAATAATTGATGACATAAATAATGTAATGACTGAGACCCGATCGATTATAAGATTTTTCAGAAAGAGTCCTCTAAAATCAATCACACTGCAGAAATATGTAGTAGCTGAATTCAGAGTAGAACTAGTTTTGTTACTCGATGTCAGAACTAGATGGAACTCAATGCCGACAATGACTGAACGTTTCTTGAAATTAAAAAGTGCAATAAAAAGGCATTGATAGATTTAGATAGCTCACAAAAATGGAATGAAAGTAATATTATTAATACTGCAGATGATATTAACACCCACGAAACTTGCAGTTGAGGCATTGAGTAGGCAAGATTTAAAAAATATTAGAAAGTGTCAATGATTCTTTGGCCCTCAAATTAGTAGATTCACTTAAGTCGAAAGTCCCTAATATCGCTGCTAAAATACTTGAACAGCTTTCATGCACAATAAAAGTAACTACTTCATTGATAACAATAAGACATTTTTGATCGGATACGCTGAAAGAGAATATAATCGTTTATACCCTGCCATCACAACTTTGACCGAAAATGAGTCGGAAGTGGTAGAAGAAGTAAGCCCATCAGAACCTGAACCCGAAAGCTTTGAAATTGCATTAGAAAAAGCAATTAAAGTTATCGCAACAAATGAGGAGGCAACTGCAGTGGCAATGTCAAAATCTATAGTAAAGAAATTTAGAATCTATGTATAAAGCATTGCTTTCAGTTAAGCCTACTTCAACTGAAAATGAAAGAGTGTTTTCAATTTTTAAAGAAACTGGCTGTCTGATAGATAAAGCTATAAATGCTTTAGTTTTTCTAAAGGCATATTTCATCAGCCAGAGTAAGCTGACCTAATTGTTATGTATCTGTCTGTCTGTATGTTTAGCTCTTGCAACGTTTTCATTTGTTTTTATTCTAATTAACATGCTGGTACTGTGTAATTTAATTATTTTCTTTCATGCTATTTTTGTTTAAAGTTTTAAGAAGATTTTTTTTCTAAATAACCAACCAAAAATGGTGCTGTGTTTGTAATATAATTATAAGTTAAATATTAACGTTTTTTTTTTCATGTTTATTTTTTGTTTAGTTTAACAGAAGCTACTTTTGTTTATAAGTTCTAAATAATCTGCTAAAAATGGTGCTGTTATTATAATTATAAGTCTGAATAATATTATTGCATTTTTTTTAAGGTTAATTAACTTAATTTAGCATAAGTTTTTTTTTAAATATAATCAATAAAAGTTTTAAAATTAATTTGATTCCTTTATTTGAGAGGAAAACTTCTGAA